GATATCCTGGAATTAATTCATCAGCGCGTGATCCAGTCCGCATCAATGACCTGCGGTTTTGACTGGAACAAAAACGCAGGTAACTTCTACGACGCCTGGGTTTCGCGCTCGATGTCGGGCAATCTGTTCTTCGAAGTAACTCATGATGGCAAGCATTGGCTGGGTGACGACATGTTCTTTGACCACCCTGACAGTGTAGCCCGATGGGATCAATCTCTCCCGATACAGGTTTATTCCTGCTGGGGTGGAATGGTCACTTTAGATGCGGAGCCATTTATCCAGGGAAGGGTTACGTTTCGCAGCTCGGAGAAAGAGGAGTGCTACATGGGCGAGCCAATGACACTTGCCAAAGACCTCTGGAAGCTGGGTAGGGGCCAGATCCTCGCCGTGCCTGCCGTGAATACTGGATACGAATACGACCAAGCGCGGGATGCAAAAGGACGACGCGGGTACGTCCACGAGATTGTCAATCACACTCAATACAACACAGAGGCGGAGCTGGTGAAATGGGAGAAGAGCCCTCCGCCCATGGTGAAATGCATGCCGGTGTTTGAACGACAATGGTGGACGACGCCAGTTTGATATGAATCGAAAATTTATATAGAACTTGTATTTTGGAATACTTAAATGATAGCATAATACACTCCTTATGGCGTTTGGAAGTTTGCGGCATATGAATGTTTCCCTTCTGATGTTTGTGGATGCTGAGGGTCAATTTGACCAGATAATGATGCCACGATAAGACCAAGGTTGTTGGATGAAGAGACATGCTCTACTTGTACGTAGAAGGATGCATATAGCAGTGGTAGGGTGCATATATCTGCGGCAAGGCTCACTATGAATAATCACTAACTCAGTCTTGCCCTTTTGTATAGTAGTTTGTTGGCTGGTCGATAGTCTGGTTCGTGGAGATCATTTGGATGTCACGGTGGCGGAGAACATATTGTGACGGGGCTCCTGTAGATTAGTTAGGTCTCCCCTAGCATGAACCCAATCTTTCCCCCTGTTCCCTCACGCTCTCTGGTATCTGAAGTAGTAAACAATAAATGCTTTTAGTAGGTATTGAGTATTCATCCCAAAAGCGCTATTCACCTCCATGTGCACGTGACTTCCTCGTATGGTGATAACTGTGACCCGACCAATTGTTTCTTTCCATATGTCGCAGTTAGGAGGGTTTTTTTTTTTTTTTTTTTTTTTTTTTTTTTTTTTTTTTTTTTTTTTTTTTTTTTTTTTTCATTTCATGTAGGCAGAAAGACTTGAGGGGCCACGTAGATCCAGTGTCCAGTTCGGGCTGCCCGCCGATATTGCCAATTCCGTGGACAGAAACTTTGATTTTAAGATTGTTCTGATTCTAAAAACATCCTCTATCATAAGATGTGCGTTTCAATACTGATAGCGGTAGGTCGGGGCCAAATCGCCCAAGTATTCCGCTTGTTCATCAGAAACAGCGTTCGGAGCGACGAGTGAATCATCACGCTTGCGATTGTCGAGCCACATGGCTGCCATGTAGGCACAGCAAGCTACAATAGTCAAACAGCAGAAGGACATGCAAACGCTATAGCCAGGTTTATAGAGGGGCGCATCTTTTTCAAGGAAACAGTAGGTCGCGATAATGCCACCGATGTTGCCGAATCCTATCTGCCAGGCGATGCCCACACTCCGACGGTGGTGACCCCCCAGGTTCATGGCAAACCAACAAACAATGACAGGCATGGCGCTGTAAGCACCACAGGTGACTAGGAAGAGTGCACCATACTCGGCGGTTCGATGTTCTGTACCGTGGATGGAGAAGAGCATGGCAAACCCCGCGATGGCGATCATGAGTGGAATTACCGTGAAGGCAAAGCGGTGCTTGAGACGATCAGAGCAGAATGCAATTATCATGGAGAACCCGAATGATGCTACCCATGGAGGAATAGAGTATAACTGAGTTGTAACGGCTAATCGCAGAGGTCAGTATAGAAGTTTGGAAATGAGCACCGCTTGGAGGACATACAATCATAGCCGTAGGATTTGATGATTGAAGGCGCGAAGAAAGCGTAGCCTAGAGGGACAGAATTAGTGAAATCAATGGGAGTCTTTGAAAGTAATGGTTACGAACTGTAGGCAGGGACGATAAGACCGAAGTACATAATACCGCCGAGGATTACCTTGTCTGCGGGAATCGTCAGCGCACATCAAGAATCGGCAAGCTGTGAAGCCTCCACCTACAGTCCTTGAGTACAGTTGCAATCTCAGACCATCCCATCTTGACCTGATGAGCAGACTTGCCCACGTCACTTGCCAGCTTCTCGCGAATGAACGCACGCTCCACTTCGTTCAACCACTTGGCGTCTTCCGGGAAGTTCGGGATTAGGAAAAACAGGACAAGTGCCACTACAGCAGTGATAATGCCTTCGATAATAAATACCCAGCGCCATCCACTGTATCCTTGAATACCGTCCATCTGCGAGAGGCCGTACGCCAATAGACCACCAAAGCCGCCGGCCAGACTGGTGGAACTGAAGAAAAAACTAAACCGCTTCTGGGCCTCGCTGCGCCTATACCACATACCCATCAGATAGAAGCCTGTCGGGTTTATTAGGTACTCGCCAACCATACACTCGTCTGCTGGAATTTAACTTACAACCGGGGAACATGCCTGCCTCAAACACGCCGAGGAAAAATCGTGTGGTCATCAGTCCTCCCCAATTGGTGACGAAACCCTGGCAAATCATCACGACCCCAAACATGAACATACAGCCGGACACTTAAACCAGGACATGTTAATCACCAACTCTTAAGAGTATTGACGAAAACAGAGGCAGAATTGTGACATACACCAAACATGTGGCTTTAGCTTCTTGAGCAGAATGTTAGACGGGATCTCGCAAATAATATACGGCACAAAGAAAATGGTCAATGCAGTATTAAATTTGGTGCCTTGCTCGAGGTTCAAGTCCTCTTTGAGGCCAAGAATAGCAGCATTGCTAACATTTACTCTGCAGGACAGGTCAGCATGCATCATAAATATGTCGTGAAGAGGGGCGTGAAATACTAACCGATCTAAAAATGCGAGAAGGTACAATATACACAAGCAAGGCAAAAGATGAAGGTCGATTTTCGCCATCAACTTGCGCTCGCTAATTGGTTTGATTTGTGAGGCTCCTGAATCGGTTGACAAGTCATGATCGCTATTTTTGGCGGGTATCGACTCTGGTGAAAAAGGAGAGCTGTCAACACCGCCCTCTGTACATCGTTACATATTCGGACAAGTAGGGGGAGACGGAATTATACCAGAAATCCCCATGATCAGGTGCAATTGCCAGTACGTAGTAGACGTCGGAGACAGAGAGTTCTATCAACGAGAGGAGAGGAGAGCTAATAGGAGAGAGAAGGAAAAAAAAAGACAAAGAAATCAAAATGTCTCGAGCCACTTGAGTAATTTCTGTTGAGAGGCTCGGAAGCATGCCGTCTCTATTTAGCTACTTGCTAAAGAATTTGATAAGCGAGCTGCCCACCCAGCGCCTATTGATATCCACATTACAATTAAAATCTATCACGGCCTATTTCTGATGAAAACATGACAACGGAGGCTGATTAGCTTTATACATATACATATGTATGATTTACTTAACTTTTAGAAACCCGGATCCCCAATACAGCACACAATACTAGACAGAACGCCACCGGTAGATCTAAAATGGCTACGCGAGCATAGAAGAAAACACAAAGTGCAGCCTGTCGGACAACTGAAATAGGCAATGATCTACCAACCACTCCGTTTCCTCGAATGGCCTCAAATGGAACCTCACAGAGCAGACCAAATTTGGTCATATCTTGACCCAGCAGTCTAATATGACTGGCACCGTGTGACTTCAGAGACGTGACCTCACGGTGCTTGGACATATGGAGCTATACATAACAGCTTGCACAATGTTATGGAGGTTCTTTGCAAGATAATAATAGGATGCGTCTATAAAAAAAAAGAAATAGAAAGAAAATTAGTAATACTGGTCAATCTGTGCAATGCCGCTGTGGGGCAGCCAACTATAGGACAATATCGAAGGCAGGATACTAGTATGCGTAATGTAGAAACCATGTTGTTAAGGAATGTTGCTTAGAGTTAGGGCATGAAAATTTCTTGCGATCTACAATATATGAATAATCCGCGTCGCAGTGGATCATGTGGAACAGCGTACTATCGACGAGTTAGCAGGCAGGGTCTTAAACACCCCGTGCTTAGTGCTATCAACATTTGGATCGGTCCATAGGTGGAGACATTTAGTGCGGTTACCAAATAGCAAACTAATGGTTTTCGGCCGACGGCAATCAACTTTACGAACGGAATGTGGGAAGAGATGGGAAATATACATTACGTTCTCCATGGTGAACACACAAGACAGGATACCCTGGTGAGTAGAGCTCGTCTGCGAATGGGCCAATGCTCTAATACTACTGCTACAAATAGGGACATTGGTCTGAGTGCCATGCTTTTGTTTGTAAACTGAAAGGTAACACGGGCAAGCCATTCTCAATATACGGCCAGACCCGCAGTTTCCCGAAAGTCCCGACAGTGCGTAGAATGCAGACAGAGATAACCTACTCGGAGTACGGAGTTGTCAGATCTGAATTTACCGCTATGGAGGAAGCTTCAGGGTAAGATTTAGTGGATATATGGAAGTTGAGGTGACCTTACAAAGCCGAGAGATTTTAGCGCTGGACAGCTGTCCAATAATCACATCTAACGGGGACCAGAGTGGGTCCTGGACCTTCTCGACATCGAACAACTATTGGGGACACGCGCCAGTTGGAACAACAACTAATGTCCTTGCACTTCTCGGAGCTTTAACCAGAAGCCAGATATGGCGATATGGAGCAAAACCATAGATGTCCTAGCTAGAATACCCAAATCCGTGAAAATATCGACGAGTTTCTATGTTAGAAATGCCACGTCACTCCATTGTGCAGCGCGATATAACCTCGTTCCAGTCTATAAGCCTTACTTGCATGTATGCCAAATGAGCACCGTCGGTAAGCAGCAACCGTATGCGGATTTCTTCCGGTACACCAGCGGTCGCTGACTTTGGGATGAAGAACAGCAACTTCGTGACCGATTCTCTCCTTTCAACGTACCCGAGCTCCAGAAAGTTGCGGCGAGCAGCGTAGGGGCAAACAAATGTACCGCGATCGCGAAATTGGCGGAAGGCTCCTTCAATAAGACCTTCAAACTCACGATGGATAATAGTATGACCGTAATCGCCCGGATCCCTCACCCTATTGCAGGGCCCCACCAGTATACTACGGCATCCGAAGTTGCAACAATGGAATATGTAAGTATCCTGCAGTTTCAAAGGCAAGCTTATTTCTAATATACGGTCAGGCTCGGAGTGTCCTGAAAGTCCCGACACCGCAGGTGTTTGCGTGGAATGCACACAGAAATAATCCAGTCGGATCTGAATTCATAATCATGGAGGAAGCTCCGGGGGTGAAACTGGAAGATATATGGAGTGACCTTGACTTAGAAAAAAAGGTTGCAATTATGAAGGATCTCGTTGCGCTGGAGAAAAAAATGCTTTCGGTATCTTCGAATAGGTCTGTTCTAGCAGAAACATGTACCTTTATATGCTGACCAGGGCCTAGGTACGGGAGTCTCTACTATGCCAGCGAGAACATTCCAGGCGCCGTAGCAGCTGAAGTAGTTGGTGATGTGCCCACAGAAGTGAGGCATACAGTGATGCACCGCTTTGCTATCGGCCCTGTTGCAGAAAGAGACTTTTGGAACAAAGAACGCGCGACTATGGGTATTGATCGCGGCCCATGTATGCTCCTTCGATCTAGCTTTCCGTTTTCTTTCTAACACTATGAAGGGAGCCAACCGAGAGAGTTTGTTGTTTCCTTGGCCCGTCGAGAACTAGAGTGGATACAGCGATATGCCGTCCCAACGCCGGAGGATGACCCGTTGGTGGCCTCAGCGTCACAGAATACTCCTAGTTGTCATATTGCGTTACTTCAGAAGTATTTGAAAGTTGCTCCATTCCTCCTCCCCGATGATTTCTTTGTGGTCGCGCCTCATATATGGCATACAGACCTTCATGCAGGAAATATATTCGTCGATAAGGGCAAGATCTCTAGCGTGATAGACTGGCAAGGGATTTGGGCGGCACCTCTAATACTTCGGGCACGCCACCCACGGCTGGTCGATTATAATGGGGAGATCATTTTAAAGCCACCGGCAAACTTTAAGAATCTTGAGCCTGACGAGAAAACCACGTTACGACAACAGATGAGCAGCTCTATCATTCTTTATCTCTACGAAAAGCAGATCTCCAATGAAAGCCCTCTTCTGAGCAAGGTTCTCCGTTTTAGTCATGGCCGAACAAGGTGTGAACCTATCCAGTTTGTTGGTGATACTTGGGATGATGATATTATACCATTGAGGGAGTCGCTCATCAGGGTTGAGAAGTAAGTCTGACTTGGCATGCTATATATCATCCAAAGCTTCTAATGACGTTATAGATGTTGGAATGAATTTGGAACCGACGCTCCATGCCCCATCCACTTTACGGAGAGCGAGCTTCGTACACATGCAGAGGAAAGTCAAGGATGGAACGATGTGCAAGAGTTTTGGGATTCGGTCGCAAGTATCATGAATAGGGACGGGTGGACACCCAATGATCTTTATGATGATGCTGTGGCTCTTTTTACAGAACTTCGAGAATTGGGTCTAAAGTCTAGGGTAGGCAAGGAGAGGGAGAATTTCAAGGAGCAAACACAGTGGGTTGAAAAGACATGACTCGATAGCAGTGTGCCTCGTATAGTTGCCCGACACTAATTTAGCCTGATGTTAAGTTGCCGCGTGTCATAATAACTCGTATTTTTCTTGGAAGCGAGGCTTACGTTGGATACCAAGGGCTTGGCCTGCTTGACACCATGGACCACGACCAAATCACACGGCAATGAATCCGCTTGGCTGCATAAACGGGCAAAGTTCAATGTGATCTGGTTGAGAATTTCGGGCGATCGGCACGCATAATATGTATTGACTGAATACATAGCACCTTTGTACGAGTAATAAGAAGCAGGGTTTCCACCCGGAATGCAGCCTTACGCAGTTAAGCGATTACGACATTATCGCTTTTGCTCTAGCCTAAGATCCACATCTCGCTGTTTTAATATCTAAGCTCCTCTTTGCATTCTCTACTTAAATTATTTGTTCCCATACACTTGGCATTGGATACAAGTGAACTTCTAGAGGTTAAGATCCATCGATGTATTGGCTTCCTACTCTATTGTACTGGTGGGCTCTCCCCAGTTGCATTGCCCATCAAATTCCACGCGATGACCACGACTCATCCCCCCTAAACGAGGCCTTCGAAAAGAAGGCCAACTGGGCCTTAGAACATTTCAGGATCCCTGGGCTTGCAGTATCTGTAGTCCGCGGAGAAGATATCTTCGCCAATGTTAGTATACACGTCGCGATTTCAATACTAGTCGCCGTCTCTCACCTAGAAACGTAGGGCTACGGCGTATCTAATATGGAGACATCCAAACCAGTCACAGAACACACTCTGTTCGAAGGAGCCAGCACAACCAAAGCATTCACGGCAGCAGCAATGTCCCTTCTCGTAGATGACGACGAGAACTACCCTGATATCCAGTGGGACACGCCACTGTTTGAGATCCTACCGGAGTTTGCTCTTGAAGACCCATGGACCACGACACACGTCACACTTGAGGATATTCTCTCTCATCGCACAGGCTTACCACGCCATGACTGGATCGCCAACGCAAACATCACCATCCAGGAAGTTATTTCCAAACTGCGGTATGCGCCCTTAACAGCACCCGTTCGCACAACATGGCAATACACGAACCTCCTGTACATGACAGCCGGCTATATAATCGAGAAACAGACCGGCCAGCCACTGAAAGAGTTCCTTCGCAACCGAATCTGGCAACCTCTCAACATGACAGAGACTTATTTCACCCCCACTGATGCCCAAGAGGCAAACGAAGATATAGCCTATGGTTATTACGTCGACTCTGAACACCAATTCAAGGACGCAGGCTATCCATCCCCAAAGATTCTCCGTGGCGCGTCGGGCGTCCTCTCCTCCGCGACTGACTACGCAAAATGGCTCCGAGCCATGATCCATCGCAGGCCACCTCTTTCTCCGGCTGGACATTCCGCAGTCACAAGTGCACATAGCATTGTCCTTCCCACAGTAGCCCCGCCCTTTTCATCACCCATTCTGTACGGATTTGGTTGGAACCTGATGTCGTACAAAGGACACCCGGTGATTCAACACACCGGCGCGATATATGGTTTCGGATCCATGGTCATCTTCCTACCGGACGTGCAGCTCGGGATAACTATCTTAGGAAATAACTTGATGTCCACGAATGCAGTTGCGAGTGTGTTAGCCTACCACATCATCGACGAAGCCCTGAGTATTCCAGAGAAAGATAGATTCGACTGGGCTAAAGAGTACGCCCCCCCTTCCCTAACCTAATCATACCCTACATTCTGCCCAGACCTCCACTTACTAACAAGTCTCCAGAGCCGAGAAAGTCCTAAATGTTACAATAACCCCAGACCCACGAACCCTCTACCCAACGATCCCCAACCCACCCCTCCCCCCACCTCTACCTCTGGCCAGTATCACGGGTCTATACACCCATCCAGCCTACCCAACCCTAAACTTCACAGAGGACTGCTCGCAAAAATCCATCATCCCACCCCTAACAAATGCAACAAGTGTCCCTAGACTTTGCATGTTTTTCGTAAACCCCGCAGAACTCCCAGAGTCCCTCATCATGGAGATCGTGCATGTCTCTGGGGATGACTGGGTGTTTGGATCTGAATATGATGGGGTTGCGACATCGACGAAGGTTGAGGTCAAGGCTGGATCAGATGGAGTGGTTGAACGGCTTGGGATTGAGGCGGATGGGGCTATGGCGGCGTTAGGGGAGAAGATTTGGTGGATGAAGAGTGGTTGATTGGCCTTTGGGTTTATCTGAATGCTTTCATTGTGCTTATGTTGGGTTGTCTTTGTATAGGGTTTGTTTTGGGAGGGCAGGCTAAGGTACTTTGAACATATGCAGAGATGTAGATCCAGGATTGGCAGATAATGGGCCTTAGTTGATTATTGTTTTTTATTTCTGATGGTATCAACAGTATGTAATTACACAAATTTGCAAAGTTATGTGTACGAGTCAATCATGGCTCAGTATTCGTCGATAATAATCTCGCTGACTCGGTATCTTCCAACGCGGCCCTGCTATAGCTGTCGAATTTGAGCTCTCCAACGAGCGTCTTCACATTACTATTAAACGTCAGTATATGCAAAGGGTTAATCGGGAAAGATCCTACCTCAATAAATCCTTCAAAGTAAAACCCACCACCGACCTCAACACCTCCAGCGTTACAAACGCCGAAAAGGCCGGATCCTGCACATGGCGAATACTCAACAACTCACCATCAATCCTCTGCAAATGCCTTGCCAAGGGAAACGAATCACCGGTGGACAAATACGGAGGCAAAGGCTGGGCATTTGCCAGCGAAGCCGACAAATGGCAAAGAAGTGAGGTAACAGAATGAGAATGAAAATCGGCCGATTGTAACGCGATCGAGGCTAGCTGCGAGACCCATCGTTCTTCTGAGTCACGAGAGCTTTCCGATTCCCTGGACACGAGATTTAGATGCTGGGTTGTATGTGCCATCAGCGCCATGCTGGTTAGCATACGCTGGATCTCGGAGATAATGTGATCGTAGGTTGCTTTTGGGAATTTGCCGCCGATGGGGGGCTCATATGTACTGAAGTGACTGTGCGTGCGGAGCTGGTTTAAGAGCATCATTTCTTCTTTGAAGATTCTATGGCGCGAGCTTTCTAGCTTGTAGGATGCTGAGCAGGTGTCTTGGCCATTGCTTAGTTCGCCATTGAGCCACAGCTCGACGGTTGTGTGCATGCAACTGTAAAATTCGGCGAGGACGAATAGTGCTCGACCGACGGATTTTCGAAGTGTGGATTTCGCGGTGATCGGGTATGGGAAGATGACCCAGAAGAAGGAGATAGCGCATCCGGCGGCGACGGCAGCCAGCTTGTAAGGTCCGAAGAGGTAGATGGGGTAGTATGGCTGGCCGTTGGAGGTTGCGACTTCTATTCCTAGTTTGCGGACCTGGGTTGGTTAGCGATGTTGCGTATGCTCACGTAACATCGATAGCTTACCTGTAGTTCATATCCGACGATGACATTCAGGGTGACGATTGAGATGACCGAAGCGCCGAAGTATTGAGGGATGTTCACGTAGAAGTAGTACTATCGAGCACACGTGAGAAGTAGAGTGAGTTGAGTACGAATAAATCCTTACCTCAAATACATTGGCCAGATATAGAAATACAATGACTCCGGGGGTTTTCTGATCGACAATATACCAGACGATCAAACTCAAAACTAGCGAGACAGCGGTGGCTATAATACGAGTTACGAAGCCGAACATAGACTGTCCACTTGTCGGATTCATTCCGATCACAATGACAATCATAGCCCAGATGCATCTTTGGTGAATGAAGAAATTCTGCGTCTGGTGCAAAAACGCCAATATACCGACGGATAATGCAGCGGCCGCAACGCGAAACCCGAATATACTATACTCTGACTTGATAATATGCGAGATAAAGCGAATGATGGTGCTCGCTTTCTCCAGAAGATTGGCTGGAGGTAGATGTTCAGGATCAGGGAATCGGTCGGGCTCATCTTCTCCATGCAACGAGGAGTGATTCGCCTGAGAAGGCTGCCTGCCGTCGGAGCTACTTGATTCATCCTTCTCTGACTTTACGGATAGCCATCCTCGTATAGAGCTTTGCATGGGGAAGATCGGCCTGTTACTTTTCATGGTTCCGTCCGTAATCTTGCTATCCGCAAACTTCATTAGATCGAGCACTCCGCTGAGAAGGTTCTCCTGTAGATGGCCCATATATAGAATTAAGAAAAATTCCTGCCTAACATCGGAGTCAGGCACGACAACTTTGGAGTCAGTGGAAATATCGTCGACCTTCTCAGACGCCGAGAATGCTTCAAGGCTTGCCAAAGATCGTGGGAGCTCCTGGCGCCGTTCGAAGTACTTGATCCTTTCTTGTTCGAATCGAGACGTAAAGTCTGAATCAAGCGGACTGATTGCCTCGCCTTTGGACTCCTCATCGCCGCCTTCATTGCGCTTCTTCTCTAGTTGCTTAGGCTTAGCCAGCTCCAGTGCCAACAAAACATATTGTAGACCTGCTGTGGTTAGACGGGTCGCATCAACTAAACGGTCATGGAGAGTCTCCGAAACTTTCTCCATCTCTGATTGCTTCAGTGATTCGTCCTCAGGTTCACCAGCTGATCCCTTGCCAGTCACCGGTATTCCTTCGTTCTTGACAATCATATCCAGAACCTCTGGAAGCTGGGCCATTCCAGCCAGAGGCAACAGAATGCTTCGCAATAGCCCCCCTATCCTATTTAGATCGCTAGCTGATAGCTTTCCCCATGCAAACTCATCATTAGCATAGAACAGATCGGACTGTAGCTTTCCATGAAGGGCATGCAATTTCGTAATCGATGACGTTAGCTGTTTCTGCCGTGATTCTAGCTCAGATCTCGGATTATTCTCAGTATCGCGAACAGTCTGAGCAGTCCGCGTCCTATTTAACAGTCCTTGACCCCCGGTCAGTAGCTGAGGAGTACGCTCCACGAATGCGATCTGCGATTGCAGGACGGCATCAATGTGCGCTACATAGCCCCTTATGTCGTGGAAAACGTTACGTCGACTGGTGATGGGTAATATCAATAAGGATACACCTGTCGCGATGGCGAAACCGAGCATAAAGCCCTTCAACAGTCTTGAGACGAAGGCTAGACCCTCGGATACCGTTACGAAGGTGCCGGCTCGCGTGATAGTGACAGAAGCAAAGATCGAAAAGGCAACCATGGGATCCTGCAGCTCCATAGGGCGCCATGCACGGATGGTGTTAGCTACCCTGCTCTGGCATTAGTATATAACCTAGCACGGCTTTGTTAAGGTAGCCAAATGGCTCGTCATTTAATTCTTAATACGCATGAATGGAACACACAACGAACCATATCATGAAGATCAACCAAATAGCAGATACAGCACAGGCATCACTGTTGTAACCATTCTCGACGCTCTCACTGACATCCGAGGGGGTATTGTGTTCTCTTGCCTTGACAGCACAGTAGATTGTCAGACAGCAAAGGGAAGCTGAGACGCATGTTGATAATAGGTCGAAGAACATGATCTTCATGAACTTGGCGCGCGGGGTCAAAGCTTGCGACAATACCGATATGAGGGCGGATAAATAACCGATTGTCAACGTGATGTCCGCGACAGCATCGCTTTGGTGCCTGTAGCAAGTTAGCCATCGTGTTCGGTGCGCAGTGAAAGGTATATACGAACATTGCGATTACGATCGTCGGTGGTAATGCACCTTTCAACATCATGAGGAAGGACCGTGAGTCCAGCTGCAGACGTGATCTCCATGTTGACGGATTCAATATACTTGAGATAATTAGTGTTGCTCTAATTTACGGTGAGTGAGTGATGAGTATGCTTGCCTTAGGAGCTTAGATGGTTTGGAACTATTACTGTTCGTTTGAGGAGCCATGCTACTAGTTACAGCGGACTGCTAACGCACTCGCTCTGGTATGCCGCCACCGTCGTTGTATATGTCTCATGGAGGTTTGGATATGACAGAAAGAAAACTTTTCAATTCTAGATTTAGCTACCAATATCAAGAACTCTAAACAACCCGAATTAAAATCGGCGGCTGCAAGCGGATCGGGTTGCCGTGCCTGAAATCCATGACGCGTGCCGAGCTAAATGCCGACAGAAGGTTGAAAGTCCTTGCGCTGGAGATTGTCCTCTCCTTAAGAGCTTGTTCAGAATCAACATCCCGTCTACACAATTTCCCGGGATATATTTCCGGGTACTCAATATCACACGAATATCTACTGAATAGGAGCAAGATAATACAGGTTGTGATTCTCGTTATCGTGAAATGGGATACGCGCACGTGATGAATCAATTGGTTCTGGGAATTTCTCTCAATTATGGCACTAAGGGGAAGGGAATTAGCGAAAAGTCAAAAAATAAGAACAGACAAGTGGAAGATAATCGAGATCATACTAAACAAGAGCAATCGTACGTACTCCATACTCCATACTAAAGAATGCTTTCAAGAATAGCGATGATTATCATCGAAACTATTTGCGGGTGAAGTTTTTACCGTTCTAGGGAAGTGTTCACATGACAACCTGAAGGAGCCCTAATTTGGCTAAAACTGCCTTTTACGACTACATAGTACATGTGCACATTGAGAGGGGATACTCTTGCATCGCTTCATCATACTCCCATGTCAGTTTGGCTGGAGAGGATGCCGTGTAACTGTGCATGACAAATATTCTAGAGGCTTCCCCTGAGTAAGGGATGAAATCTGATTTCATAAAACCTGTGAATTGATACAACGTACTCTGCATTGTGAAGTGTCTACAGAACACAGGAGAACTGATCTAGCCAAGAGACTATCAATCAATAGGGCCAAAAAGGGAAAAGGTCTAGTGACTTTCATGTTACCGAACTAATGATTCATCGAGTGGGATCCTATCAGCCACAGTAGTGGGGAGTTGGTGGAGAGGGCTGAAGATCCCACTGGTCGAGAACAATCAGCTATTTGCCATTCCAACTTGAGTAACATACGTATATTCTGTTCGTTCGAACACTATGGAAAGAAATGGATGCCTAGTATCGGATCCTTTCTCAACATTCCGGAAATGTGATGGAATACTACGTTTATCTGGGAATGACTGCCTACGTAGTAGAGGGAGAGCATCATACTTTACCATGCAAGACGGAATCAGCATGACACAGCAGATAACGGGGGAACCCTGCTCATTTACCATACCATACCCGTACCTATGACATAATGGGCGGACCAGAACGGTCGCAATGCGTAATGGACGATACAACTGGAGCAGTCGGGGCTTCGGCGCATCTGCTCCGAGAACTGGTCTCTGAGCCCCTGACATCAATTCCACCAATCACCGTCAGAGATCGACATGGCAGAGTGAGGCGTCATTCCCCACTGACCTCTCTTGCCCTACTTTTTTCCCTTCCTTTTTTATTTAATATTTTTTTAGGAAAAAATAATTTAATTAATTATTATTTTTATCTTAGGTTCACCCTACAGGGAGAGCCATGAATGACAACAATGAACGCCCCCTTACATAGGCATCGAATGGAAAAACCCACCGTCATCGTGCGTAACTTGCACTTCTCAAAAGTTGGGAATTCACCGGTACAGCGTCAGGGCGGATTCGGGATGGATGATGACCGCAACCATGGAAGACGGAACTGGTTGCCATCTTACTGATAGATGACATCTCGGAGATAAGCCAATGACTATGACAGAATACCCGATCGTTCAAAACTGTCTCTCATAGGGCCGACTATGAACAACCGACGTGGCGCAGTGTCCTTTTCCCAACCATTCCAGCTGTGAAATTATTTTTAACGACTTTCTGGTCCATGGATCCAATTAGTTTCGCATTGCGATGATCATTCCGTCTTGGCAAACATCATTAGCTACTAAGCACTTGCCGCCAAGGGCCTCTTAAAACTGAGGCAAATCTCCGGGGAATCCCCTGAAGCTTGTCCGATTCTTTCCATTCCTCTGTTTCCATTTTCTGAATTTCTATTCAGCAATATCTGCAATTACTGCCTAGGGATTCTACCTAGTCCCCTGCCCCTGTGACCACCGATCTCTGGTCCTGAAATACATGCGTAAGTTGACCGTTGCTCCACTCCTTACTCCACTCTTATCTGCTTTGCCCGTTCTGGATAAGAGCTGGCCGCCAGCTTCAAAGCAGTCAATTTGCTCCCTCTACCCCCCACTGGGTCGAATATCATCTTTGGTGGCTTCTTGACTGACGATTTGATGCGACCTCCAGACCGGATTCAATCGTGGGCGAAAGCTCACGCGTCCTCTCGTGATTCTGCTCCTGAGACTCAAACTCCCTCTAGCACGCTCGGTCCCCAACCCACCGCTGGGGTGCCCACAACCTGCAAAGAACATGGACAAGTGACTGAACCCGCTGAGACCCTGGCAAGTCCAGGGTCGAATCCTGAAAAATCCGATGGGGAACAACAGTCTACCCCCAACCGAGGACTTTTTGTCCGTATGAAAGATGGCAGCATCCGGTTCGCCAGACATACGAAGCACGCCCTCTGTCACAGCTGGGTCAATGTTCTGCTCGTATTCGTGCCTGTTGGCATTGCCGTTAAGGCTGTCGGGTTAAGCCCGGCACTGATCTTTGCCATGAATGCCGTCGCCATCATTCCCCTGGCCGGTTTATTGAGCCATGCTACCGAATGTGTCGCTAGTCGTTTGGGAGACACCATCGGTGCTCTCATCAACGTCACTTTCGGAAATGCAGTAGAGCTAATTATCTTTATTATCGCGCTCGTCAAGGATGAAATTCGAGTGGTTCAGGCCTCCTTGTTAGGTTCCATTTTAGCAAACCTGCTGCTTATCATGGGAATGGCCTTCCTCCTGGGAGGTCTTCGTTTCCAGGAACAAATCTACAATAGCACTGTCACTCAAATGAGTGCATGCCTTCTCAGCTTGAGTGTCATGAGTTTGCTTTTGCCGACCGCTTTCCACGCCTCGTGGTCGGATAACGCAGCCGCTGATAAATATACCTTGAAAGTCAGCCGCGGAACTAGTGTGGTGTTGCTTCTGGTTTACGTCCTCTACATTGTCTTTCAACTCAAGTCTCACTCCTATCTATATGCCAGTATCCCACAGCAGATCATTGACGAGGAATCGCACCCTGGCGTTCTGGCCGATTTTATGAACCATTCTTCAGATTCCTCCAGCAGTTCGTCGGACGAATCCGACGATACGACTACCTCATGGACCACTGCTAAGCGTATCAAGAAAGCGATGAAATACCGCAGACATCGAAAATCGAGCACTAGCTCCAAGGGCACCGCTTCCACTCCATCGTTCCAGAAGCAGGCTCTGTCGGAAATGCCATCTACGGGAAGCAGCGAGACGCCCGACTCTGTTCATCGCTCAACATCGATCCCTACGGAGGACCCCGCATCCTGTGCTATTGATTTCGGTGACGATCCTCGCTACGAGGCAGACCATGATACGCACCAATTCGAACCCCATTTCCGGGACTTCGGTCAGGAGTCCAGTGCAGTGAAGCTTTCGAAGAAAGAACTCAAGGCCAAACGACGTGAGATGCGGAAGCAACAGAAACTTGCGGAAAAGGCAAATGAGGCGGCTGCGACGGACAATGCCACCAATGCCCGTCCATCCTTGAAGGCTTACTTGTCAGAACCTCCTCTGGAACCGAATGGATTACAGAAGGACCCACAGGACCTAGATTCTCCTAAGCGACGCTCACCATTCCGTCCTGCTATCCCATCCCTGTTGTCAAACACTGTGTTCTCGAACTCCCAAGCCCCGTACAACGTACGGGATGATCCATCTGGAAATCTCAACGGTCTCCGACGTACCAATTCTCTCCCGTCTCGAATCAATCGCCCTCCACCTGTCGGAAATGCGGTTCAATTCGCCCGTGGCGCTGCCAGAATACCCACTGCTGTCAACCCGCAGACGCTCCAACCGGCTCCGGAACATCAAGAACCGGAAATGTCACGCACCGCTGCGGTTGTCATGTTGCTTCTCTCTACTGGCTTGGTCGCTGTCTGTGCCGAATTTCTAGTGGATGCAATCCCCGAGATGATCGAAAGCTCATCTGTCAGTGAGGCCTTTATCGGTCTAATCATTCTCCCCATTGTTGGTAATGCCGCGGAACACGTTACTGCTGTTAGTGTGGCTACCAAGAACAAGATGGATTTGTCCATCGGTGTCTCCGTTGGTAGTAGTATTCAAATCGGTATGTTTTGTTGAATCTATTTTAAAAGAGATGTATAACTAACGCTCGACAGCCATTTTTGTCACCCCTCTGGTGGTCATTCTCGGCTGGTGCATGGACAAAGACATGTCCTTGTACTTCACTCTATTTGAGACCATTTCTCTTTTTGTCACTGCGTTTGTGGTGAACTTCTTAGTGTTGGATGGTCGCAGTAACTATCTGGAAGGCGCTCTTCTGATTGCCGCCTATGTGATTATTGGGTATGTTCATTAACCTCGTACTGCATGCTACTCCGTTCAAGACTAACCTTTCGTACAGTGTTGCTGCGTTTTTCTATCCCCCTGCTAGTCAATCTAGCGATGTTGCTACTGCTGGGCATTAGCTACACGCAATCTCCGACGGTTGATGCTAATGGATACCGTTGGAATAATCTCCTACTTTCTACCCCAATACGACGTTAAATGTAATAGTTATTATGTACCATGGTAGGAGAAACGGCTTGGATGAAACGGTACATACGTTTATTCTTCTCGGGCTGGATGGCACTACCAGAATGAATTATGGGTGTCCAAGCACCTTGCGGTTTCTGGGCATCTTTTTCTTCTACTTATACTAGTTATCTATCATTATAAGGGCTCTCTGTATCTGGTCTTCGGATTAGAGTTTACCACTTCACAACACAATTGTATAATTCCAGTCCACGGCCGTAGTCCTAGACTCATGAACACTATATACCCACCCATTCCAACAAGGTTTGACGATCAATCCTCCTGATGAATATCAACATGCACACCTTCGGGAAACTGTACTCCCTTCAGGTCATCAACGGAGACATTCTCCGGGGCGACAAATCTACGCATTATTAGTATGGATAGGTGGACTTAACAAAGACTTTAACATACGAAGTAGTATGTATAGGAGGCATGCTCTTCGTAGAGATGAATAAAGTCTGCTCCGTGGCTCCCTTCTCGGCGAATTTGTCTTTGGTCCTGTACTTCCGAATAAGCCTATCAAATGAAAGGTAGATTGAAGGTGTCGACGATCAAAAATACATTTGCTCCATGGTGCTTCCATGTTGCTGATATGCTTCGACCGAGTTGTAGCGGATTAGGATTGTCTGTGGGGATGTTAGTGTATTCTGATTTGGTGGGATGGTGGAATGAGTGGATGATGACTGACAAACCGGCGCATTTCTCCGTTTAATTTTGCTTCGTGAGAGTTTTATCTAGGCAATGTTTGTTTCTTTGTCTGTGTAGTGGAAATTATATGTAGATGGCGGGGTTCATGATTTAGGATGCGGCAAGGCTATGCTGATGACATCATCCATGGCTAGCGCCTGGATATCGCATGTCCAAATACTTCGGCTAGAGCTATACATTGGGATAAATCTCAGAACGATAAAGTCGCATCCAGGAATATACTCTCATTGTGGTCATAGGGGGCCTTTATTGAGTGTAAGCAGGTCCGCGTGTTGAATACATGTGCTAGTTTGCATATTTATATAGAGATTTATCATATAAAACGCACACAGATTCTAGGTAACAAACTGGAATACGCAGAAATAACAAGGTAAACGTCATGAGAAGCGACACAGTACTCCGAGCTTCAAGAAGACTTAAGTCCATCCACTTTCGGATAAACCAAGCCCGACCTTTCCAATGGCTTTCCCAGATTCAAGGATCCTATGTGCTTCTTTGATTCCTTCAAGATTCAATTGTAGCCGCCGGGTCAAGTGGCACTTAATCTTGCCTGCGTCAATATAAGCAGAAAGCTTTTCCAGCATTTCCCCTTGATCGGTCTCAACGCCATGGTACATCCTCGATCCAAGCCAACACCAGACGAAAGCTAGAGACTTAGACATAAACTGAGTGCCGTACATGTTCATATCGGCAGATTGAACGATAGAGCATACTTTCCCCATTGGCGCAATGATATCCGAACAAACCCTCAGGTACTGTGCCGTGGAATGGGTAATATAGACATATCTGTCTCAAGAATTAGCATACAACCGGTTCAAACAATGAGCAACTGCTCACTTGATAGGCACATCAAGCCGAAGCTCATCAATCTGCTTTTTCAAATCCTCCCGATGGTTGATAACATGCGTGGCACCCATTTTCTTCGTGAAATCAATCGTCTCCGGTCGCGATGCCGTGGTAATCACGACAGGTAAATCAAGTACCCATCGCGCGATTTGCGATGCCATGGCTCCTACACCACCGGCGCCATTAATTATCAGAATCCCGGCTTTTTCTCCCTTTTTGATCTCCAGTCGGTCTATTAAGGACTCATAAGCTGTTCCGTATGTCAGTGGCATCGCGGCAGCCTCGACAAAATCCAGTGATTTCGGTTTATGCCCGACGGTGACGTCCGAGACTAATTGGTATTCAGAGTACACTCCTTGTTTTGTCGGAGACGAGACATAGAAAACTTCGTCACCGGGCTTGAATCTGGTACATTCTGGGCCAACCTCTTCAACTATCCCGGCGCCGTCATATCCCATGATATGGAATGGGCGAGGAACGAATTTATAATAGTCTTGACACACTGGATTAGTGTATTATCCTGGCCATCAGGGAAGTGATAGTACCTGGTGCGTCATCATATGTTCCGTTCCTAACTTTGGTATCGATTGGATTGACAGCGGCAGCTTGTACCCTAACACGTTTGTGAGCTGACTTTCCGACCATAAGTGAGTACCTAGATAAATCTCACTTGATAAGCAGTTCCTTCCCCTGTGGCTTATCCGGCTTCGGAATCTTCCGACATGTCAAGTTGTCTATGGAGCCGTACTGTTCGACTCCGACGGCGTTCATGGCTGGTAGTTGCCGAAGAGACAATATATTCAAATTTTGACGGCTGCTAGAATGGGAATTGCGAAGGTCTGAAGTTGGAGATTCAGTTAGACCAAGGATTTAAGGGTGTATTGATATGGCGAGTGGTTTCTTGATCGGCTTACCGAATGATGTTATGATGATGTTACCCGAGATACTCCCAAGGTTCTACAACAACGCTCGGGTGATACTCAGCCTTTTGTTGAATTCTATGTTTATGATTTTTCCCTGCGAGTGACAATACGTAATTGTTGATACACTTAATACATAGAGAACAAGAATTCTAGGCTACTGTCCCGGCTTTCTTGACTAAATGCTAGGCGCAACATTGGTATAATTAGGGCAGTCTCGTTAGAATATCAAAGGCCCAGTGTACTATAATTGCGAATACAATAATGGCATGTAATGTAGAGTATAAAGGGTGGTATAGATTTTCCATAGTTCATAACAATACTAACAATTCTATTAATAATTTACAGCATGGAAGCATATGCTAACGCCTACATGCGTTACACTTGACGACCTAGGTAGAGCTAGCAAAACCGGCAGCACATTCCATGGCGAATCCAAAACATCGAGCATACCAGCCTTGCGACCAATGGCTAAGTTCCACACAATGAGGCGCGCCTGGAATCAGGCTTCCATCCACACGGGCACTGTTCTTAAAGGCCCGTACGCAGGTTTCAATTTCCTGTTCAGTAGCCACAAAGAATGGGTCATCCTCCACAAGAGCAAACATCACAGGTGCTAGAACATGCGCCGCCCACTTCTGCTTCCAGATAGGGAGCCACAGCGCCGCAAACTGTGATACTTCGGAGAGCGGGTATGGCGCGTTAAGGCGCTCACTATGCTCCAAAATCTCCGGGTCAAACGTCCCTGGTTTGAACATTATGTTGTCTTTTGCGCTCAGAGGGAAGAGTGCATAGTCATTGTCCACAGGAAGATGCGAAGGGGATCCATTAGTCGTAGGTAAGGACTGCTTGTTACCCATGCCACTTGCAATTAACCCCCCAAGAGGGTACAACGGCGTCTTATCTTGCGCATGTAAAACTGCAGTAACAATGCCTGGCATTACCCCTAAACTGTGGGATAATAGGACAATACAATTGCATTGGCTTGGCACGCCAATCTTGTGCCAGAGTGTGGGCAGGATTTGATGATGTAGCAAAAGACCGGACTGTACAAAAAAGTCGGACCCATCGGGAATAGGGAGAACAGAACTCGTTCCGCCATACGAAGGACGATCAATTGATACAAATGGCACTCCAAAAGCAACACTTGCTAAGGAGGCAGAACATTTGGGAATGGCGTCAAAGTAGCCATGGTCATAGCATCCTCCATGAAGACCCACGATCAAAGGACGGTATTTAAGAGACGCCGCTGAAGATGGTGGTATGGAATGCACACCTTTCACGGTGCCATTATTGGGAAGCGTGAATTGGAACGACTGCATGATATGTGAAGAGATTTTGGATGACCCGTTCAGGCAGCAGTTTTAGGGATAGCGAAAAGAAAAGGAAAGAGAGTGAAACACTACAGGTGAAAGGCCTCCATCACCGATTTTACCTATACTGTATATAAGCGGGCAGAGTTCGGCCTTAACCGGCCTTAAGGGAAGGAATTGCCTCCAAGGACTACGGGCCTACAGCGAACATTGTAAAAAACTAGTTCCTTCTACTTGGAAATTTCCACCAGCAGGAATGCGTCGAGAATCAACCGCTGACAGCAAGCTCTCGTGAAAAGAAAACGGGTCCAATGGATTCCACGGAGACCACAGTAATTTAACTCCGTTTGGAGTTCTATATACTGATTACAATTCGTCCGTAGGTTGACCTAGTGGAGAGTGTCGTAGCGGGTCTATAACCCAGAATTTCGCCGCCCGGACTTAGCCGGAAATAAGACTCTACGCTTCCACCGTTTACAAAAGTCTGGCCATCATATCTAGATGAACATCTGCACTGATATAATAGTCCGTTTTCTAAATTCATGTTATGCGAGTATAGTCACGGAAACTATACTTATGATCTCCCCTCCCTGGGTTCATCATATCAGCCATGTGTCCCCGAGACGCTGAAGTTCATTAATTCACTAGAGGCCCCAATGATGCCCGCCCAACTGTCGGGCAGATTATCAATGGCAAAAGTCTCAAAGACAAGTTAATCGGGCAGTCAAGACTCATCAGTGGTTACTCTCCAGGTATAGGGCCAATGCCCTGGAGGCACCTGGTTTGAGAGCGAAAGGTGATTTGCCCAGAACTACACCCGTTTCACTGAAATGATCTGTTAGTAATCTGCTATAAAAGTACTGTTGCAAATACAATACGGAGTAGACTGGTTTCTAATATCTTGGGCTGGGGATATTCTTTGACATTATTAGAAAGCTCTGGAAGGGTATTGAGTGCGGTTAGTGGCAATATATCCACTTCTACACAATCTATCTCACTGAGCACTGTTATTGAATAAAAAAATAGAAAAGAAAGATTGCGTCTTACGAACATGGCCAATATTCCAACATTTTCAACTGCTCATCCTCTACATGTTGCACCCTCTCATATTCCTAGTCACGACATCGAAGACCAAGACACTTTGTAGGAGCCCAAAGCAACACCGCGGACTGTGTCTTCAGCCGTATCGCACATCTGGACTGAAGTATCACGGGAGACGCACCCAATTTGAGCCTGCTGCCTTTCGCCAATGGCAGAGTGTTTTTTGCCGCGCTGCCACCGCCCGCAGGAATATCTTGAAAGATATCGTACAAGAATAGAAAGCCATAGTCTAGGTATCGCGCGCGCGCTAAAACAACGAGGCTGAGACGAGAGCTATCCGCAAAAGCTATTTAATGCTGATTCTCTCCGTTCGTAATTTTCATCTTTTTCTCTTCTTCCAATGTTCTTTTCCGAGTCTCCACTATCATATTTTCCTAAACTATGTCAGGCAACAATACCTGTGTGACGGTGCTTTCTTGTGCCGATAGTCCCCTCTCGACGACCGGGAGCATCATCGGAATTGTCACACTTGCATACGCAGTGTTTATTACGATTGTGTTCCAAGTGAAAGAGCGAATTGCTGTCGATGCGGAAATCGATAAGTTAATCGACCGCTTGAGAGGGGAGTCTAAATCTTTGGAACGAATCCAAGAGTTGGTGTTAATAGGGTCCAAAGACAGAATCCCCGAATCTGTCAGGTGCAGTTTGAGATTCACGCTACAAGAAGCTGTCGATATTATCAGAGATAGTGCATCACCACCATTATTAGCAGAGGCTGCCGATTGCGCATGGCTGCCATGGTCATTACGACGGCTGTTCAGAAGAAATTATTTTCTCCAGCAAAGAGACAAGGTGAACAGCGATCTCCAAACTGTTATAGAGATACGGGTGCAGGTTGAGGGAATATGCAGTAGTGCTTTAAATAGGTTGGTTAATTTCATGTTTCATGCCACGATTATTCTCGGTCTTGGCTCATGTTTTGATGTATCTGGTCTGGTCATCGAGGAGATCGAAAGGCAGAATGCGAAAATCAGTCAACTGCAGGATACGCTACGAACTCAGAACTCGATGCTTGAACAGATGTTGGGCGCTGTTTGCGTTGCTGTCCCTGGTATCCATGATGAGTGTGATAGGTGTTCGACCTTTTGAGTCTGAGGATTCCGATATACGTAAATATAACTTGCGTCCACCTAGTTGATCGGATCTACCTGGCCCTTGGGCTTAAAGCGCAGCATACGTTAGATCATCTGCAATCAAGACCTACTTGATAAACATTATTTTTTGGAGTTGATTCGAATTAACAGCGTGTGATTCATGGACTTGTCTTTCCAAGGTCCGTCAGTAAGTTAACTGCCGCTACTATGTATAGAACTTTCAACGCTTATTGTTTTACAAGACCAAACTATGGTGTGTCAGTACCCAGGACCTGATGTTGAGCAAAGGGAGAGCGATGGTATTTTGACTAATTTATACGTATGGCTTTGGTCTGGCACCTGAGGCCATTCCGACTGAAAAGCTGGCTTCTTAAATATAATGTAAATATGAAACGGTAATTTCATCCTATTAAATACTGTAATACATTCACAATAAAACTATATTGATGTCTGTCAAATACATTAAGCCACTAGGGCCTCGGTAATTGGCCCAGAAAAACAAAAACAGTTGTCAGGAAGGAAGCTGAGTGGTTGTAGTGGACATCATTGGCCTTCAATTGAGCCGTTGTGTTTCATAAACCAATTATCTCAGTCCATAGTGCATGTCATTGAAGATGTTCATCTCGTGCCCCCAATTGCCGTTCAACAATGTATTGAAGGGTTGGTTCACAAAGCTAGGCTCCATCACGGAAGGTGAGACAGAGCCGGGCATGGATATGCACCTGCCAACTAGTTCACAGCGTCCCCACGAACGTGAACCAAAGGTGTCACTAACTGTCGGGTACAGGTCTGTAATACCCGACGTAGTAAGACTGGTGGCTGGTGCATATACGTTGGGGATTTCTTGGGGCGGTTACGCAATGTAATATTATCTCTTTTTTGTGTTCTATATTGCTAAGGTTGGTGAGAATCTGGTTACGGTTTATGGACATTGTGTAGCTACGCGACGATATTTCTCACTTGACCAAAAGCCATTTGACATGATGGTCTAATTTGGTAGGTCAATATATTCAATAATTTGCAAGATAACAGAGTTCAAGCTCAGTTATATACATTCTTTTCCATCCAATCCATGATCAAATCCGCAATCTGGAGATTATTCTTATCCTGCATCATCATATGACTATTCCCGTAAATGCCCAGTTTCGGTAGCTCCGCCATAAAAGCCTTTCCCCCGGCAGCAGTGAGCCGATCCACAACAGTCTGACAGCCCTGAAGTGACTGTGGCCAGAGTTTGCGAGAAACCTTAGCTTGATCAAGGTAATCGCCATAAACAAACAATGTAGGGATTGTCGCCAGCACAGCTATCTCCTCGTCTGTGAGCGTGGGACATTGTCCCTCGATCGAAACGATGCCCTTGACAGCCGAAGAATTGTTCAGGGCTGCATAGAAGGGGAAGAACGCAGACTCCGAGTGTCCGACCAGCACCGCACCGTGTACCTTACTGGCTAAGCTCGCCAGGTTGGCGTATGTGGGATTCGAAACTGGTAGCAGGGCGTTCAGGTCGGGAATTACTTGCTTGGAGAGTTGTGCCATGGCCTCGATGGGAAATTGCAGGCCTGGGAAAACCTGGGGGTAAGTGTATCCGAAGCGGAAGAGATCCCAGGCACGCTCGCGACCGACAATCTCGACTTTCGGTAGGGCCGACGGGGCCACCTCTCCAAGCTGAACTTGATTGAAAATGGTCGGGTCAAAGCCGGAGCGAGCTCGAGACGTCTGATCGGGCACATAGACGGGGTGGCCTTTTCGCACAAGGTATTCGGCCCAACCCATGCGACCGTCGGGCGTATCCTGGTATGTTTTCCCGCTGAGGCAGCAGCCGTGGACAAGAATGTATGGGAGGTGGTTGGATCCATTCATCGGAATTTGATACTCCACGTACATTTGGTCCACCGAGATCCAGTCTTCCGCAGGATAATCAAATAAAGGGTTCGAGCGGTCACCGGTATTCACTAAAGTTTTCACTTCGCGACCACCCACGAAGAAGTCGCCCGCATCTTGTAAGATAAGAGGTCCGTTGCGGTGGCCTTCGATATGCAGGGATGCAGCCGCTGCTAGTGCAGCGGAAGCGATCACACACGCAATTCGTAACATGTGTAGAATAGCTTTAATCGAGATTTCATAGACCGGCAAAGATTCGTGAAAACAAGATCCCCTGCTTTGGGACTGTAATGAATATGGACCCTGACCTTTCGGCGATGAACTAGACGGTAGCTATCGGAATAGGAACGTGCGGCACACCCACCCGATAATCACCAGGCAACGTATTATACCACTAAGGCAAACAAAATTATCCAGGGTATGGGATAGACCAGGTACTTCACTGGGAATATAAGCCCTATCAACGCTAGCGGTCGATTCAATTCTTCCTCCTTCCATCCCTGTGATCGTGTTTCTATTTTTATCACCGCTAGAAGGTAATAATGTTACAAACCCCGCTTAGCTGCATATACGGGGGAGGTTGGGTGCCCTTATAAGCACTGGACATTACTAGCTCCTTGCTAATCCTTGTTAGACCGTCAGCACACTTGACCCTTTTGAGTAGATATTCCGATCTTAGTAGGTATACATCTGCTTATATAGGAATAGAAGGGAATTGGACGCAACCTGACCAATCTAGTACTTGAACTTCAGCTGAACTTCACTGTGTTATATTCAGGGGAAACCGAAAAGCCTAGTATCCTGTGATTTGCATAGTTTACTATTTCAAGCCTCAAGACTTTGAGAAGAGGTTGGTTTAAGGCGCAAACTCCAATTTCCTGGGAATATAAACACATCTGGTGTTAGCGATATCAAACACTGACGTCCCAACGTGAACGAGATACCCTCCTGTCCTAAAAACACAGTTCTCGCTTACTTCGTCATAATATGCGAAGTCACTTCGAGAGGGTTCCAGGACAATTTCTTTCGTCTCACCAGGGTCAACAGTCACCCGCTGAAATGTCAATAGCGTCTTCTAAGGATGGTCCAGGGAGGTACCGCGCAACAAATCCTTTCAACTCTACCACCACCACTGTCTGGCTGGGTGGGGGCGCGGACGATACACAGTTAAAAGCCTTTCTTGCATGGGGGTATGGAGCTGCGGCGATCCAGCTGGGTGAGGGCGGTCCAGTCGCGTATGCGTATTTACACCAGCCTGGACCCTGTGCTGTGCTAGCTACGGGCGTTCTGACGAGGTAGGATACGCTTGCTCTAGATAGGATGCTAGGATTCACCGAGAGTTTAGTCGGAGTTTTGCATTTTTTTGACGAGCTCTGTTGCCGGGTAAAGACCCCCGGTCTGGCTTGGAGGGGTTGTTGACTGAGGTGTCATATGGTGTCCTTCGGACCAGGGGTTGGCCAATTTGCCAGTCGCTCTTGACCAGGTGGGTAAAGTCAAACATTCGACCCGGGAGGGAATGTCGAAGATCCTCTAACGGACGTTTGTCATTTTGCACGCAACGCAAATCCGAAAGCGTAGGAAGGAGCTTGGCCAAGTTTCTCCCACAAACAAACTCCGCCACGGGATACGAGAAATGATTTAACATTGGCCGCGGGTTCCTGGTGTAGCCTAGGGCCTGCGAGCGCCTTTATTAGATAGTCACATAGCTAAGACCCCACAAGTAGAACAGTAGAACAATCGAACAATCAACAATTTCTTACTATTACAGTTGATTGGGTTCCCCGGAAACCCCACCCCGGAGCCGGGTCAGGACCCGGTCCTAGAATTTGGAGCCGAACCTGACCCGATGCCAACTCTAGTTAGAACAGTAATAGGATATATAAGTAACTCAAGGATATTCTAAATCATAGGTTGAGAATTATATAGGCCTTTGGCCATTCAAAATATTAGGCCCTGGCAATATCTTTTACACTACCTATAATATACTAGGCTTCGTCCTTTAATGTAAGACTATAGATTGTATCTACAACAGCTTTACTAGCGTATTTCAAGTCAGATCAATGGATGATTCACTTCGCTTCCTTATGTAGGTCTAACGTGAGGTCCAAGTAACAATTCCCTTTGACTCCAGAAACCCCGGGTGGCGATTAGTATGGGAAATCTACCAACTCCTAGGTGACTGGCGATATAGAATATCCTTTCAAAAAGGAAATTCAATAACGACTTTCGTTTCTTCGCGACGGTCGAACCGCGCGTAGTACTCGGGAGCCTCTTCGATTCCGATAACGGCACTCACGATGGAGCCCGGGCGCAGTTTGCCGGTGGTGATGAGATTGAGCATTTGAGTGCCAAGGTCCAGCGGCGATGAGACGCCTCCACGCACTGAGAAATTATTCATGAAAAGTGGCTTGATGTCAATCGTCTGCTCTTGGTTTCCGCTCCCGTAAACTCCGACGACGCCAATACCGCCCTGTGGTGCCACTACCTGTCCAGCCTGGTGTAGCACAATGCTACTGTTTACATTTCCCTGCGCATCTTCGGCCTCGTAACCAACACAGTCGACGACGCGCGTAACGCCAGCCGGCTCGAAGCGGCGTAGAGCCTCCACCGGGTCCTCCAACGCAAAGTTAACCGGAATGGCACCGTGGGCGGCGGCGAGGTCCAGACGGTCTTGCACGTGGTCTACGACGTAGATCTTGGACGCACCGCGCACTCCGGCAGAAAGGATAGCCATTTGCCCTACAGGTCCGGCACCGAAAACTGCAACCGTATCTCCGGGTTCCTGACCGGCAAAGTCAAGCGCTGCCCAGCCCGTTGCAAGGATGTCGGACATGAAGAGATAGTCATGAATGGTGGATGTATTTGTGCTAGCGTTGATGGGCACAGGCATAAGAGAGTCATCCGCATACGGGATGCGCGCATACTCGGCTGCAGAGCGGAGGAGAGACTATATTAATATGTGCCGTAGTGGAGCAAAGATCACCGGATTAGACAAACTAACCTTGCATACCCGTAGATGACGCCGCGGGCGCATCAATCAGGGGTCCATATTGGTAGTGACCATTGTCAAACGCGAAGGGAATGACGACCCAATCGCCAGCCTTTAGTACCTCAACGGAGTCTCCAACTTCTTCTATGTAGCCAATGGCCTCGTGGCCGATCTGCTGGGGGTTCTCTGGCGAAGCTGAATTCTGGTGGTATCTGTGTAGGTCGCTACCACAAATGGCAGTTGCCGCGATGCGAACAACGGCATCGGTTGAATTTATGATGGTCGGCTTGGGCACATCAATGATGGTGATGTTGAACGCGCCAGCCAGGGCAACTGCACGCATGACAGACTGCATAGTCGTATATATCGAATTCTAACCGGGCTCTACAATGGTGGCACAAAGAAATTTTGTCCAAAAATGTTCTATACAACGTGGTACCGACTAATTTATCTATACACGCACTGATGTCGTTAAAGTCTGAAGGGTCAAGCGATTAGCGAATTTCCAGACGCGTCATGCCGAGCCACGAAATTCGTATTTCCATTAATCGTATTTACATGAGCGCCATACGCTAATGCAAGCTGCTTACAACGTCCCTGCATTTTCCTGTGGAAAAGTCCTGCTGCTAACTGTGAAGCTTTCACAGTGAAACCCAGTCCATTGTACGATTTCATCCAATTCTTATAGTACAGTGGTATGGTGTTTACTGAGTGAGAACGTCGTTATAGCTAGATAAAGGAATTTAGTACATTTGGGTGAGCGGTGCTCAAGGCTGCTAGGAGTCTCTCAGGGTCAACACAGCTAGGCTATTAATCAGCGGGTCTATGGTCTTGATGGCCTTTCTCACAAGATTGTCGATCGCCCCATCATCACACCGCAATTGTTTCGGCCGGTGGGACTAAAGCAAATACGTCAGGGATATGGGAAATCACGGTAGATATGAGTTTAGCGATCTGGATTTCTCTCTGTGTTTCTTCGAATCGTTATCACAGATATGACGACAATATTCCGCCTGCAAGAGTAGACAATACTGTTTTCACAACGCAAACACGGCTACGCCTCTGTGGAGAGAGGGTCTGATACCCGTCAGGAGTATTCATGTTGAGCGTAGTGAACGAAAGGGACTATTGGCAGGAGTGATGGCATTCTGCAAGCAAGGGCGTTTGGGACTAGATCCGGGAGACGGAAACAAGGCGATGCCTCAAATTACTTCTGGAATCGTAATGGGTATACCCATAAATTGCATGCCGGAGAGCCTTGTAAATAGGGCCTGATCATTGTGGCTCTGTCACAATCGCTGGGTAGACCTGTATCCCCAGACTTGGTCACACTAGCGAAGTGGAATGAAGCAGATATTGACATGCGGATCACTTGGACGGACTAAGGTACAGACCCGCCATTAGGGCGTCAGCAACCGGATTTAACCCAAACTCCGCAGTCAGACTTAGAGGCGAACACGCCCCCTACCCATCTTCACTTCTGGTATCCTTGTCTATTCAGGTGTATAAGGCTATGGTGAGCTGGGCTCCTGAGTGCCGCCGCTGTAGCTCTTAACGAAAGTCTGGAGATTACTGAATATCGATAGACTTAAGTCGGGGCCAAAGGACCAGTGGCCAGTCCACTCTGCAGAATCAGATTTGAGAGATACTACCTCGAACCTTGTAGTCCGATCTAGGCGAGCCGCTAATAGCCTTCCAGATACCCGATGGTGCCGATTCTTCAAAACTTATCTTCGAGTCATACCGATTCAGACAGGTTGTAATATCCAAGAAATCAATTGCTTTGCAGCTTGAGCCACCGAGCCACCTAACGTCGACTATCCAAGAATCGTAGAGGCTGTGTAAAGTGGAACCAGGGACGAGTGAGCAGTTGGAACAGCTCAGAGATAAGCTAGTCCCAAAACGAGTCAGATACTTAGTTGAGTCCTAGTGATATTTGTATGAAGGGGTTGCGTAGGCCTTCACAGTTACTGGAACATCGACTGTCATGCAAGCCTGGGGGCAAAATTACTTTGCAAAGAGACCAGACCACGTAATCTTTTGGTCAATAAGCTTTCAGAAAATGGCCGGTAATAGACGAGTTTGATGCCCAGACCTACATATGTTGGCCTAGAATGGACTTCACTCTGTAACTCTGGTGGGGTTTCATTGCATCATCAAACATCGCTAGAAGACTTTGGTCGATTGTGAAAGGGTGTCGAAAAGAGGCAATTTCATCACAACACTGGAGGCAGCCGCTAAAGATCACTGTAAGAGTATTCTATTGGATATTTCGGGTGCCAGAGAGTGGAGATATTGATTACGCGCTAATGGTGGGTCTTCTGCCCGTCTTCTAACAGACTACGGACTATCTGCTTGGAATATAATTGGATTGATAAAAAAGAATAGCTCCCCAAGTCATTCATAGTCATTACCTTACACATCCTCATTTTGCGTTGTTTTCGCAACGGGCACGTTTTAACCAAGCCGCTAAACCCGGCATTGCGATTGATCAACTGCCACAAATCAATGGGGTCTTCATTTTCTCCGGATTTAAGGGGCCTAATGGTGTCTACGGCTGAAGGTGTTTTACATCCACTTATCTCCAGTATCTTTCAGAGGCCAAGCCGCCACCCACTTATAGCCTCAGCCAAAGCACCTTCTACCTAACAAACCCCCGTCGTCTGGCTCATTTCCTCTCATCTGAGGCATCAGCCCAGTATTCACGAATGTTCAGCATCATCGTGAAAGCCCCGGAAGAACGGATTGAAAGTATCGGTGGTAACTGTCCGATTCAATATGAAGAGAAGGACAGGAAGGAGTGGCGCAGGCGCCAAAACCGTCTGAATCAAGAAACATGGCGTAAGTCTCAATCGCAATGCATATGGGTATCCACATTCTTAAAATAAGCCGACGATATTTACGTGACGTCTTCTGCATCAGGCGAACGGCAGCAGATAAAGAACGAAGCTGCTCTTCTGGCAGAGAAACGCGCCTTGCAGCAGCACGAAGCCCAAGTAGTAGCGGGTCTGGGACTGGCCCCAATCAACCGATGCAGACTCAGCAGCCCTATCTACCTCCCGACCTTACACGATTACTATCCATGCTTTCGACCGATGAGGCCTCGAAGCTCTCGGGACTAATGGCGTCAAATCGTTCCAGTTGTGTGCTACCCCATCCTCATCTCTACCGGCTATTAGCCGTCTTCGAGGCGGGGGCCATATCAGAGCTATGCCGGCTCCCCCAGGTCGATCACCTTCTCACATTGGCCAAGTTGAATGTATTTCGTGCGTTTGTACGTAATATCGCGGGGCTGGGATACAGTCAGGAGTGGATGACGGACGATGCTCTCTCGCGCTTTGGTATCAGTGGGCCCTCTCCCCCGCGGGCCCAATCTACTCTTCACCCTGCGCCCAACAAAACTGCAAGACAGCCAGCCTCATCATCCTTGATTAGACTTCTTTCCCTTCGCGTACTTAAGAGACAATCTCATTCGGAATGAGAATGACATGGATGATTCCCAGTTCTGCCGCGATCTCATGGGCTTCTGGACAATGCCCGGGGAGAGAAGCGCCTGAAAAGGAGGGGCCATCTTTAACGTACCCACCGCAGTAATGGTGTAGATTAGTTCAGCTTCGTGGTCCAAAAGTAGCATTTCTAGCACGTTTGGCCTGATATTGGAAATATGACTGACCTGGGTGTAATCAGAAACTGTTGGGTTACGACGCAAGTGTGTGCTTCTGGACTCTGTAATATAAACTTACAAACCATCTTTGGCTATCTCCACCGTTGGTCACCGGAGATGCTGGTAACCCCGTGTAAGGTCACGACTCGTTATCTCTGTCCATGCTTAGAGTAGTCCCAGTAGTAGGACATCGTAGCCCCGCATGATGGTTAGACCCACTACAAGCGCGTAATCAATGACAGAGCGGGATGAGTTCAACATTAGCACCCAAGTATAAAGTGTTCAGACTAGCACACTGGCGCCGTTCATCTGTTCATACTCCTAAGCTCTATCTATGTACACATAGAGATAAACGTTGCTAGTTGCATCATTAATTCGAGGCACCATCTACATCCGCCCACAATGAAAGTCATTTTTGGAGCTATGAATATTGGCGAACCCGGTAAAGCGCTCCAGTCCCCCTCGCCAATCCAGTTGAATCATCCCGTCAATGCACTAACCAGCACAATTTATTTGATGTACAGGCGACGGCCGCACCAGGGTCCACGACATCGAGCAAGCTCGTCGGATGGTTGACCTCTTCAGAAGTTATGGCCATAAAGACATAGATACAGCTCGAATCTACGGGAACGGATCATCGGAAGAATTTCTAGGCCAGATGGGACTATCTTCACTCGCGTTGGATACCAAGCTATTCCCATCAGCCGCCAACCCGTCCATGGCCTCAGCGACAACTGCTTACCACCACTCTCCCCGCGACCTTCGGATCGGGCTGATGGAAAGCCTTAAAGCACTCAGAGTCTCTAAGATCCACATCTGGTATCTGCACAGCCCTGACCGAACCGTCCCTTTTGAAGAGACCCTGAGGGAAGTGAATAAGTTGCACCAAGAGGGACACTTCGACAAGCTGGGCATCAGTAACTACCAGTCATGGGAGGTGGCTATGATCTGTGACATCTGCGACCACAACGGCTGGGTTAAGCCGAGTGTATGTCAGGGCATATACAATGCGTTCCATCGGGCGGTCGAGCCAGAACTCCTGCGGTGCCTACGACATCATGGCATAGCATTCTACTGCTTTAACCCCTTGGCTGCAGGCATGTTAACTGCTCGATACTCCCGCGACAAGCCGGGTGCGGTTTCTGGGGGCCGGTTCGACCCCGTGTCGGCATCAGGAAACCACACGCGTCGGCGCTACTACCATGATGTGTACTTTGATGCCTTGGAGGTCCTGAGACCTTTGGCCAAGCAGCACGGGCTTTCGGAAGTGGAGTGTGCCCTTCGGTGGTTGTCACACCACTCAGAGCTCAAAGAGGAATACGGTGATGGGGTTGTTATTGGGTCGAGCAGTGTGGAGCAGCTGGATGAGAATCTCAAGGCTCTGGCTGGGGGGCCACTTCCGCAGGAGATCGTCGATGCCTTAGACAAAGGCTACGAGACTATCCGCGGCAATCAACTTATCTACTGGCATTGATTTCGAAGCTGTCTTTTCAATTTGATAGAGGCGCAAATTGAGTTTGGTAAAAGGCAGAAACCCATGTATATCTACCTATAGATTGTGTAATTTTTCCTGGCGACTAAAGACGGAAACTGAACGTCTTCATCCCCATCCTCTTCTTCTACATTTTCCCAGTGTCGCCAGACCTGAAGCTGAGTATATTAAGCAAGTGATTGGAGGTACGTTTTTGCACATTCACACCATTAAGCGTAACGCTTCGCGCCCTGGCCTTTCTGGGTTATAAGCTGTAACTCAGTCGATATACTCAGAAACGTGGTTGAAGAAGGCACACCATGGGTTGAACATATCGGCTATCAACGCATGGAATAGTGATATTGAAAGTCAGATTCATCCTAATTTCGCCTTCTCGCCGGACGGACGCACGGTCGCGCCAGCTTCCTATGATGAGTCAATCCGGTTTTGGGACACGGCCACAGGTACACAGAGAGAGAACCATCGATCTAATTTATCAGTGACAGCCCTCTCATGTTCGGTTGATGGCTACCGTCTACACTCCAAACATGGCTCAGTCTCCTTGAACAATAGAGCCTCCGAGTTTTCTGGCAACGAAATATTCATGCATGAGAAATGGATCAGTCGCAACAGGCAGAACTCGATTTGGCTTCCACTGCAGTATCGGGCGACATGTGTGTGCATCAGCGACAATACGGTGGTCCTTGGTCATACATCTGGAGCTTAGATAGTTCTCTGGCTAGCGCTAACAATATTGTAAATGCTACAGTTATTGTCGGTTGCCTTGTGCCCATCTTGCTAGTTCGTATTGGCATTTTTTTTTATCTTTATATAAAACGGGGGCTTGAAAAACGTGTCTAATTTATTGTGCAGCGGAGAGAAGTAAAGCAAGCAATCTACAGCATATATTTTCAGCTTCGAAATTTCTCATTGGTCCACGGTTCTGGGTTTAATTAGACAAGAACTGACGCCTGATGTTATTTACTATTTTAACTATCCCACTAATATATAGTCTGTTGCGATACCTAAATTTCTAATTGATTTAAAAACGCTGGTATGCCCAGATTCGTAGATTATTTGTATAGTTGATCGGGTTCCCCGAAAATCTCGCCCCGAGCCCGACCCGATAGCAACGCTAAAAGTAATTTATTAAATTACTACAATTCTATTATTAAGTATTTAAACAGGTTATATATAGTATTTTGTATACTTTACTAAAGTTATATTAAGTATCGAATAGTTAAGACCGTGTGGGCCAAGAAAGGGATGATCTCTGATGGGGAGTATCCTCTAGCCGTGATGTCATAGCTCTGCAGTTCAGCCCTAGTTTCAAGCCGGAGAATCTTCGGGTGTGTCTCGGGCTTGCAACCTATGTGTACATAATTCATGTCAGAGAGATATTGAAGGTTGATGCCGGGTCGTCAAATCGCCTTTTATGAGGCCATTGTTGAACGTCTTAAAATGATATGTCATTTTGGACACTTAATTCAACGGTGACCGTCCTTCTAAGAAGACTTTGGTCCCTTGATGCCAAATGGCGGTCACGCTTCCTGCGGGTACCTGGTGAGCCGTGACTTAGATGTACCCTACCCCTCTTTTATGTTCAACAGCAGCACAAGCAACTACTACTCACTAAAATCACGGCGGTAATATATCATCCTTCTGACTCATAATATTCCTGAATCACATTATGAGGCCAATGGCAACATAATTGTCGGCAGGTCAAGGTGGCATTGATGCCGCGTATATCCAAAACGGATCCATGGATGGCTGTTGTGGATCCCATACACAAAATTACCCCACACCGCCCCTGAGTTCAGCTGAGGACCTCATCCACCCAAGAATTGTGTATCCATCGAATGAATCTTTTGCATTCTGTAGTCAATTACGGAATAAAGCTACGGTTTACTTCCCTCGCCGTACGGTTGTTCTACAGGTCATCAGATTTGAAGTAATTTGTTCTTTAATTCATTGAGATCATATCAAGAGAGAATGTCTAACGAAACCCTCTTACTCGTAGTGGGGGCGGATAGCCTCTTCAGCGTGCTTCTTAGCCTCGTGCTGGGCCTTGAGCTTGTCAATCTGGTCGAGACCCTTGGTCTCGAAGAGACCGGTAAGGGCGGCGGCAGCGAAGCCACCGATGATCTCCTTGGCCTGGGCATGCTCAACGACCTTGCCTGTATGAAATTAGATTATGATGAGGTCTTTGGGATGAGGACATCATACCGTTCTTGGCCTGGTAATCGTTGAACATCTTGATGGCCTCGTAGCCAGCAGCTCCACCAATGAGGTCGTGGGTGAGATGGTTCTCGTGGCCCTGGGACTCCTGGACCTGATTGTAGGCGTTCTCGTGGAACTCGGCTGGTCACGTCAGTACTTATTGGTTAGACAGGGTGAAAAAATGGCAAAGACATACCGAAAGGAATGTTGACCATTTTGAATGATGTGGTTTGAGTTGAAGGATGTAGAGAGAGGTAGAGTGTTTGTTTGTGTCTGCAACACCGAATCAGGGGAGATATTTATATTCTTTTCGCAGTCCCGTGTTGCCCCTCCCGGTCAGGGGCTGAGCTGAGCTGATGGTCTCTTCTGCTGTTGCCATTATGCAATTAGTCGACACGTGTACTCGAGATGATAGGCTAAGCTTTGGTGAAAGCCGAAGTCGCGATGGCGGGTCGGTGGGGGGGGCTGTGGCGCTGTGAAACGGTGTTTGGTTACTATCGGGGGAGCTTAAGCCCCATTAGTCGGCGCCATGATGCTTAGGGGAAGCTTAGGGGAGGCTTCAGGGAGGGGGCATCGAGATAGGGTGGGAAAAGATCGTGTTGATCTCTGTCTAGCGGCTCGCTTAGAGATCGAAAGTGGACCCATCAGCACCACTTGTGGCAAAGGTGGTCCTATTATATTTTGTATACGACTGGCAAAATTCGTAAAAGGATACGATATACATATACAAAACACACCGACAAGGATCAACGCAATCTTCTCACACCTTACCATACTCGATGAGACGAGGGGCAGCTGAGTGATGGGAGGTTTTGCTAGATCGTGTTAAATCAATGTGGATGTAGGTTCCGGGTTCCACGATTCGGGTCCGAGATTGTTGATGTTGCCTAGTTAGGACTAGAGCTGTTGTTTCTTCCAAAACAATTTCTCCCCACAACAATCCTATTGATACGGCGTAGATTAAAGTAACTCAACCTAGGAAGAGGGATTCCAGTAGCTCCCCCTTTCAACAGATGTGGATACTTGTTGTTTTGGAAGCACAAAGTCCTCCATAGAACAATCCCCCGATACAAGATGTCATGTGATTGAGGACGCATGGTCAGGGATAAATGCAGTGATAAACTGTGTTTTAACTGACACTCTGCATGATGCATTAAGATGCATATATATCCTTATTACGACGAAGGTATATTTGGTTGTGTGTATAACTCATATTCACTGAATGGGAGAGGTTGTTGAGTGCAGTTTTCTTCTTCCCGGTTAGTATCGACAGTGAAATTTTGAGAGGTTCGGATACCCATATCCAGCTTCACATGGCCCCTAAGATAGAAAAAGTATGGAAACAACGAGGAAATGAGGGGTGGTTGAATGAGGCTGTGCGCATGCTACGTCATTGTGGCTGTACAGTTTGTGGCTATGCAACCCACTTGATAGCTAGGCTAGATTTAGCCGCCTCGTTTTTGAGTCATGGATATGTTGGTATATGTTTGTATATAGATGTGTCCAGCGCTACTGGCGATAGTGTATGTATATACAGGCCACGTAGCTAGCTGTTGAAGAGTTTTCTCGCTCCTCAATCAGCTTTTTCTCAATCACACCCATTGGTTCTGTATAGTCATACAAAAAATATATTCCGGATCCCATCATGGCGTATCGGGAATAAACTCGGCGGAAACTTGCCGTAATGAAAGGGAAAATGGAGGTGAGACAATCATAATACTACTATATTCCACGATGTCCCATACGTAAGGTTGTAGATTGGATTAATCATTCCCTGTCTGTCAAGTTGCATTATGACGGTTCATCAGATAAGACATGGTAAGATAGTCACTCTTCTTTTACATACAATAGCTGCATCTGAGACTGGGACATACAATTCAATGCTCTAGCTTCAGACCACTCAAATGGGTCAAAGAGGATCCGTTCACGTAATTATTACTATTATCACTTTAACTGTAGCAAAGTCACCTCCTACGAGTAGTCGCCCTACCCTAAGTCAGTGGGATATAATAATTTCTGACCGCGTCGCAGCCAACATCCTTATCACTGTTCAAAATCTAGATCAACATCAAGACTAAATACGATTCATGGTAGAGAAAGGCTAGCCCATAACGGGCTAATTCTGCGAGATTTAATACCCTACATGCATGACTACGCGCCTCATTTGTCACGTAGAGTCAGAGATGGTCGGTCTCCCGTTCCCTGAAGATGTTGTCAGAATATGCACGACATCCCTTGTCAGTGTATTTGATAATAAGATACGGGTGGCCCACTTCTCGGTGCAGGAGATCCTTATTGTCAAGAAAGGGAGAGTCACCATCACAAATGCCAATTTACGGTGACTGAGGGACACAGACGTCGCTGAAAAGACGGTAGATTCTCTTCTTGCCCAGACTGAAGTTCTGACTGGGGTAGATGCGATGAAGCTGCCTGCGTTCCTATACGCAACCAGGTACTGGAACACACACTTGTCTGCCGCAGTGGACATCCATCAATCACGTTTTGGAATACAAGCGAAGATCGACCGCCTCTTTACGGAGTCGAATGTCTACTTTAACTGGGTGCATGGGGCTGACAGCGATGATAAACATCAGGATAGCCATTGGAGTAAAGCGCTCCTAGAGTGCCAGCCACCAATTGAGAGGGCAACTATCTTAGGCTTGGCTGACACAGTCAACACTCTAGTTGCCCAAGGTGCTGACCCCCTACTAACTTGTCAGGGGAAAGAACTCTTCACCCTGGCTGCTTAGAAAGGTTAGCTAGATGTTTTCCAGTTGCTGCTGAGCAAAAGGCTACCCCTGGACCAAGAGACTGACCTGTCTATATTACAACTAATGGACCATCGCAAGGCTGGCAAGGCCAAATTGACCAAGATCTTAGAGACCTTATGGGAGCAAGATTTCCTTCGTGAAGAACGACAGATTCGAGTAACACGCTCAGTCAATCTGTGCTGAAATTCTCGATGGGAAACTCAATGTCGGGGGTCGAGATAATGTCTGTATTCCCGGATATGCGGCCACAGATATCTGTACGACATTGCCTTGATGTCGTTGCTCCTTGAACGGCAGTCAGGGTCATTTCTTGAAGAGCTTTGGAAAGCGACTTGGGCGGACGTTGATTTTGACCTTTCGGCAAGACTTGATGTATTTGCTGCCTTCCTAAAAAAGGCAGGGTCAGAGATTACCGAGGCTATAATACAGGATTATCCCTATGACCCAGAAGGCCCCAACAACTCCGCCCGTGACGCAGTCGTTGAGTTGTTTTGTGGGATAGATGACGACGGAGACACCTTTCAACTGACCTCCCGGCGACAGAGCAGATGGCAGAGATCATCGTGGAACGATGCGGAAAGAGTGCCATTGAGACATCCTTAGAGTGCAGGAAGGTCATTGTCATGGAATCTTTGATTAAGGTGACCGAGAGAAATCGTACTGTGGATGAGAAGGAGGTGATTGAATGTTTGAAGCAAAGGAGAGGCTAGACTCTCATGTCATTACGAAGAAATAGAATCGTTATGCAGTCATTCAAAGGCGCAGTCCTAATTACCAAACTTCGTACATACAAAGATGAGCAAATCAAAACTCTGGTTAGCTATCTGGTATGGACATGGGAAACATAGTCGGAAATTAACCACATAGATGCAAGGAAACAGATCAAACGGACAGACAAGCTACTATATCACCGAGAGAGCTGGACACGCGCCAACAGCCAGTGCGAAGTAAATGTACAACGAACGACCATTCCAACCGATGAGCAAAACAGAGATCTATTTGACACATAGGTGACGAGTAGCTTAACCCGATCCCCCGGGTCACTGAGCGGGGCTCGAGCAGAAATATGACGATTGGATGAAAGACTAGTCAAATATTTCACTGTCTTCGTGTCCGTTTAGGCTCGTATCATCGTCATTGATCTGTAGCCTGGAGAACTCTTCAGCTATGAGTGTGGTCTTTGTGCTCCATTTGAAGACCGAATGACTTTTGGAAAGCTGTCGTCCTTGACAAATGTAGCCCGCAGGGGTATGCCCAAACTCCCGACCCTTTCTAGTGACGGCCAACCACTCTTGCAAAAATCCGAGAGAGTTATCTGCAAACGCACCGCGTTCAGCCATTGCAGGATTGTCTGATATTCCTGCATCAGTAGCGGAAGTACTAGCTATACTTAGGTACTGCAGCGTCTCTCTGTACTCCTCAAAATCGAGGTAGAGACGCCCAGATAAGATCCCGAGTTCTATTCTCAAGGATGTTGGGAATCGATTGTCGCCCTTCAGCGGTGGGACTGCGTAGAAATCTAATTGATTGAATAGCGTCATTTTCCTAGTGAATGGTGCGGCGTAGACGAGAAGATGCGTTGCCGGCGTCTTCTGCATTCTCAATGTTGGGATAAGGCATTCCGCTTCCTCCGGTATAACAACAAGAGCTGTGTTTGTAATGGGGCTCCACAAGATCCAGTGGATGGGACGCTGGATATAATTTAGTGAGATGCTTGTACTGATGTCAAGTCCAGCACTTACAAGGAAGTCATCTAACCAGTCACCATGTCTCGCACTAACGATAGTCCTGGTGAATTCGGTGGAAACGTATAGTTTCGATTTTCCCACACCGCGGACTCCGTGTTTCCTTCCTAATGCTGTTCGTTGTAGTGCAGCAAAAGCTGGCTCATACCCACTGGTGCCTCGAAGTTCTCCAGTGGTGGCAAAGTTGAGCACCGCTGGTTGGAGTCCGGGAAATTCCAGCGGCTGGAAGAAGACAGGATGTTGGGCTTCCCGAACCTCCTCGACCTGTGCCTCAAGTTCACGTTCCTGCTCGACCTCTGTAAATTCTAGGAGTGCAGACACCCCACTAGTATCAAGGTCAAGACGCTGCTGGTCCAGTTCACTGAGGAACTCTTGGATAATATTTGGCCTTTGTACGTCAGACCGTACCACCCGATCTACACTTTTCGGCATATACAATTGTTTTAGTGTCTGCTGCTCCTGATGTATTATCTCAACTAGGAAAGCTTGTTGGTGGCGCCGGTCCGAAAGAATGTTTTTGTATGTTGAAGCAGCTTGGAGCCGACGGCAGAAGTCGTATCCCTGGGTGAGATATAATCTTTGTAGGTTTTCATTACTGCAGCAGCTTTGCTCAAGGAGCCAAGCTACGACATCTGCCGAGTCTAGTTTGTTGGTGCATGTTTTCTGTCCAACATCTAGGATACTTTGATGAACGTCTGGCGAGGCAATGAACACCACAGATTGTGACTTCCCTAGTTGACGGAGCCTCATTGCAGCTGGTCATGAGTTAGACTCGCGAGCTTATTCAAAGAGACAAGAGCGGAGGGATAATCACCTTGAACCGTTTGGTCCTTAGTTTGACCGAGACTCAGTGTCAGTGCTCCTTTCGCTAATGGGGGAAACTTCAAATCGGTGCCGCGCGTATGGGCTTCATCTAAATACACCAAGCAGCCATCTAAGTTACCCGCAAATGGTGACGCTAATAAGGGGACCTCTTTGTTGTTGCGGTCTACAACCCAAGGCTTACTACCTGAATCAAAATAAACCGCTGCTGGAGCACGATGATCAATTTCCATCCATTTCCGCACAAAGCTTTTGTTGTCCAGCTCCAGAATGTGTGCTCCGGCATCTATAAGGATACGGATGCGCATCTCGTGGAGCATCTTGATGAATTGGAGTTCAGATAAGCGTTTACCGTCTGAGTGTGTGGCAGGCACATATAGTCGATTCCGCGGCTGCAGCAGGTATGTTAAAACCTCTGCATTTGTGTGAAATAGCTCTGGCAGATCATTCTGTCGGATCGTCAGGGGAAGAAGCCCCCGGTTGTCATTCGTGCCACTGAATCCAGTGGTCAATGTGCCTGACATGGATTCCTGGCATAGCGTCGAATTTCTCTCGGTAGTAAATAGTGGGATATCCCATCCGGACATTTGCAGTCTTTGTGAAAACTGCCTTGCATGAATTGGAAACACCATATGATCCAAAAAGTAGTTGATGACAGTCACAGAGTAACGTACATGGTTCCAGACCTCGCGAAGCTGGCCTTCGTCGTCAATACTAATCAAGTTCCAGTGCTGTAGAGGCTCTGGTAAGGTTTTTACATCATGGGTCAAGCGGTCATATTCGCTGGATGGATCATCGGAGTCAGAGAGCTGTTGCAGAGACTGGCGTAGCTGCTCGATCGTAACACCACTATAATAGAATGACAGGCATGTGAGCACTATTGCGACATCAGGGTGGCCCCATTCAGCTTGTTCGGAAGGGACCCCTTTAGCATGGAATGGGACCGCGACAGGATCCCTCTTGGGATCCAAGCCATATTGAACATTCCATCTCTTTTTTAGGCACTGCAGAAGGATATCATGGCCGAGTAGCCCGCGAAGAAGAAACATTTTGTCAATAGCCACCGGGTCAACAAATGCCTCCATCGCAGCTGTAACCACGGACTGGTCAACTGCACTGTTAGCAATAAAACTCCGAACAGCTTGTTGACAACCCACAGCTGGTGTGGGAAGGATTGATGTTCGACCTGAACACAGATCGTCGGCCAGCCTCTGGTTGATGAAGAATTCCACATCCGGTCGGAATATATGAATCAACGGAAAACCATCATTGGCACGATTTACCAGCTCAACGCTTGAGGGGAATTCCTTTTGGGCGTCCTGTAAATACTCCTTCACTAGGTTCAATAAAGCATGAGCAATCTTCCATCGATAAGGCTGACCGTCTAGCGGTAGCTGGGTTCCGCTTGGATAAACCAGCTGCGTCTTAACAGCCAACGAGAAATCCGATTCGTCTACAACATCACGACAAACCCTTGTGAGCCAGTCTTTTATAGATATCATATGTCTGGCCGACTTTAGGCGCGAGTCAGAGAGACACTGAATCCCACAAAGCTTGAAAGAAAGCAAGTGTTCCGGCGTGGTAAGAACAATGCCACATTTACGCAATGACTCCATATGTAGAGCTTTGTAGTCTTGAACAAATTCAACCTGTGTTGGTGATTTCCGAGAGAAGGGAATATGGTAGACTTCGCGGCCAACGAGGCCTCCTAGGCGTGATTGAATCGTTTGTGCAGTCTGTAACAACAGAGCCTTGGGTACAATCAAGCGTGCAAGGTTATGGCCATTGGCCAGAACACATGCCACCATGGGCATAATTACTGACGTCTTTCCTATTATTAACGTAAGCATGTATATTTTGAAAGTCATTCCACACCTTCTGTGGAAGCCTACCTTGACCCATGTTCAATTGAAGCACGGAATTGGATTTAGACTCGGGAAGTATTGTTGCTCGCGCAACGGCTACTTGAACCTTTCGGATAAGCATGTTTGCTTCGATCTCCATTAGCAGCCAATCGGGGAATTCACTGGGCTCCCAGTTTTCATGCCCACGATTGTTATACTCGTCTTGCAGACGCTGTACATCGTTCTTGAGGCTAGCATCTTGGATTCGTAAAAGCCGTTGCAAATGAGTTATTGACAGGCCGTAGCTTAAGAGAGCATCCTTCATTCCTGGACCAAAGTGACACTTGTTTGTCGATCTAAGCTGTTCAAGCACGATTACCGGGGTAGTGCAGGGCCATAATTGGCCTGCATGGAGCCATTTATACCGCGCATCGTTGGCGATAAAGAGGGTACATATTTCCGCAAGCTGGTCTGTCAATTGACCTTGGGCTTCTAAAATGATAGCCGGAAGATTAGCGGGAGTGGGAATTACTTCTACCATGTCATGCTCTGTGGATTGTCGTTGAAACGCCGTTAAACTATCTTTCATATCCCTCGCGTATGCGTTTCGTACAGCAGATCTCGAAGAACCCAACTTTGTCAGTATGCTTGAAAGCTCCTCAGCCTCATGTGAGTCTCTTGTTTTTTGTGGTGCTGTGTCATTCGATGCATGCTCAGTGTAATCAATCGCTGGCTGCACAAATTGTTCTCGTCTTGGCAAGGTAGGCCATGGAGAAGATTTCAGTGGATATAATATCGGGCCATTCTTTGAAAGAAGGCTAGATACTGTGGGAATCTCCAGACCCCGGGACGGAGCGGAATATCGTAGACGACGTGGCGAAGGCATGTTCGAGGCGACCGGATTGGATCTTCTCTGATATTGGTTGAGAACCCTTTGGATCGCCAGAAGATTCTGTGACAATTCAAAATTCTCGAAGAGTCGCAGCCACTCTGTTCGGACCATGTCAACGGCCTTATTGACGTCAATATGGGTTGCGGTTAGCGTGACGTTGGAGGGTCGTCGACACGGCCACTGCCGTAGGAGCTTATTTGCGAGTGCATAGCACTCATTACTACAGAAGCTTTCAGATTCGGTTGAAGAATTGTATGGCCTGCCAAGATTTGCACCATCCCTAAGTATCTCAGGATACCGGCCTATTGATGCTTTGAGAGATTCTTGTGTAGGCTTTTCGTCTAATCGAAATCTAGAATACCCAGTATGGAGTGGGAGGTCGAGGTCTTTAGCATCCTTCAAGATGCAGATCGCAGCCAGACTTCGAAGAAGGCTCATGTTTGCATTGTCCGCGAATGCCAGGGTACCCAACGTGAACATAGACTCCATGTGTAGACCATTGGAGTCGCGGCACAGCATGAACAGTCTTCCCCATTCTTCGCCGATGTCTAGATCAAGGAGGTCGCTGAGCTGAGGACTCTGAAACCTCGCAATATACCCTTTAATGTACGGAATTCCATCAAGAAGTTGGGCCAGGTTTGTAGTGGTGCAAATATGCGAGGGACTAGTGTGAAGGAGATTAATAATTTCGAATACATTGCCTGTGGCACTGTTCCGTTCCAGTTTGTCTCGGCTGTCATACGATGCATCGCCAGAGCCTATCGAGGCGAATGTTGGTCTTGGAAAGGCGTCCGGTCGTTCGAATCGATGACGTCGAATGTAGCTCCTCTCTCTTAAAGAGGCGGCACCACCTGGTTCCAGTTCCAACCGATGGATATCGTGCGATGTAAACATAGAGAGCCTCTCCGCCTTTGCCAGAATATTCTCAATGGCAGGTCGGTATTGATCGTGTTGAATGGTCGTCGTCAGGTTTTCGTCCCAGGTGACGTCTTGCTGTCGTTTCAAATGCGAAGGATAGTACTTCCTCACTGGTGTAAGTCTCGCAATGGTTTGAAGGGGTACACACTGAGCAGGGCCCAGAAGAGTCCAAGGCTGGCTTTGCGCAGATGCTAAGCACGACAAAGCCTCCTCGGTGCCGGTACGTCCTGTGAGGGCATCGGGCAGAGCGAAAGAAGTAAAAGCATGTAGTTGCGATTTTGTAAATACTAGGAGTGGCTCTGGCGGACATTCCAGCCGCCCCAGTGTGTTATCGATCAAGTATCGCCCATATCGACCGTCATTAACGACCCTAACCAGTACGTGAGGATCGTGGCGGCGGTACTGTATTGAACCAATTGGCACGACAATACTCCGACGTTGATGATTCTCATCGTCACGAAGAACAATCTTGCTTTCCAAGCCATACCATGTTCCCGCATCCTGGTTTGGATCTACCTCCGAGCGTAGCTGTCTGCAGAGTAAATTGCCATTCCCATTAACGGTAAAGTCTAAATCCATTCGTCTCAACTCGACGCTAAGGTTGTTTTTGACTGGCTGAAAAGCAACCAGCCTGTCCGCAGCCTCGAAGTGCTCAAATATCCCAGCAATCTGATGAAATAATTTGCTGTGGGGATCGACCAGGAGGCTTTGTCCGCGTGCCGCCTGACGTGTGCTCACGTTAAGCATCCAATTTCTAGGACGTTTATGCCACCACATGTGGGCCCGTCTTCTGAATTCCACCTCACCTGAAGCCAAATCTAGCCAGTGGAAATGTTCGTTCAGGAGCGGAGTCGGTACATCAGGTATAGTGCCGATGCCAAAAATTGTTCTCTCCAAAAATTGAAGGGTGGTGCCTCGGACGCGGGCCCGTATCACAACCTTACCTTCTTGCATTCCGAAATGTATTTGATGTCCGTGCTTGAGCGTGGATAGCACATATGTCATACCTTTCAAGGCGGATGGGAAAACGAGTAGTTGCTGAGTTCCAAATAGCTCTTGGACACTACTTGCGGCCCGTATCTCAGCCGGTAATTTGCCGACGGGTTTTAGGTCTACAAGGAGATGCCCGTCTAAGATATGGTAATGGACTAGCTGTGATCTGGAAGTCTCTGATGCATTCGCGGTTGAGACCATCCACATATCAGATTTCGAGATGAATCTCCAAGGATGATACGTCCTCTGGCGATCTGCGGTTTCAGGCCACACACTGCTGATGGCATGCTGCAGACTTTCTGGATGGGATTGGATCGTGCTCTGGAGCAGCCCGTGCATCGACACAGTCATCTGAATATCACGTATAAGCATTCCTCTGACTGCGGCTGGGAGCTGTTCAGGAGTAAGCGTCATGTTTTCTGAAATTGCCAAGCAAGCGCGGAGAAACATTTCCAAAGCACCCTCATCCTGTAAGTCACCACAATCAGCTGCGAATGTCCTTTTACATAAGAGCCCAGCTAATAATGTATAATTGCCGAGCTGTTGCACAGCATCTGAATTTTCTGCCTGGCCTATCTCCTCACGTATTCGGTGTATCCATCGTAATGTAATTTCCCGTACTCTTCGTAGAAGTCTGCTGCCTTCTGTAGCTGCTTGCGTCGGCCCGAGTGAGCAAAGACGAAGCACAAACGTTATCAATGCCTCCATGCAGAGCGACTCTCGCCAATTATCCGAGATTCCTTGTAATAAACTCTCAATTTGGGTTGCCAGCCGAGCACAAAACGTGGCGTCTTCGAAGACCTCGTGGACCTTTCGCAAACGTCTTCCGCTACCGCTTGGACCGACTTGCATCGCAAGATAGTTGAACAGATGCATAGTTGGCTCGGAGCTGAAATTTATATTTGATGAGCCCAACTCGCGGAGCATTGATAGCCAACGAGAGGCCTTGCCCGCAAGTAAATTCTGATATGCCATGTATTCATGAGCAGTCAGGCTGCCTGGCGAGCTGTTCTGAACACTCATTACTTTGTAGGATGACCGTCCATCTGCATCTGCCGCGAAATCCGAAGCATTTTCGGGTCCCAGTAGGGTGAGAATTGATTGGTGGAGTCCAAATGAATATGCGAAGGTGAACCCCGATGACAAATGCGATGCCCATCTCTCCTCCCTCGTATCATAGTATGATAATTGAAGCCCGAAGGGAAGAAGTACCTGGGCGCTCGTGACCGGGAGTGCTGATCCTTTATAGTGGGAGACAAGGAAAGGTTTCGTCGTGGATGCTAAATGGAACCGTAATTGGTGATGATGGGCGTATGGTCTTAGAGGGTCCCATCGGGACAAAAGCTCCCTCGGCGGAGGTGAGCCTGTCTCCATACGTTCATCTCTCGGTCTTCCAAATTTGGTTATTATCCGCCATGATGTGTCCCGATATGCGGCCAAACAGGGCGGCATGCCAAGCTCGAAAAGGATCGCTCTCCGTTGAAGAATGCCTTGCTTTGAGCTCTCCTCGGGTAGAAAGTCTTCATGGACCGTTATTTGCAGCTTCTTTCGCTGCTTCTTGAGCCTGCAATGGGTACAACCAATGCCAGGTTGACCTTGTTTTCGAGTGCAGATTGCAGTTGTAATCCTCTGGGAAAGGCTTGAGTATTGCTCATTGATTCGGCTCAGTTCCGCCTTCTTCCGTTCCTTTGCCGCAGAAGATGCGGTTGCAATATCACGATCAAGTCGTTGCAGCCGGCCAGCATCTCGGGAATCGCGAACATATCGATCCGCGAAGCAATTGCTCACGAGGTTGGAGAACAACGTCAGGGTTTTGAATTTACACTGCTTCTCACGTTGTTGCAGATATTGCTGTATCTCCTGAAGCCGAACTAGATCATCGTACTTAGAAAGCTGTAAGATGTCTAACACTTCTGGCGGAAAGGGTGGGCGGTATTCCTTGAGTAGTGGGAACTGGTGCACGGCGTATTTATCCATGACCACCCACAACTGGAAGAGAGTCACCATCATAGCACTTTTTTGCTCAATGCAATCGTCGTACGAGTTGGATACCTCGTCAAGGTAACGATCAATTTCTTTCGCAATTATTGCCGTCTTATCATCGTGGTATGTAATTTTGGACAACTGGTATCTATCCTTTAACTGCGTATCCAATCTTTGCAAGGCAGAGTACCGATTTGCAAAATGTGTATATGGAGAATGCACGACATTGTCGACATTTACATTAGCGGTTCGTCGAGGCTCTTTCGCACGGACAGGTTTGGGTCGTGAAAGGAGCTGGCGAAGATGAGGACCACTGTTCGGAAGCTGCAAGTGAAGATCATGCTGATGCGCTCGGTGAGGCAGGGCTGGGATGCGCTTCTGGACAGTGCTCTTGAAGGAAACCCACTTCTCTTCCATTATTCCCGTAGCTCCGTGAATGACAGCCTGAAACCAAGATCCATGACTTTGAAATGAATTTTCGGCCACTCGATATGATGCCCCTCTTAAAGCTTGTCTCTCAACCTCCAGCTTGGCCAGGCGCCGGGATAGCTTTGCGACGAGCAAATGACATGACTCCACGGGCAGTACGTCCATAGCCTCTTGAAGTAATTGAGCGTGGATAGCACAAATAAGAAACTTGTAATACACCCGCCCAATCTCAGGACCATGCAGGGAGTAGAGAAATCTCTGTATACAGACTCGAATAACCAAATACAACGGGTTCCTGCGCCAAGGAACATAAGCGTTCGTCCAGCAGACATCATCCCTTACCCTTTTGCGAAGCTTTGGGACCGACATCTGGGAACCCTGTGCCTCTAGGAGTGTCATGAGCATCTGTGTTATCAAATGCGGTTTGGGGGTGTCGCGGGCTTCTATCAGAGATGCTCCCGCTTTTCGCGCTCTGGCTGCGAATCGCTCAATCCGTTCCTCACTTGCCTGGTCCAGAAATATTGCTAGACGCTCCTGGAAAGATTGTTCTTTGAACCGAGCCATTGGAATGGACACCGCGCCCCCAGGAAAGTCGCATTGTAGGGCATCTTGGCATTCGAGGACACTTTCCGCAGCTGGAGAGGCTTCGAAGGCTTCAAAAACCACTTGTTCCACACCGTCATCCCTATTTGCCACAGTTAAAGAATGCATTGTTAGCTGGAACGAAGATGCATACTGACCCTTTCACCTGCTGGATATAGAGTCCGGAATTCTGCTTTTCTATGTAAAGGATCATCCCCACGTCTTTCTCCATTATCGAAAACGCCTCCATGAGAGCGAAACGGTCTACATGACCATTTTTGTGGACTGCATGGCAGAGGTCTAGCGATACTTTCACTCTATCCCATACGTTCCTGTGGTCACTTTCGGACGCTCCCAGGAGTGTATTTGTTGCGTTCAAGGCATGCTGTGCAATGTGTCTATCAATATTATGCACAGCACTGTCGTGTTCACTGGGGAGTCGGGGAGGCAACACGATGTGATTGAAGATCAATTCTAAACACTTTCTGGGAATTGTCATTCTGACCGGGGAGAATCAGAAAGTGATAGTGTAACGTCGGTGGATGTTGGGGTTCGAATATGACGATTATGAGCAAGCGATAAAATAAAGGAAAAATGAGAGGGAACGAGAAAGACGCGGTTGGATCATGAACACCCCGGCATTCACTTATTTTTAGGCGTCTCTAGGCAACCTAGTGCTCTTTGTCATTATCTCATCATTTGGGCTTAGAGAGTAGCTTAGTCACTGCGACATGACTCGAGAACCACATGTTTTAACCTATATTCTGGGACCATCATGTTGTGATTTCGTGGGTCCAGTAGGCGACCAGTATAGCGTAGCCTTGCAGACGCGACTCGCAAAATTATGTTCAATTTCAGGAAGGCTGCATTATCTTGTCTCAAATTACGCGCCGGCAGGGAATCTACCCCACCAAGTCAAATGTATGGAGTGACGTGGATTTTATTTCTTTTGGTGTAAGTCCAATGTGGACACATGTGGCACAATCTATAGGATAATAGCCATAAGCTGTGGACCACGGAGGGCCTTTCGATCCGGTAGGTAGAGAAGCAGTTCGCGTTCATACCAAAGGCTCCCGCGTATCCCGGTTCAGTTCAACGTGTTGCAACTCATTAGGCGCCGGGTGTGATGCCCTGTTTTCACATGAACCTATTTTTAACCCCTGGAGTGTGTCTGATATGACTGAGGCTGTAAAATTGGAGTGTCCGTTCGTCCAGCCCCCTCGGGAAACACGCACGTTCCCAGGTTAACTTTGCTTAACAATGATCTGACCTCAGTGAGTTAGGTATTCTCCACAATTTATAGTTGTGTCGGATATAATATTCAAAACATACGAAATATAGATTAAGTGATCGATTGTTTGGCGTATGTGGATAATGAAGTGGCTGGGTTTCGGGATTACAGTGTGTTGCTGCGCGGTGGGGATGCTAGATTGTTTGTCTTTGTTTGTGTTTCTATATTCTATCTTAGATTGATATTACCGAACAGCCTTTTTTACCATAATAAAGTCTCATAGGACCACTGGACAAACAGCAACGTAAGCATCAGGCCTACTGCAACCTTTCCAGAAAAGTGTGAACCGCATCAGAAACTCCCTTGACATCCTCAAACAGATGCCAATGTCCCACGGCCTCCAGCACCTGGACTTCAGCCTTCTGAATACTCTTCCCGTAAGAAAAGCACAGGTGGGGTGGACTGATAGCATCATGATCACCCGTGAGGATTAGTGTTGGACAAGTCAAGCTTGCTGTATCTAGCCTCTCTTTTGCAGACTTCGCTAGGGCCATACATGCTTTGGCATACCCCTCTGGGTCTTGCCCTAGCAGCGACATGCGTGTAGCAGCGACTGCTAGAGGATTACTCTCCTTTGTTTTAGATGATAATCCCGCATTAACAACAGCGTCAGCAACCGCCACCATACCCTTACTGCGAACCAACTCGGCGCGCGCAAAGCTTCCAGCGCTACCGGCTTCGGGTAAGGGTGAGGGAGGTGGCCCGAACAGAATTAGAGAGGAGACTAATTCTGGACTTTTGAGGGCAAGTTTCATGGCGACCAGGCAGCCCATGGAGTGAGCGATGACTGTTGCCGGTTTGCGATCGGGACGAGCGTTGTGGTATATATCCCGGATATCGGAGGCGAGTGATGCGATGGTGATTTCGCTGAGCGCGTTGGTTGGGGAAAGGCCGTGACCTTCGAAATCACTTAGGTACAGAGCATGTGTGGAGGATAATTGTGCAACGAGTGGGCTGAAATAAGTGGACGAACCACCGAGGCCGTGTATGAAGATGATTGGTGGTCCTTCGATTTGTCCCTGAACTTGAGAGAAGAGCTCCTTGGTGCCGACTTTCACGAGTCCTTCATGGCCTCGCGCTTTCTGGTTAGTAACTGGGATTGCGGATTGGGATTTCACGCGTTCCACGGTTGGGTTGATGGCATCGGTGGCGGCCATGTAGTTCGTGAGAGTTCCTAGTCCGGTCACGGAGACCTTGACTTCGTCTCCAGCTTGGAGGAACTTCATGGGTCGGAAACCGAATCCAACGCCGTATGGTGTACCGGTTGCAAGCGTATCCCCGGGTTGTAGTGTTTGGCCCCGGGATAAGCAGGATACGAGTGTTGGGATACTGAAGATTAACTGATCGAGTGTAGCATCCTGCCTTTTCTCTCCGTTGACGAACGTTTGCAATTGGAGATTGGGGGGAAGACGCTCCTTCGGAACCGCAACGGGTCCAATAGGGCAGAAGGTGTCCGGGGATTTACCGATATAGAATTGTTTATGGTCGCGCTGCCTTTCCCGGGCAGTGAAATCGTTTATGATCGTGTACCCCCAGACATAGTCCATGGCTTCGGACTCAGAAATCTTGTGCCCGGCTTTGCCAATGATCACTCCGATCTCGCCTTCATAGTCTGGTGTTTCTGTGAAACCAGGGTGAAGGAGGACCTGCTCTCCATGTGCGATGATAGATGTTGCGCGTTTGGTGAAGATCACCGGGAAAGTTGGTTGATCGTTTTTATCCGATGAATCAAAACCTGAGGAATTGAACTCTTTCGCATGTTCAACATAGTTCTTCCCGACTGCTAGGATATCCCGGCCAGATATCGGGGGGAGGAGCTTAACCTGGGATAAGGGAATGGGGTCTCCTCTTCCTAGCTGGATATTTCCCTCCCCCGCCTCAATAACCTGGTACAAATTGGAAATTCGAGTACCAGAGATGAAAACAAGAGGATGAATCTGCTCTGTCGTCAGATCAAGATGGCCAATTCGATGCTCCCCGGAGTTGGGGTCGACATAAGCGCAGTAGTTGATTGAGGGGGACGTGGACATGGCGGTTTTCTCAACTATGTTGACACAGGATTGGAGTTATTGCTCAAGACCACAGCAGACTATCGGCTCTACTACTGGTATTTATTCGATCGGATGCATGACGGTGAAAGACGGAGATCCGCTTTTCCCCGCTGTCACGCCAGATCCCACCAATTACCGCGGGGGTGCGGTATCTCCACATACTAGTATCACCGTGGGAGGTCACAAATGGTTATTTGAATAGTATAGTTACCTATGGTCTACGTGGACAAAATTCGCGCACGCGGAGGAACCAGGGCCCAAGGAATCCTAATGTGGTGCAAATCGTGAAGGTTTACCTTACCTCGGTATAACTACTGTTAGGACGATTCTAATGGGTGAAATAACCGACCCAACTTGTAAGTCTAGAGGATTCATCCGAACTTGTAACGTACGGTATTCTATGAAGTTGACAGTATTATGTCCCCTACTCGCTGGAAGAGAACGTATAACTGCTGACAAGGCTAGTTTTGTCATCCACTCTAAACTCATAAGATCCCTTCAGGTAAAATATTCCTCAGTTGATGAGTGCACAAGACCTTACAGTAGTATATGCGTATATCCATACATCATGTGTGATTGCAAGTATGTAAATATGTGATAGCTTCTGACAGATAGAAAGGAGAGCAGAAGAGGATAATACACAGCAGTATTCACGACCAATCGTCCCCTAAAGTACTCAATCCTACATATCGCGGGGGTTCTGGGAAGCGATTCTGTATCCCACTCGTGCGTCCAATCCGGAGAGATCTCCCATAATCTCGCATATGCTCTCTACCATGGAATCGCCAAAACTGCCAGGAACAGTCTTGGCCGACGAAGCTTTGGATGACATCAATACCACCCGGATGTTCTCGCTGAAACTTGGTGCAATCATACACCACATTATCAATAACAATCCAGACTTGGAGATGTTTTCGGGTTACGTCCGAGCTTGAGCGCCACTGTTCGTCCAGGAGGGACACTATGCTCGGGTCAATGTAGGGCAAGTCAGAGTCGGACAGTGACGGTTCTTGGAATGGAAAGACTTTTTGTGGCAGCGATTGGGGTAAGGATGTGGTTGCGGTGGCTGTGTCTTCTGCGTGTTCACCATAAATGCCGATCTTATTGGCGAGTGGAGTTATATGGGTTGAATCTCCTTCAACATCTGCTGCTGCATCGGTGCACTGGAGACTAAGCCACCCCATGATAACGACTCGAGAATTAGAAAGCCTAAACTTGCTTTAAATGATAATATCCGTAGGAGCACATTTCTTTAAGAATCCAACTACTAACTGCCCCGAGAACATCGTAAATTACTAACAAGTGACATCTCTGATCGGCGGTTTAGTAGATATGACAGAGCGGAGAAGCGCGGCGTTCGGCGGAGTGTGGACAAACATCAATAGATCACTATTGGTGCCCGCAGAGATCCACGCTGAACAACAGCTAATAATATTGCGAGTTTAGGAAAGCTTACAATGCACCTCTACGGAGAAGGAATGAGGAGGGGTGGTTCTCACAATCGTGAGTTAGATACCCTTCGTGGCCCTGTGCAGGGTGTGGCAGCGGTTATATATCTTCTCAATGACAATCTTAGTTACTGCCCAGACAACACGTCAAAGCAGAAGATAGTATGCCTGTAACACAAGTACCGTGGACATCACCAGAGCATGTATCAGAGGTATACGATGGACCTCCGAGGAACATCGAATCCCTGAACAATCTAAAATTTGATGAGAGGCTTCAACCTAAGCAATACTCAATTGCGGGGACACATCCCGCATCGAAAATCCTTATCACCGATGTTCAAATTATAGAGGCAACTGGAAAGAATCCGTATCGTGGGGATGTCCTCATCGTCGGTAGGCATAGTCTGAAGATTTATGGAGCCTAGGTTCTGACTGGGCACCAGGTGAACGATTTGCACATGTGGGCGAAGTACCGGGAAAGTCGGACTTGCTCAAGAACCCAAGGGTACGAGTGTTCTATGGGCATGGACGGACTTTGATACCCGGCCTCGGAGATGCCCACACGCATCTTAGCTGGAATGGCGGTGACCTTGGCCGATTGGGCGAGCTGGGAGTCGAAGAGCACACTCTTTTGACCGCCAGGAGCGCACGTTGCTATCTTGATTCAGGTTATACTATGTACGTGTATTTCACCCATAGATGACTCTTCACGGCCATGGGTAGCTAACTATCAATGTAGGTGCTTCGGGGCAGCGTCCGCCAAGAAGCGTCTCGATGTTGTTGTCCGCGATGCCATCAATATGGGTGACATTCCGGGACCTCGGTATCTTGCGAACAGTCAAGAAATAGCTCGTCGAGATGGAGACCTTGTGCCGGGTATCACGGCATATGCCGATGGGCCTGAAGAGATGCGATCAGTGTATGTCCACTAGCCTTGTTCAAAGAGGGGCGCTCAAATTCCTAATAGATTATTTCCAGAGTACGTGAACATGCTGAATTGGGAGTGGATCAAGTGAAACTGTCCATGTCAGGAGAATCGGTATAGTCTATTTAGTTCTATTACCTACCGTGATGCTCATAACTGTCTAGATTACCGAAATTAGAGACGCAGAGGACTGCTACTTCTCGAATGAGGAAACGTGGGCATGCGTCGATGAGGCCCACAAGCATGGCATTCGATTATGCGCCCATGCTCGGGCACGCGACTCTGTCCGACAATGCATTGATCATGGAGTGGAGGTTATCTACCATGCGTCATATATCGACGAGGAATGTAAGTCACGCACGAGGAAAGATTTGTGCAATAGTATCCAATACTAATTACCATCTACAGCTATGGATCTGCTAGAGAAACAGAAATCGCAACATGTGGTAGCCCCCGCTTTGAACTGGCTGGTGGCAACTCTCTACGAAGCGAGCGCGTTTGGATATGCTACGGCAACAGCTGAAAAGGCAGGATACAAGAAGGAACTCGAGGCTGCTATTCGGGGACTCCGCGAGATGCACAGCCGAGGAATTGTAGTGCTACCGGGAGGGTAAGTACTGAGCCTAGGGACGTTGTTTCTCGTTGTCAGCTAACAGCCGAACCATGTAGCGACTACGGCTTTGCCTGGACCCCACATGGCACATACGCTCGAGATCTTGAGCACTTTACGAAACTTCTTGGGTTTACGTCCCATGAAGCCATCATTGCCGCAACCTATGGCGTTGCAAAATTGTTCATGAGGTCGCATGAGATGGGCCAGATCAAGCCAGGTAACTATGCCGATTGTGTGATCGTCGATGGGGACCCGTTGAAGGATATCACTATACTACAAGATCACAGTAAACTGGAGATTATCATAATCAATGGCCGCGTGCATAAAGCGGGTCGGAAGGAACTTCTCGTCCCCAGTACTTCTGGCGTTTATGACATCCAGCAGATTTGCCAGGCGATCGAAGATGCTGAGATTAAAGCCCCAATGCAGAAAGCTTACTGATGCCATGTGTTTGATTGGGATAATATTTCGGCGACATTGTATCTATCCATTGTCTAAGCTTATATGATATTATCCATTGTACTTCTTCCAGCGTGAATGTATTGGGGCCATGTAACCCTCTGAGTCTGTGTATTCGGGTCAGAGCTCATCTTAAGAAGTCGTATTCTCCAAACTGAGAGCCCATACGATATGCATAGACAGGAGATTCTGGCTACTCTACACACTACGCCGAACAAGAAATTTAGAAGGTTAATAATTATTACTGAAAATATGGTTAAGACTCCATACTACCCCGCACGCTAGAGCAGTAAGTCAGAATCCTAGAAGTCTCCAAATTAGTACTTCCTAAACCTACTTAGTGGGTCATCTAATGGTCGCTACTCTTATAGGTTCAGGCATCCTTCCATGCAGTCAAAATCCCCCAACCCCCCAGCTCTTCCTCCTTCACTTTCCCCTAACCAATGCCCGTACACGTACAGGTCTCCACAGCACAATTTCCTTCATCTATTAGTCCAAACTGGTCTCGTTTCATATATCCCGACCTAACCATCCGTTGAATGATGAAAAGGGCTAGTCCTGTCGAGTTCTAGCACACGGTCGCTGCAATGACGTCCAAGCGATTGCCCTTAAGCTGTGAGAATTGTCGGCAGCGCAAAATTCGTTGTATCGGCTCTGGCCACTCACCTTGTCAGACGTGTGCACGGCGTGGTTATGCATCAAGTTGTCGGTTTAAACGTCAGACACCCCTAGTTGGTGCGAATGCACAAATTATACAGCCTCAACAATCAGACCCATCTCTCGGGCTTATGGGAAATGTTGCCAGTTTGGAAGACTTGTTGAAGCAAAATATTGCGCTGACCACTGCATTACTGAGCCAGAAAGGCCAAAGCCGACTCCCTTCGCCAATCTCCAGTCCGGAGGTCCCATCATCCCTACAGCCATCACTTGAAGAAAAGCCACTGCATGGTCCATTACCGAGTCGGACAGGCCGCTTGGTCGTGTCTACTTCCAACCATGTGCGGTTTGCCCCGTCGCATGATATAGGGGACTCCGATCTCCTCGAGGCTATGCAAGAGCCTGCTTCGAGCTTCCCCGTGGGATTCCCATTTTTCTCCGAACAATCGGGCTCTGTCTCCGATGAGGTTCTGGACCTGCTCCCACCACTTTTGCACCTCGAAGAGTTGAAATCAACGTATTTTCGAGTATTCTCACCTCTCTTCCATGTTCTCCATGATCCGACATTCCACACGAAATACCAAGCATTCAAGAGGAATCCCAGATCGACCCCACTGGCATTTGTAGGATTATTGTTCGTGATTCTAAGTCTAGCGGTCACCGCACTAGACGATAACCATCTTGTCCTGACAGATCTGGGTCATGGCGTGAGTCCCCATGCGAATGTGCGCAGTCTTTCGGCAAAATATCGCTCGGCGGCCATGCGGTGTCTTGCCGCCGATAATTTCATGGTCCGCCACAATCTCTGCACAGTACAGTGCCTGGTGCTTTTAATCTACGCCATGAACCATGCCCAGGAACCAGCATGGTCATTGCTCGGTACAACCCTACATATTGCTGTTGCTATCGGCTGTGCCGTTGATCCAGACCATCTGAATGTCGACCGCATCCAGGCAGAAGAACGTCGCAGATGCTGGGCTGCACTCCGGATGTTGTATACTATTCAGAACACATGCCTTGGGAACCTCATGCCCTTCCGGGTGGAGGCAAATGTCGCTCTTCCAGCTGATATCGAAGATGACGAGTTGGTGACGGGTAGCCCGAGTCCCCGGAACGATTCGGTAGACACGCCCCCGACACAAATGACTTACCTTTTATACAAGTTTCGTCTATATGACTTGGCAGTCGACATCTGTCAGCTTCCTGCGTCAATTCAAGCACATGACCACGCAATGATAGAGACTCTAGATGTAAAAATCACGCAAGAACAGGAGTGTCACCAGGCTCGCTTTACTACCCGACTGATACTGAAACCATACGACCAAGCCCACTTCTATATTCTGACCATCTATACAAACCACCTAATGCTCCTGCTGCACCGGTCGCAGCTGAACACAGTCGACAACAAGAGCTGCGAAAAGTGCTTAAAGGCGGCCACAGGAACCTTGTCTAAGTTCGAGGCGCTGTGTTCCACCCCCGAATTCGGGTCATATCGATGGTACATGGATGGTCTTGGGTCATTCTACGCCTTCTTTGCTATAACCACCCTCCTTGTACTGTTGGGAAATCCACAACATGAGACGGAGTGTAATCCGGAAACCGTCGTTCTTCTTGTTCGGTGCGTAGAGAAAATGAAAGGAAGTGCATCTCGAAGTTCTATTTGTCAAAAAGCAGTCGATATTGTTGATCCTATAGTCCAATGTCTCACTTCTGGACACGTCGCAGACAGCAATGGAGACGCAGAGTTAACATTGCTTGGTGAAAGCCCGAATGAAGGCTTATGGCCCACATACCCAGGACTGGAGAGTATGTTTTATGACGTGCCTTGCGAGCAGTGGTTGACTCCGTCGGAATTTGTCTGGAACGCCGCACAGAACCTCTGGGGTCCCTCATCTGCGGGTGTATCAACACTATGATCTTTCAGCTTTTGTAGCCCTACCGGGAATTACGCTGGGCTTACTCTCAATCGACAAGCTTCGGGAGGTCTCGCGACGGATGATCAAGGAATAACGGGACAAGTCAGCGGCCCGTTGACATGAGCATTGAATATACACAATGACGAGGTTGAGTGGATTTCCTTACATTATCTTATAAGGAATCTGCTCAACAATATTACCAGTATCTCCAGATAAAAAGTGGTTCTGTGCTTACGACGTCTAAATGAGTTGCTGATTGCCAAGGGATCATCCGCAAACTATAGTATCACCCCGCGTACTCAACACCCCCGTATACAGACTAAAGCTCTCTAGAGAAGGCAATTAAGATGACAAGCAGGAACATCTTTGATTTGACCAAAAGACACACTCTTTACGGCCGGCTAAATGGAAGCAGAAGTCAAAAATATGTTCCGTTGAAACAACACACATAAGCTGAATAAACACTTTCGGGGATTTCTTGGATATCTGCAGTGGGTACTATTTATATAATCCTTTTTCACCCTCAATATCTCACCGCTTCTGCTCCTTGGTCACCAAACGTTCCGATAACCTGCCGCATTCTATCGATTGATCCATCTGTATAATTTAAGTTCAGAAATCGAAGCCCACACCACCCATTGGGCAATTAGGATCTCTTGGCTCAAGAGAAAGTAGTAAAGGTATTGGCGGAGATCATCTCCACTGGGGCTATGGAAATCTCTCCCGCCCCAAGTCTGAGGAATGAGTGGCACAAAAAGCTGGGACCACGTAGTATGAAATGAGTGTCCGACTGATCGGCTCCACCTTCCTGCATAAGTGGTAATCAACACCGCTCATTTGAGAAAAAAAGTTCAAAAAAATTCAAAATACATGTCCCAACCGACGCTAGGTAATTTCCAAGAGTTTGTAGCAGTTACTATGCATACCATAAATTGGAACCAAAATTTGTTCATATATATACATGATTTTTTGATTTCTTGGGAATGGATATATGCACATAGAAAAATGGCTATAATATTGAAATACGGTAATCGTGACTCTTTAAATCCTTCGAAGGAAATAAACTAAATGAAATGAAAAGAATTTGAGTTTTTTGGTGCCTGAAGCGTGCATCTTTAGTCCTCTGCGCAACGCAGAACGATAGGCCAGGGGACATTTGGTCGATCTTAGTCTTTTTTTTTTTTTTTTTTTTTTTAGCATAAAAGGGTACTGTGGGCGCAAATACCTATATAATAGCCTATTCCTCGTGTGCTAGAGGTCCCCCCAGCTTTGCTTTCCTACACGCCAGCGGGCCGAGGTATCACCCATCATGGCCGCCAGTAACAGGACACTATGGCAATGGGAAGACTTGCTCGCTAAATACCCCAAAGTCGAGTTCATATGGCTAGAGCTCCTGTGGTATACGGCCAATAAGTTCGTTCGGATGGTGCCCAGAGCAAAGTTCGAAGCAATGATCCAGAGTGACACCTACTTTAATGTCCCTCTGGTGGCGTTTTACCTTACCCCAGGTGACCATCCGGCTAAAGGCGCCTCGCCCAGTGGGTCGTTTCGGTTATGCCCCGATTTAAGTACAGCATATTGCCAGCCAGGCTCAGGGGGCACCCGTCTGGTCATCCAGTGCGAATGCAGGCAAAAAGATGGGTCTCCATTAGATTTGTGCGCGCGATCCCGCCTCCGAACACTGGATGATGCCCTACAATGGAAAATGGGCATTGACATTTTGATTGGATTTGAGATCGAAGTGATATTTATGAAACCCGAGCAACCACGTGATGGGACACCAACTTTCAGCACTCTGAGCGCGCTTCATTCATGGTCCTCTATAACACGAGACGACTTTATGTATCTGGACCTTATCGAGCGCATTGTGCGCTCATTGGCCGACGTCGGTATTACGCTGGAGCATTTTCATTCCGAGGTAGCACCAGGACAGTGGGAATTCGTCCTTCCCCCAGATAGGCCAGTCCAGGCCATTGATTCACTTCTCAAGGCTCGAGAAACGATCAAGTCGGTGGCCCGTTCAGGCGGGCTACATGCCACCCTATATCCCAGGATTTCAGATGACGACATCGGAACCGGTGCACATGTCCATATATCTGTCAACACCCGCAATGGGTATGCCCAGCGGCCCGAGAGCTTCTTTGGAGGTGTAATACAGCATATGCCTTCCATCCTTGCGTTTACATTACCGCAAGAAGTGAGTTACCAACGAGTCCAGACGGGACTGTTTAGTGGAGGTGAGTACGCCTGCTGGGGCTGGGAGAATAAGGAGGCATCGCTATGCCGCATTGACGTGAACCGTTTTGAGTTCAAATTGATGGACGGGCTTGCAAATCCTTATCTTGCCCTTTCGGCTATCTTAGCTGCGGGTTTAGACGGTCTGAAGAAAGAAATACCCCTCCAAGGTGGGCCCTGCGACGACGCCTATGCGCATCTCCAGCCAGAAGAGCAGAAAGCGCTTGGCATAACGACCATGTTGCCAAAAACGCTTGAGGATAGTTTGGCCACGTTGGAAGCAAACCCCGCATTATGTGCACAGCTTGGACCAGGTATGGTCTCTGCCTATGTTATGGTGAAGCGGGGAGAAGCAGATTCTTTACGCAAAATGCCTGACGACACAAGAAAGGCTTGGTTAATCTCGAGGTACTGACATGAAATAATTGCACCACTGTTTCATTTGATGATAGACTTCCCTTATACGATTCTTCCTGCTCTCAAGATTGTTTCTCCTTAGTTCGGATTTTCAATCTTTAAGTGCCAAAGTCTTGGTATACGAAGCTCACATCCCGGACGCATTCTGTCTATCATCTCTGTGGCATAGTCTGCATCATTGCGAGATCCTACCTCTTGCTCAGGGGCAGGGCTCAGGACTTGGACATGACAATAACCATAACATTATCTTAGTCGTCCCTGTATGTTAAGAATATGGATGTAAAGCTTAGAAAGGAGGAAATACTTTCGGTTCCTATGGACTTGGCATTGATCAAAACTTGTACCTCAAACTATGCCCCGTGCTAGAAATGGTGTATGGGTGGTCTTATGGAGTGTAGAAGTACTCCCTAACATTTAGACGCATTATTTGAACACAAGATATTTTCAGCTCCTTGTCATGTCGTTGCTGATATCTTAATGATATTGTAGGCTCCTTAATATATTTCCCTTGATCGTAGCGGTGCTATTTCGTATACCAGCGAGGTTGGCTTTGAGCTCTGCACTAGTACTGGAATCTAAATATTCTGTAATACTTTGTTATACTTCAGGATACCTCCAGTATTCATCACATGCTTATGAAATGATATTCAATTTTACCGACACAGTTATATAGTTAGCTAACTACTAACCAATAACGTAATAACAATGTTATGTGTGGCAACTTCAGCTAAAAGAGGATCAATCAATATTATTGCACTTAGCTCGATTCAAGGACTGGGCTGTTGAGATCTTGGGAGCAACAGGCGAAACTAGTGAGGTTTACTCCGTCTGCGGAAATTCGAGTATCTGGGCGACAATTCCTCCGGATTCTCCTCCACAATGTAATGACCGCTATCAGTAACATAATGCGTCTGAACAAATTTCAAATACTTCACTCGCCATCCATTCTGCGCCCGCAGCCAGCGCATGCTCTGCTCCAGTCAAGACCGGATTCCGTGTGTTCTCTTTTCCCCGCTCCACTATCCATGCTCGGTTTTGGGCGGCATCCATCTCAAACGCGCTGTACACATAAAACGCACATTGCAAGGCGTCAGGCATAGAATACTGCGAGGTGTAGTAGTGGATGATATCATTGCCAAACACTGGATGGTTATAGGCAAATCGATCGTAGAACTGCTTGACATAAATACTTTCTTTTCCTGCTACTAGTGCCGCGGCCATATCGAGCTGCTGTCCTTTGATGGCAAAATAGCAATGATCTCGGTATTGCTTGGACTTTTCGTATTCTGTGGTTCCTGATAACGGACATTCTCCCTAGACAGTGCTGGATACAAAATCAGGGTACTACATCGCAAAGACCTGCGATGTCATGCCTGCGATGTCATGACCAACCACATGGATCGGGGTTTTAATCAATAGTTGATGATTCAAGAAGTTGTAAAGATCTTGTGCCAACTACCTTTTAGGAAAGCCGGCCACATCTCGGAGTGGTTTCGAGGAACTTCCGTGCCCGGTAAAGTCAGGAGCAATCACGCGGTATCCTGCAGTGGCGAAAGGTTCCAGGACGAAGCGGAACTAGTGTGAAAATTGAGGGAATCCGTGAATAAGAAGGAGAATTCCCTTACATTCACTTGCCGGCTCGGCTTCGGGATAATGCGTATGTACGTCTTCAGAAAGGACCACTTGTCGGCTAGAAACTCGGATTTGGGAGAACATTATGTTCAGTAGAGTAAGCCGACCGTGGATAGGAAAGTTAAGATTGTGCGGCAGAGCGCATGCATTTTATACGCTGAATCGTACGTGTAATGGAGGATAGACGTCACTTCATAGTCTACGGGTTAGAAAACAACGTTTAACGGTCGACAAAAAGCACAATTAGTAGAGCATCATGTGTCAACCGCTCAGACACTTGTTGGCTGTGGGAGGACACGTAAACACCATAACCCGCCATGAAGCTTTCCGCTCTGTGATTGTGATCTTCAGTATTTGGCATTTATTAACCCTGACATGAATTTGTATGCAATTTCCGCTGATTTATAGAGAGACACTGGGATTTCTGATAGTCTACAATCTGTTGGCGTGGGGATGACGAGGTCACGGTGTCTGCCCCACGCAGCCTTCCTGAGCGCAAGTCATTTCCATGAACCTCGTATCATGAGTATAAAGAAGATCTGTACTCATTCCTTCGAAACTAGGGCTAGATAACGACACTAGCAGCGATGGTGAAGTACTTCACTGCACCTTAGGAAATGAACAGCATAGCTTTGCCTTCCATTGTATTCTAACACCGACACCCATTAATTGAATGCATCTCTCGCCAACAGGGTGCGTCTACATGAGAAAGATACCACTCAGTACTGTCATACATTGGCCCTGTTCCATAATTGTTGATGTATAGCCCTGTACCTTGATATATTTGTATTTCTCAATGTACTGGTGTGAGTGATAGTAGTCCTGGTATATCTCACACCTCCTGCTGAAGCACGACAAGGGCCCGGGGCTCACACGGCTCGTTCCCAAGCATTGGTGGACTTAACTGCCCATCCTCACACCTCAAATATCTAAGTCAAGGATTGACAAAGTGGGAAAATTGAAAGAGTATGTAGGAATACAACATAGAAACTTTCAAATATCAGTCCAGCCCAGACACGTATTTCTTTGTATGTCTTTGATTAGAACTTTGCATCACAAGACTCACTGCTAAAGTATCCCTTTGTAAGCAGGAGATGATATGGAATGTTTGGTACCACCACACGGTCATGTGAACCAGTCTTTGTTTAGAGTCCTTCGACATACTAATACAACTTAAGGCATTACGCCTGAGGCTGTCCCTATGGTGTTGTCCTCGGCAGCTCCTTACCAGAAGATTTGGTTCCCCCTTGGGACTTTGTCAGCTACCAGTCCTATATAACTTCCTTTTACCTACCGTGCCGATATGATGCGCTTTTCGTCATCACTTCTAATCACCTGTTCCTCTATTAGATATTCAATAGTTTCCATAGCTTCCCAGTTGCCTGTATCAATCACCCTCCGACTAGGAGAGACTGCACACTACATGCACCAGGTCCCTGAGGTATGTGGAGATCTACGATCTCAAGCAAAGCTTACCTACACCTCAAATGATTAAATAATGATCCCGTTCACTCTAGCAATGAGATCCTATCGGTGCCAAGCAATTGGCGGTTCCATGTACTGTCTTTAAAGTCCACGGTTCGGCGACCGCAAAAGACGTGCTGAGCGAGAGCATCGAAAGATTCGGCCGGTTGGACGATGTCTGGTCACCGGACTTCTTACAACATGTCATTCTACAGGCGCTACTACGGCCGTATAATACATCATCCATCTACATAACTTCCGTCTCCTCCGTCAATGAGGGACCGTACTTCTTGAATATGGGAAGGTTGCACCCAGCATACCGACTGTACCCGGACTATGCTGGTGCATTTATTGCTCTCACAGTGCCCACTGAAGATCCCTACTGGTTAGTGGAAATTTTTCTCGCCCTGATGATGGACAGACCATACTATAAGTGGGCCGCCTCTGACCGATCGATAGCTACAAACCTCTTGACGCCGCTGCATATGGAGAGACATATCCTTCTTCCCTAACAGTGGCCGTACCGTCTCGCTTATATCATTCTCCAACCGCTGAAAAGCCATTCGCAGGAACTCGAATTGGTGTCAAAGATATCATGGATCTCTGCGGGCTCCGCACCGGGGCCTCATCGCGAGCATACACACAACTGCATGGACCTCGAACCGAGAATGCAGAGGTCATCCAGAAATTGCTGGAGCTAGGATTTATCATTATAGGCAAATTAAAGACTACTCAGTTTGCAGACTCCGAGTGGCCGACTTGCGATTATGTTGACTATCATGCGCCGTTCAACCCTCGCGCAGATGGATACCAGACGACCAGCGGTAGTAGCTGTGGGAGCGCAGCGGCGGTGGCTTCGTATGAATGGCTGGACTTCGCTCTGGGAACTGACAGTATGAGTCAACCCCCTTTTTCTAATCACTGGTCGTCCCATAGATGACTAACGTTCAAACAGCACTGGGAAGCATCCGCGCTCCAGCAACCGTTCAAGGCCTCTATGGCATACGCCCCTCCCTGGACGCCACGAGCTTCAAGGGAATAATCCCGTATACTAAGTACGATGATAACCCACATCAGAGCAGAACGTGTGTGCGTGCTAATCCGGCTGTTTTCTTCCTCTCCATAGACTGGCAGATGCTGTTGGTGGATTCGCTCGGGATGCGTCTTCTTTCGCGAAACTATCTCGCGCCCTTTACGGCTCTATTAATGATCCACAGTTTTCCAAGGTATGCAAAGTAGCAGCAGCTTTCTTGGTGAGCTAGGTCTCACAGACCATTATAACATAGTGTGTCCGACAGAAACCCAGTAAGATTCTGTACCCATTGGAATACTGGCCGAAGACAAGCACGGAGCATGACGCCGTCCTGGAATCCTTCATTGTTGAGCTGGAACGGTATCTCGGAGTTCAGCGAATACGAATAAACTTAGATGAGATCTGGGAGTCAACAAAACCAATACCCGAAAATACCACTCTGGAAAAGTACTTTGAGCATGATTTTGAGTGGGCCGCAAATCCCTCTCAATGGAAAGACTTCCTCAGCCCGTTCATTACCGAGTACAAAAATACCGACGGTTGGGATCCAGCTCTTAATCCCCAGTTGCAATTCAAGCGGTGCGTAAATGTTGTTTTCACTCGAAGAAGCTAACTTTCAAGAAAGTATGACACTAACTGAGGAACCGAACAGCGACTACTTCCCCACAATAACGGATGAACAGGAGAAAGAGGGTCTCAGAAGATGCAGAGTCTTCAAGTCTTGGTATGAGGCCAATATCCTCCCACCTGCCAAGGATGGCTTCTCCGATACCCTGCTTCTCCTGCCATGGAGTAGCGGGAAGCCGGACTATCGAGATATGTATCGTGGTGGGCCCCAGAGATTTACGGGCATTGGCTTTTTCTTCTACAATCTGTCTCCCCACTCTGAGTGTCCGGAGGTGATACTTCCAGGTAAGGGGCTCTTCCCTATACGCAACGCGTTTACATGTAGGACAGAAACTAACGTGCACCATGCATAGTGGGCCAAACGTCCTTTACCTCAAGGATCACCAACTCCACCGAACATTTACCCGCGTCTATAGGTATTAGCAGCGGAAAGGGAAGCGATGTGATGCTGACCGACTTTATCGCAGACTTAGTGACTGGGACAAATAGCCAGGGTGTAGGGGTTGGCTCTCTAGCATTTGAAAATATTGTCAATATGGGAGATTCTTCACTCTATTCACAGGCGGCTGCGCAACTACCTTTGAGGGGTGATCTTTGACCCGACTTGGCCACTTGTTTCCCATCTTGCAGTGTGACGCTGGCGTTCATTGTTAGATTAGGTGGTCACCAATGCTTAGCAGACCAACTGAGCCACCCATCAACCCAGCCAACTGCATTTGGTACAGATGATCTTGTTATTCGACGTTAGTAAAACAATACATTTAGTGGCTAGCATGACCAGCTTTGCATCCATTACGTAAAGTATTTTCCTTTCCTGTTTTCCTCGGCTATTCCCATCAAGTTGCACAGGTTGCAGCCTTTTACCATGGTCTTCGATAGGTTTCCAAATGAGTATGGAGACTGGACTTGAGTCCTTAGAATGGGTAGAAGTGTGCGAAGCATGAGCTCTTCCAGAAACCAAATGAAGCGATGAACAGGCCTACCATGGCAGGTTCCTCGGGGGGCTATAGCTGAAACCCATCCAACCCATGGGAAACGACAGTCCTGCCCCAGCTCGGGTCCCGGGCCAGATTCCTCGATCATCTCCAGATGTGGCCGCTGGTATAGAAATGCATCACGTTATCCGCTCACATTGCAATACCTTTTCGTCCCGTTCCAAGACATGGGATGGCGTGCAGATAACGTACAGGAAAGTAAGCTTGATGCTATTGATGCTCCGTCCGTTCATCATCTGCCCATTTCTCCCTTCCAAAGCTTATCTGTTTTCCTAGGCCTCTTCACCATGGCACCATTCGGAATTAGCGCCTCGATACCCATAACAACAGGAAGTCTCGGGACCTTTTTATCTCACTTCGCCATCAACTTGACACGTTGGGCCCCCCTCCCGCCAAGTATGTTCTGCGAAACACCTTTCACCCGCGGCTCGGATTCATCCATTCTTGTATCTGTGTATACAGAGTGACTCCAGATTCGTTGGCAGGTGATCAACAAGGCCAAAGAAAATCTATTATCAACTGGGAGCACCCTCATTCCGCACGAGAATAAGAATAAAGACAAATATATGAACACCTAAACTCAAGTCATTCAGTGCCAAGAAACTTTTGAGATGGACAGGCGTCACATAGACGGATTAAAAGGGCATTTGTGTGTTTTTCCTTCTCAGGGAGCTTATCCAGTTCATAACTATTTGTATGATTTCTCTTTATTTCAATGAAAAAATGCCCTTACCGAACTCCTACATCATAGCAAGGCTTGGCTCTATGGGCATCACCTTAACATTTCGGAAGCGGCAGGATACCTTCTCATTGCACGGAGCCTTGATTAGAATAATTGCATTTTGGAACGTAAAAAAGAGCTATTGAAAAAAGCGACCAGCATATATCCATTATCAGACAACAGCTGGCGGAAAAACAAAAGCATTCTGTCCCTATGATTAGTCCAGAAGAGTCCCAACAGGCTGGAATGGAGAGTAGTAAGTAGTTCAAGTAGAAGTTCATGGACGAGAATGAGCATAGGGCAGAATTGCACACGAAGGCGTGACCGTATTGGACCGTAGGGTGACCCAGGATTTTTGAATTTCCATTAGCCTTTTCAGAAAATATATATTTCAATTCTTTGTATTTGGAAAAGGCGGTAATTTACGCAGGCACCCCTCTCCTATTCCTTGTATGTGTGCTACATGCCCAGCCCTTAGATTGGGAACACTTACCAGCGTCTGTAACTCGCATGGTAAGGCGAATTGCTCTATGTAAAACATTTATGATGGAAGAGCCGCTCTTCCAGTTTCTCAGTGTATGGCGATCGAGCTTAGTCACGTGATCGTAACAACAACTTTAGACCCGTGATCAAAGCCCGCAGACCTCAGAATCGATAGCTATCATCTGTCACCCTTTTCGATATGTATCTCACAGAATACCCTAATAACCTTTATCACGTAAAAGTTCATTCAAAGGGAAAGACTAAGTTAGCCGCAGATATCAACTCGCACAATGCCCAGCAAGAAAATTCCTTTGCTTTTTAGTCGGAGATCACATGACTTCCAAAATAGGCAATGTGTCTGTTTCTTCGGCTAGTTTAGGTATGCCAAGCAGCAGAGATATTCTCAATTGGCTAACTTTGCCTTTCAAGAAAAAAACCCTCTGCTCAATTTGACAAATCACTATTGTAGTAGTTCTGTTGTACTTGGACAATTTCATATATTCCAAAAGACCCAAAAGCTCATTTCACAGCTTACTACTACTTCTGACTGAAATGATCCAGAGCGAACTTATCATTATGTCACTACCATTTCTACAAACTTAACTAATAGCCCTATAAGGAGATTACAGATGATCACCTCGACCAATCCAGATAAAAGGATATATTTTTGAAACAGTTTAATGCAGGCCGAAAACGAGCAAACAAGAAATACCCGAAGACCGACAACGAGGCTAAACCAAACCGGGCTAGTGCAAATGTCCTATTCTAGAAAATCGAAAGAAGAAAAAAAAGGGAAATGCCAGCTCATCATCCGAATGTGCCCCACTACCAGTCATCCACCGGAGAGTAAGAGCGCTCCTCAGGAGGCTCATCATCGTAGTGGTGGTAAATGTGCTGCTCCACGATCTTGTGCTCCACCTCTTCCTCCTTTTCTTCTTCCTTCTCAGACTCGGAGTCGGAACCGCCTGGTTTGTGTTAGTATTTCTTTTTTCTTTTTTACATGTTTTGTTTTTTGAGGGGTTGAGGTAGAATGTAGACATACCAAATTCATGATTAAGCACAGCTCCGGCAATACCACCAAGCGCCAAACCTGCGGCGCCTCCCATGAGCATCTTCTTCCTTTCACTCTTCTTTCTCTCCTCTTCAGTCTGGTACTCGCCCTGCTGCTGAGGAGGAGGAGGGTAGTAGCCTCCCTCCTGGGGAGGGGGACCGCCGTAGTAGCCACCGGGAGGAGGACTAATCGGGCCGGAAGGAGGGGGGCTCATGATAGCGGGAGGGCCGCCAGGAGGGCCCATGTCACGCGAGGCATCACCAAAAGGCTGCTCCCACTGGGAGTTGCCGGTGGCTACCTCAACCCAGAAGGCGCGGCGAGCATTGGGCTCCCATTCCTGGACCCAACCCATGGGAAGAGGTGGTGGGGGCATTTGTGGAGGACGGGCAGAAGGTGGTGCGGAGGAATAGGGAGGGCGAGAATCGAAAGAACGGTCTGAATCGTATGGTGGTCTGTCATACGAAGGGCGCTGGTCTTGAGGGGGGGCCCCATACGGGGGGCGCTCGTATGGCGAACGCTCGCCAGAGGGAGCCTGTTCGTATGGGGGACGCTCGTATTGTGGACGGTCACCGGGAGGAGGCTGTTCGTATGGAGGACGCTCGTATGGCGGACGGTCACCAGAGGGAGGCCGTTCGTATGGAGGTCTGTCGTAAGAGGGGCGATCGCCGTAGGGGGGACGCTGGTCATATGGAGGGCGCTCATAGCCTCCGGGAGCCTGGCCATATGGAGGCTGTCCATATGAAGGTTGCCCATATTGGGACTGAGGGGGGCCACCGTAGTACGACATAGTATAGGTAAACGGTTGGTAGAGAACAGAAAGCGAAGTTACAGTAGAAAAGGTAATAGAAGAGAGGAATAAGAAGATAGAATGAGAGCAAGCAGTTTGGGCGGCTTTAAATATATTGCTCAATCGGGTGAGGAGGGGAAAGAACAGCCCTAGTTAGGTCTTAACTCACCACACCCCTGTATGGAGTCTCCAGACGCTAAGTTAATGACAATGAGACCTCAGGAGCCTTCGGTGTCCGCGGAGACTCGAAAACCATTCGCTAACAATGAGATAGATATCACTAGAGTATCCACTACATTACTGGTTGCATGGGGAAGTGTCAATAGTCTGGCGGTTGGTGGTGCTGCAGATCTGTCCTCTCAGATGCAAAAATTAGGCAGATACATATTTGATGGCCGGACTCCATCCATACCCCTGATTGTTTCCAAACCCATAGCGCTAAGTGAAGCACAGAAACAGGCCACAGAATTCAATGAGAGGGGGGCGTGCTTCATCCTCCCGCCATAGGTTCGATCTGCTATTCTGAGTTGTTTGGCTGTGGACAGCCGTCTTCGTTTGTTTCATTGTTGAACCATCAGGGAGGGATAGTATGACATGTTCGATCATGGGCATCAACCCCACCATACCCTACAAAAACGCTGCCTGTGGAGGGTCTCTTGGCGCCACTAAAAGGAATATATGGCTCACTGATGACACATCCAATCGGAGTCCCTGCTGTCTAGGCATCAGCCACACCGGCGTATCACCATTGACCCCCCTCCAATGATCCTTGCCAGGTGATGACAAGCCACAAATCCCGCATCCTGGAGGGGTTCTCCATCTGACATCCTCAACTTGACACCGAGTTGTTACCGTCTCTTGGCCCCTATAGTGTCAAAATTACTAGATCATATGTTTTGTGCAAACTATCATGTCTATACTATCATGTCGAAAAGAAGAGACACAAATTGCACGCCGTATTGGGGTGCTAAAATTACTAATTAATTAAACCAACGGGGTCACGCCAGAGTTCCGCCGGCATCTTCGGCATCAAAAATACTGCAGACTCGCCACGTGTGACTCAGCCAGTGGCTGTGGCTACGCGCCCAGCCACAGCCCGTTCCGGAAGATTCCTTCAAAGTGGATCGGATGTTTCTCCTTTTTGCACATTCGAGGTTACGGAGTCTAAAGATGGAATAGTGTTTCCCTTTTGGTATCTTGGCGTCCAGTTCGTTGCTCCAGCAACTGCGCCTGGCGGAAATTGGAAGGTGGGCTGTAGAATATGGAATATTTCATCGGGAATTAATATCAGAGCGGAGAATCCTTGGACAACAATCCAATCGATACTCCGTTACCCCCTTTTCACATCCTGTACAATAGTATAACCATGTATTATTAAAAAGGATAAGTATGCTATGCATCCCATCGACAAAGCTTCTAAAAGTACAAAAGATAGGGACATGTATGGCGAAGAACTTGTCCCATCGCCAACTACACTGGTACGCTACATTCGGACGAAGTTGACAGATGGTCATTCGAGAAGCCTACTTCTAGACTAATAGGCCTCGCCCACACAGAAAGGGTCCTTGATTTTTTCAGTATCCTATCATAGTAGCAGCTTCATGGAAAGATAGGGTAGATTTTAAGTGTGTTAACTTATCTGGGATAGTGCTACAGACCGATTGACTTCTCTCTCTTCCTGTATATCGGGCAAGAGCACGATTTTCTTATCGAAGCCTGGTGCAACGTCAAATCTTATAACGTCGAACTAATTCCCAACTCAAGGTGTGGTGAGGCAACAGTTAGGGGTACTCGAGATTTGGTACGTCTTGCAATAGTGGCCCAAGTGTGAATGTTACCACCTGGATCGAAACCAATACCCCGCTATGTACAGATTTCACACCTACATGGCGTTACAATGCTCTAGACTTGTCGGAAGTACCCAAGACGAAGGGAGTATTATTGATCAGTTCTTCTGAATCAAGCCCGAACTATGGTTTTCCAGAGATAATCCTAGTAGGGTTGAGAAACCCTATAGTACCTACCCTACGCTCTCTAAGCCCTGAGCTATATGATTCTAACAAGACCGGTCATGATATAATACCTTTAAATTCATCATGACCCATTCTCCGCTTATAGTAACAGTTGTTATATCATCCTCCTATCTGAAAGCAACCATGGGAGCGAAATGACCTCTACTGGATGTGAGAAACTTGGGTCATATGCAATTTGAATGTGTCAAAACAAGAACAGTGTAAAAAAAGAACCTCAATTCGCGTGAATCTTGCTCAGTAGATGAATATATCTACGTCAGATGACAATTTGGATACAGTCGCTCTGGACTCCCCCGTTGTATTTGGCTCGGTATGCTAAGAGCTCGTCATGCGATATCGGATATTCTTGTGAATCATCAATAATCTGCAAGGCTCTTAAGGATCGACCGATAACCATATATCTAAAAAAGCCACTTGCCAAATTGTTAGGTATGGTCCATGATTTGATTGATTGTCGTTGCATGATCAGACCACCACTACATGACGACTACTTTCTGACTGGCAAGATGGTCATCTAGCCTTCTTCAAATGAAGTAGCACTCGATATTGAGAACCGGACTAAACTGTCACGTCATGTACGAAGGTTAGGTCCGGAACCAAATAGTAGTTCCCGTTCCCCACCGAAACTGTAACCGACCCGTGTCAGAAACCGGATATGGAAGACATAACATATATGGTTCTGTAGCATTGACAGAAGGTTTACCATCAACCTATACTTTCGCTTCCATAGGTCAAATGTTACTGTTTAAGAGTGTAGTATCGGCCCTTCTAGTATATGAATCATAATGATGTAGAGGATATGAGTAAATGATTCTGAGGTCGGTAAAGTCTAGGAGATTCATGGTATAAGTATAGCTATTCCTCTGTAGAACGATGTCATGTTTCCTTACATTTTCTTGCCCGAGTATCTATTCAAAGCCAGGAATATTATAGTTTAATCTCTTAATATAATTCCTTTCGAAAAGTCAACCTGACAACTACATCATCATGGTGGCCGCCAATACAGTGGATTTCTATAGCAAGGCAAACTATGACACTCACACGAAAACTACCCAACTGAATGGGGTCGAGCATCAGAAACTAGGGACTAGCTACCTTTCTTGCAAGCTGGGTGACGGGACCAAACTACTTGTGTGGAATCATGAAGACTATACCGATAACAAAGAATTGACCAGCGACCAGTCCAACCTTCCAAAGGACCCGCATGTACAATGCTATCAAGTTCTCAAAGGCACCAGCGCTGTCATTGGCTTTCGATTTAAGGATGCCACCGGAGGGGAAAAGGGCCAATATTCTCTTCTATTGAAACTCGCCAATATTGGTGATGTGAAAGTATGGTCGGACGAGTCAGACAAATACGCGCTTGCCGGTGCTGTTCCCCGGGATGGCACGCTGGTGACAACTGCCTTGTATGTCCAGGATAAGAAGACAGGTGGATATCCTGTTATCGGATCGATTTATTTTCAATGGGACAAAGACCAGAATAAGGTTGTGGTGGTAGAGCAGGAAGGCTGGCCGAAGAAACAGCTAAAGCATGAAGACGATGGACAAAACAACTTCACTATTACCCTAATTTCGACTAAGCCATAAACTGCGAGAATTGTCGCCAGGAATTTGGAAAAGGGAAGAAAGATAGGGAGACAATCGCATGGCAGGGCAAGTGGAGGGGACTGTCATGTATATGGTTGACTACGGTTTTCTTTCCTGCCTTAGTATAGGTTTTGTCCTACCAGTGGGTTTCCCTGTACTGTTATGCAAATGCAGAGGCAATAACCAGAAAATACGACCTCCGATTGATATCATGTTCTATCTTTTATCAAAGCAGAGTAACAATCGTGGTATTCACATACGGCTATGGGGAAGCTCCCCCAGTTGGCTTGTAGGGGAAAACATCCGCATGAGGCAAAATTACAAATTAACAGACCGTACTCAGCCATGTTAGCTGCAACCTGCCAGCAGCAAAGATAAGCATCACTATCGTTCAAATGGTAAAATACATTGAGTATCCTTTTATTTCCCAGAGACATTTTGACAATATTTAATTCTTGGGAAGCCACCAACTACATGCTTCTATTAGTACAGAGTTCAATATACTATGAGGGGTGGATGTCGTCTTACATTGCCTTCTTTCCAGATAGCTCGGCAGCCAACTTTTGGTCCGCAACCCTTATCCGGCAGAGCAAACCTTGGGGGAATCATTTCATGAAGACAAGAAAAAATAATTGTCGTCGTCACCTCTGTGTAACGCGTATGGGAATGTAGAGAAGGTTACCATAAGCTCGTAAGAAAAGCAACGGTACGAATTGACCTGATGTCACCATGTATCACAGACCCTGGCGAATCATCTCCATTCTTCCGCATGCAGCGACTATGGAGAACTCATTATACCACCGCTTATTCTCACAGCCCGGGTAAGCGAGAAATATAGTACACATGATATAGCCCCTTGCTCGGACATGAAATCCCAGCTTGGTGTCGGTCTGACATCCTCGAGAACTACGAGACGAATCACTGATAGAAACTAGCGGAGGGGACTCCAGATCCAGAATTATGAAAAAGATAACTCTGTATCTGAAGCTCTTTTATCCGCATTAGGCTTCAATTCACAAGATACATCAGCGGTTCGAATTTGTAGGCTTATAAGAATCAATTCCATTGAGAACGTACGAAAAGCCAATTGGGGTCGATTCTTGAAACCCTAGCAGGCTGGTTCATTCTCCTATTGCCTTTGCATCATCAGAAGCCATCGTAGTAGTACGGCCCCAAAGAGTCTTTATCCGATGCACCGTCGCCATGGAGACCTTTGTTGAGTTGATCCAATCTAGCTCTTTGTGAGATACTACGAATCGTTCCTCATAAGCAGTGTAAAATACTGCTCTTGTACGATGTTTGAAGGTTCCTGGATGGGACACAATAAATAGCACCACATTGTGGACTGTCACGCTGTCTCCTGCCTCATCTCCAAACTTGTCTCCGAGTACTGGAAACATAAGTGGGAAAGCTGCGTCTCGCGCTAGGGAGTCGTATGTCTCGCAAAGTGTGAGATACCGAGCTATGTCAACCAGCTGAGACCGAAAGTAGAAACGGTTGCCTGACCCAAGTTTTTGTAGTGCGATATTGAAGCGAGGGATATCTCTTTGAGTAAACTCTAACTCAGACCCAAGTAGCCGACGATTGCGTTCAAGCCTGACGAATGACGCTAAGTATGGAATCATTGAGAAGCCTTTAGGTAACGAACACTCCCGATCTTTAAGGCTCGATTTTGGGGGACCTGATCCCAAGGGTGCTTTTTCACTGGGTATACCATCTGTGTCAACATGATTCAGTTTTGAGTAAAGGTCATCAGGTAACATTTTTTCCTGCAGAAGCCTTCCAGGCATCCAACCTATCGCTACAGGCATCCGGTCGACGATCTCGTCTGGGGCACGATTTTGTTGCTCCGGCATATTGGCAAGTCACGTATAAGAGCTGAAGAACTGTGGCCATAGAGAACACAAGGCAGAAAACGTTCATATGTGTTTGGGCTTCTACAAGGCTGTGGAATCCCCAATGATTCGCTGCCTCATTTGAACCAGTCTCGCTTTCGCCTCATTCCGAAGGTATTTATTATTGGCTCCCTTAACCTCTTGGATTCTTTCTACATCTGATTTGCCTGCCGCTTTTACCTATGTCGCCGCTGGAGTTTCTCTTCTTTCTCCAGTCAAACATGGCTCAGGTTAATGAAATGACCACTAAATCGGTGGGTAATCACGCAGGATCCATATAGGAATCCCCCGGGACGTCGATATTGGCTTACCTCACATTTAACCACCTCGCAGGAGCGCTATATTCAGGCCAGTGCCCACGGGAGACTGGAGGAACAAACGGGAGAAGAAAACGAAAGGACAACGCTTCGATATTATAGGTGAATCAACACGTTTGTGACCTAGGTAGATAGTGTGTATGGTGACCTAGGTACCTAGGATACCTAAAGTAAGCTATTCTATCGACGGTGTGACACTGGATCTTCCGATAATTTGGACTATTCTACATTCAACCGCAGTTGACTCCTCCCAATCTTACTCCTGCTGCTACTACTCCCACTACCGCCATCTCTACATGATTCACTTCAAGCATATCATGTCAAAGGATCTTTGATCAATCTTTGCCTTCCTCTCATTTGGCTAATTGAAGGACATAAAGTCATTTAAAAGCAGATCGTCTGTGGTGATGTTCCGTTTTCCTCTCTTTTTTTGGGTCCATTGGGCTTGTTTGTAGCGCAAATCGAAAAACACAAGAACAAATTTTGCATGTAAAGCCGAAATTTCGTGCAGAGTGTATATGCCTAATAAGCATCCTCATCTGACAAACCGTACTTACTCTGCTCAGCCTGGTAAAGATCGTTTGATCCAAATACGGCCATAGAATTGGGCACCGGATCTTGCGATCGCGATGATCTTGAGCTCCTGTTTGGGAAGTGGCTTGGTTCCCGCAAATGGCGCCCACGCTCGGAGTGTGGTGACAACTGTAGATACGGAATCCTGTCCTGGGATGCATGATTTCCGGTCAAACAGTCAGGCAAATGGGTTCTATAGAAGGACGTATTGGGAGTATGAGAATAGTGGTGATTCTGGGACTTTGCAGGGCTTGGCTGGTCATCCTTCTTGAGGTGTTGCAACGTCAAAGAATCATCCCGAGCCTTCTTGTGGTATAATTCCTCTCCATCAGCCATGTCTTTGGTTAGCAACAGGTACTTCTCGAAGCCGTCGCTAATTTCGACAACTTCCTCGAACTGTCGATCACTGAGCTGGCGGTTTTCGCATCGGGCAAGGGCCGATGCAATGAGAAAAGCGTTTCTGATTTGTCGTCCGTTCCATCTTCCCTCGCCTCTCTTGTTCATATTGTAGTGCTTTTCAGCAAATCTTTCAATACTGTCGCGGTCAACCTTCAGTTTCACATGCTTCGTATTTGCCTGACTTTGTTCAGATTCTGCAGTTTCCAGGCGATTCAAATTCATTCGCCATATCTTTATTGTCTGGTCGCGCCCAAGATGAGGATAGTACAAGCTGAGGTGAATACGGGATTTGAACGCTTCGTCGATAGTCCCCCCACGGTTGGTCGTGAGAAGCAAGACCCCAGAATAGTAGTCCAGCACGCGGAGAAACACTGTTGCACGGATAAGCCATTGCGTTTGCCATGAACTGGTCTTGATGAACTTACCTGACACAAGGGCATTGCGCTTCAAGTCCTGCGGCTGCCTTTCTGTAAGAAAGACATTTGCTTCGTCAAGTAGCAAGATGCAGTCCCATTGCTGGGCAAGTCGAAACATCTGTTTCAACGACCCTTCCACCTCAGCTGGATCCAATCCCAAGTCGCCACATGTTATTGGCAGCAGGGGCTTCCTGAAATAGGTAGCAATGGTTTCTGCAGTAGAAGTCTTTTCAACACCCGGCACTCCATGTAATAGAATAACCAGACCCCTACCCTTGTTGTGCACGATATCTTGGCTGGTTATATGTACCCCAGGGGGTAAATTCCTCTTTCGGATAAAATGTGACTTTACCAACGCAAGAAGCATGCGCTTGTGGTTCTTGTCAATGACGAGGCTCTGGAATGCTTCATTTGATGGCTTGATCCGCTCAAGGTTCAAGACGTCAACCACGAGGAACATCCTGTCCTGTAGGGAATACGCAAACATGCGACTGGGTAGCAGATGGTAATCCTCTTCACGAATTGGCAGTGGCCCGCTTTCACTGTTCATCCAGCTGGCTAGCAGAGGATCCTTGCTATGGCAGTATTCCTTCTTCTCCTTTCTAGCAATCTGCTTCTCCCGCCAGGCGCCCACGGGAATATCTTCACTCTGTAGATCCCCCCTTTTATCCAACCAAAGAAAACTAACTCCTTGCTCTTCCTCATCGATCTCCCCACGATCCCCCAAATAGGACGTTGCTGGCAGGCCCGAACTGGGTTTCAAGTTTGTATGTATTCGAAAAGTCTCTGCAGAATCGATGACTACATCGCTCGTGACAGAACGAATTGATGGGCTCTTATTTCCGGGCTCCAGTGCCCATCCATTATGCGCTGCAAGCCGGACGTTGAGAAACTCCTGAAATCTTTGCCCTGTGGCGGTTGCATCGGCCATGATCGTCTTGTGATCGGCATGAAATCGAACTGGGAACACTTTGAGTGAGTCCACGCTGACAGAGTTATTATATGTCTCTATTCGGAACCATTCCTTCACACAGACAAATCGCTCACCATCGTGGTCAATGCAGTACGCCTTGACCCAAAAGTCGCCGCCCTTCTCGTAGCGGGTATAAATGCGCCACAGTCTCTGATCGGGTCGGTTACTCCGATGGAGTCTCTGATAGTCCGACTCGGATGGTCGAGACGTGGCTCCTTGAAAGTAGATCGTTTCACCTGGTTTGAAGAGATACCATAGGTCACGGAAATAAACTTTGAAATTAGACGCGGCATTTCTCTGGTCGAAACTGTTGAAAAATGGAATGATTTCTCTCTCCATGAAGTCCACGTAGCACTTCAAGGCTGGTAATACCTCTTTCTCGCTTTTTTGAACATCCGATGCTTTTAATTACTCCAACCTACGTGTCACTTCTCCATGATAGTATACTGGCGTGACAAAGGGCCGTTCGAATTCCAGCAATTGACCTTCGGGATTAGACTGGCCACAAAGCAAGATGAGAAGCAGTCGCGACAGCGGCACCGAATTAACGCGGAATATCTCATAGCCCACGGCCACATCACCCACGACTTTTAAGCTATCAGCCTTTTCAAGCATCTCCCATGCTGTCTCTGGGGCATTTTGGTCGGCAACCGAAGATCTGAACGCCTCAAGCTCTGCTTTGTCCGACTCCGACGGTAAAACACCCACCATAATAGCGTGGAGGCTTTCAGACGGCAAACGATAGCCGAAGTAGCCCAACATACTGACACGATGCACCGTTGGGACTATCGGAGGTATTGGTGGCCGGTCAGTCTTTTTTGTCTCGTCATCATCACCTGCGTTTTTTCCATGACGGTCAACATTTCCTTCCACTTCTGGGCGTCCTTGACTCTCCCCCATTTGAGCCAGCCTGGCTTCCAGATCATTCAGACGCTGTTCGAGCCCTTTGATTAGAGCCGATTGGTCTGGTGGAATGTCTTGGACAGTATCTGTATTAGACATAGCTTCGGCTATGCTTCTCAAATAACAGTGGGTTTTGGTTAAGGCGCGGTGTGGTCTCCAGAAGAGAAAGCTGGGGTGAAACTCTTTACGACTAGAAAGGCACAGCCTATCTATGTATACAGGACAGCCCACAGGCCTATCTAACCGATCTATTATTAGGAAGGATGAACACATAAAGTCGAGTAGACAAGCTGATTGGTAATATGCAGGTAGAGTGACAACAAGCTAGATTGTGGGTATATTAAATACCAGTCACATTTCCTAACAGCCCCAGTTTTGTGAGGGGTTACCGATCGACATTTTAGTTATTTGTATTTTTTTCATATAGCCTTGGGACTTATTAGATAAGAGAATTTCCATGGATTCTTTCTATAATAATAAAAAAAAAAAGAAGACAGAGCCAGAGTCCCGGTGACAATCAATCATGGAATCAAAAGATATCCCTACCGCTGTGACCTTCGTGAAAGACTCTCACCATTCAGCGTTACATGGCGAGAAATACTGGAGCCGCCATACGCGCAGATTTGAGCCTCGTTCAATCGGCCCTCAAAGTGATGCATTACGGGAGGCTATAGAAAAGTACAAGGAGAACGCCGACGGCAAATATAAGTTCAACCTCACAGATGCCGGATGGATCGATGTTGAACGTGAACTTAGAGAAGCAGAACACAACTACGATCGCAAGGCCGAAGGCTATAGTCGAAAAGGGCGACATTTTGCACGAAACTTAGGAGAATATTCCGCTGCATTCTCGATGTGGGCGACTCTAATACCGACTGATCACGGACTGAGCTTGTTAACTGCTGGGTTAACGATCATATTCAAAGTATGCCCCATGATGCGTAAGTATGGGGCATTCCTGACTGTATGCAGATTGCGCAGAACAACGCTGAGAATCGACAAAAGATCCTGGCTGCGTTTGAAGATATTCTAGAGATCATATGGAGTACACAGGCTCAACAGCAATTGTTCGAATCCAGCCAATTGCTAAAGGACAAGGCAATAAACTTGTATAAGATCCTCATCCAATCATTAGCCGATCTGATCTCTCTGCTAAACGGCCCAGAGTCGAAGAGGATGCGTCGGATCGCTCATCAGGCCAGGAATCTTTTGGACCCGACCAAATTCTGGGCAATGTTGGAAATGGTGTTAGGTTCTTCTAGAACTGCTTGGAGCTCGTGAGAAATGGGATGTTAAAGGATATATATTCGAACACTAGTGGTATCTATGAAATGTCGCAACGTCACTAGGCTAGCAATGAACGCATCCAAAAAGAAGTTGTGGATCTTGGGAGCCAAATTAGGGAACTACAAAGGGCTATAGAAGCAAGCCAGAAACTAAACAGCGAGCAGTATGATCAATACAGGTTCCAAATGAAAAACTCTCTAGCTGAGATACTCAACAATGTTGTCAAGCTTCTTGAGGACCAGGTGCATCATGGTATGTGTCTTCGTTGTTTTTTGACACAGTATACTGACCCCGTTGATGCCACAGTCAACACACTGCCGGCCCAGCAACATGATACGACGTTATTTATGACAGAGGATGAGCTCTTCCACAGTCTCTTCATCCATTATGAGCAACCGACCAGGGATGTTGGCAAGATCCTTAAGCTACTTAACGAGTTCGAGGCTTCTTCTCAAGCACAAGCCCAGGAGCTTTTATCGTGCAATGAATTCACCTGGTGGATGGAATCCGCTCATCCGAAAAGCCTTTTCGTGCTTGGAAACTTTTGGTTACCCGGCTCCAGCATGATCTCACCCTTATCTATTCTCTGCGCCACTCTCGCCTTGAGCCTACACATGAACGCTCGATCTATCGTGTTACACTTCTTCTGTGGTCTGCATCAGCATGGAAACGATCCAGTCGGTGGACCAACTGGGCTTATTCAAAGTCTGATCGCCCAACTAATACTGTCTGGTTCACAGTTTGACATGAGCTTCATTAACACACACTCCTTTAAAGATGACATTCGTAGCCATTCGCTCAAGGAACTGTGTTCGACATTTCGTGAGCTTATCGAGCAGCTTCCTCCAACAGTGACGGTGATCTGCATGCTTGACAGCATCACCAGTTTTGAATCCAAAACGTGGGAGGCTCAGTGGGTGGACGTCATCAACATTCTGGACAATATTGTCCGCAATGAGCGTCTCCGTCCTATCTTTAAAATCATAATAACAACCTCCTTTATGAGGTCTGGATTTACTGGGGATAGGATGAAAATCGATCATCTTGTCCGACTTCAACCCAATGTCGTCGGAGGAGAAAGAATGTCCATTGGGGTCACACCTAGACCCTGGCGATCGATGGAAGGTTATAGGCAGCGGATGGCGCGAGCGGACGAGTCTGACGATGACTCGGATTATTAGATGTATGGAGCTAGTTTTCCTTATGGTCATTTTGTTCTGCCCCAAACCTATTACTTCCTATGGTTACTACGAATGCATCATCTACCTGTCCTTTATACTATTCATCGTCCTTTAGTAAGGGTATGGTTGGTTTAGCACACAAGAGTGCCCCACTGGATCGGACCGCTCACGGGCCGCTCCGACTATGGCGATTAGTACAGAACGAGATACTATTCCTAATCATGTGAATTGCTGTCGGCCAAACCACCAAAGGGAACAGAATCCTGGACTCTTAATGGGAGAGTCATGTGAAGCGCCTACCGGGTCTTTGTGTGGTTATCACAAATGGGCTGTATCCTACTAGGGCCCTAATATTTGCCTCAATTCGGTATTAGCTCACCTATCTTGCCCTACGAGAACGTTTTCGAGACATGCTGAGGATATATGGAATAAAAGGCCGGATGGCAACTGTTATTGATGGTATATTCTTTCCCTATAAACTATACTCTATTTATACTGATTATGGTACAGCAAAGGCATCTCATGCTACACACAGCCAGGCATTAGATCATTCAAATCAAGATACTTATCTCAAGTATCAGTCGAAGTTCAAATATGCTGACATCCAAGCTCACTTCTGGAACCTGGAGGCTGACTATGAATTCCTCGATATTGAAGAAAGCCTAGCCCACCACCGTGATCCTGATGCCCTATAAAGCACGATGCAGCTGCAGCTGCCGAGTTTTAGGATGATGAAGCGATCTGAAACTTATGTGGAGATAGAGATCCTGACAAATAAAATCAATGGCAACCTAGATGTCATGAAGTGGTTGTTCATACCTTCAAAGTCAGGAGAACGCCGGCCTCAGTAGCGGTTGCGAGCTTATTCACGTGATATATTTTATCTCAAGCGGCGAAGTGGTTATGGGCTTTCAGGAGACATGGCGCACCTTAGGAAATGTTCTAGTAGACTAGTGGTAGTTGCCCTTTCGGCTTAGCCGCCGGGCATTAATAAATTGTGTGTGTGGTGATATTTTGCGCTACTTTCGCTGGGAGGGAAAACTTTCCATTTCTTCCAATGTCTTCTTGCCTATCTCATGTTGGCGTCTCGCCCGTTGTCCTTAAGCAGTCTCCAATGATTTTGTGATTGAGTGTTATTTTTGACAATGAACTAGGCCTTTTTAAAATGAAGCTCTGGAGTGTCGCGTGAGCACATCGAGCTCAAAACCTGTGGAATGGGCTCAAAGAAGCTGTCATTCTGGAGGGCGGAGGGTGATCTGCTTATTTAGACATGGACCTACATTCTCTGTAGAGCGTCACAGCTACCATAATATCCAGCACTGATCTGTGGCTGCCCTGTGGTCGGCCACAGTTTTCCGTGGACTGCAGCCTGCCCTGTTCTACATCTGCCACATCGGACGGACCCCCATCTTTTTGAGCCTTCCTCGACCCGGAGGGAGAAACCAGCAATGCAATGTCTGCATGCAGAAGCATCGTTGACCTTACTCATCAAATGACGGCCGAACGTATCATTCACACAGATACCAACAAAACGCTCGCGCTCCCCTTCAGAATCGGCAAGACGGGAGACAACAGACTTAAGTACAGATACCGCGAGATGCCCAGAGCTTTAGAGAATATCTAGCATAGAGCCTTTGACAATAAAGCAAGCATTATTCTCAGCTATCACTTTGGCGAGCATGTCAGAAAGCTCCGTATTATACGGAGATAGGGACCGCAGAATTTTCGCTACCAGCAGAGAAAACGAGTCTTTGCTCTATTTGTTCTCCAACCACCAGGCCAAGCAGTTTGTCGAAATCTTCTTCAAGTGATCGATGCCAAACATATCTGCGGTCACGTACACACGAAGATGTTTGGGCATCTCATCATGAATGCTAGACTCTGGAGTCATGCCTTCTCCGTGATGGGTTTGGGTCTAAGTAGTCGAGTTGCCGCCAACCATCTCATGAGAAACATTGTTGTCATAGTCCCCAAGATATAAGAAGAAAAACATATTCCTGATTGTGCTGACGTCGTGGCCAGCGATATCAATAAATTTCTGGTAGCTTTCCTGTCTGAAATCAGCGATAGCTGTGAAACGGCAGATATCGTCTACCTGAAATTTCCCGTTGAAGGGGGCATCAAAGTATCGAGACTGAGGACAGACAATCGCCTTGTCTACCTTCAAGTTTTCAGATATTAAGAATCCAGCGAGGAGCCACCTCGATGTCGGCTCTTATAATCATCGATCACCCTCATAGCATCCTCATTCAACTTCGATGGTGCAAAGATAGACGGCCGATTCATCTTTGCCAAGTCGAAATCAGTTTGCACTCGACCTGTAGAAAGCAAAACCTCAACTGCCTCGACATGTCCCCTCTCAGCCGCGAGCATAAGCGGTGTCATACCATTCCTGTCCTTCCTATCCGGGTCGACCCCCTTCGCAAGCAGCAACCGCATAATATGCGTCCGTCCTAGTTGCGCCGCACTCGCGAGTGCCGTAATGCCGTGTTTATCTGGCAAGCTTGGATCAACCTTCTCGTGGGTAAGAAGCGCCTCCACCACATCCATGTACCCAGCCGCAACGGCCGTTAAGAGAGCCCGGCTCCCAAAATTCGGCTGTTGGTCGGGCTCCACGGTAGGGATACCAAGAAGCAATTTCACGATGCGCACGCGTCCAGTCCTCGCGGCGGCCAGGAGTGGGGTATCTCCGCACTGGGATCGGGCGTCCGCGTCCACGCCTTCCACTGCTAGGAGGCGCTGGACGACCCCGAGATGGCCGCTCAGGGCTGCAGCCAGAAGCGGCGTTTGCCCGAACTTATCCTTTACGTTTGCGTCTACCTTCCCCGTGCGCAGCAGCTCCTCTACTATATCTTCTGCTCCCGCGCCTGCGGCAGCCATAAGGGGTGTTTCCCTGCGCTGGGTCCAGCAATCCGGCTGAATGTCTTTAGCCGATAGTAATAGTTTCACAATGGCAAGGTAATCGCCCGCCTTTGAATGCAAGGCATCCGTAGTTGTTTTTGGCCTGAGCGAATCGAACGCCGTGAACGGAGAAGGCTGGCCGTGCCCTGCCGCCCAGGCGAGCGGAGTTTGGAGATGAGCGTCGGGTGCATTCGGGTCTATCGTCCCCGCGCACAGAAGAATTGCAGAGACCTCGGTGTGACCGTTTCCGGCGGCCCACGAAAGGGGCGTTCTGTGCTGCAGATCGTGAGTGTTGGGGCTGGCGCCTTCTTGCAGCAGGCGGTTGCAGGGGTCTGGTTTGCCATGTTGGGCGGCCCATATCAAGGCCGCGCTATCTTGATGGAAGATTTGGTGTTGGTAGAGAATGGAGTTAGCGATGGGGTACAGGATTTTAGATGCTTTGGCGAGAGAATCCACGTCTTGTACCGAGGAGAGGATGGTGGTGATCCAGAAGAGTAATTCGGTTGGGAGGGTTAGTAAAGACATGTTTATGCAGAGTTGGGATAGGATAAGACTAAGGAATATGTGAGGTACTTCGACGCAGGAAAAACCTGCCGAGGGTGCCTGAAAGATGCCTGAAAGGTTAGACACTCAACCCCTAAGACAGTATAGCTTCACGTGTAGGTATACTTCCGGGTGAGATTCGGTTGTAATAGCTAAACGTATATCAGAAAGAATATTTGCCATCTAACCTCAATTCCCACCCTTATGATTTCAATCACCCTATCCTGCCTGGATAGAAGAGCGCATGTCAAGCATGGATGCTTTGTCCAACAAGATTTCTCTGTTCATTGATGAATACCCACTTTCAAAGCAATATGGCATCTACGGTGCTATAATCGGCAGACCTCCTGACGTCTCCAGGCGGGGCTCGTATGAAAGTCTTCAGACGCTGCCAAGGCGGTGGCAGAACTCAGCTGTTTAGCCGAACATCGTCCATCTTCAGCCTCGCTTCAGCGTGATATGAAAGTGGATTTGTGCACTCTTCTACGATCTCCGATGGACTTGCGGCCTCCGCTCTAGCACCTTTGCACAATATGGGGCTCTTATTTAGCTTTCATAGCCATGACACTCTGTACCTGCTCCTCCAGAGCGCTCTCGCGCTGCTGGTAACCGCAAGTGCCTACGCGCTCTATCGAGGCTACCAGGTGCGGAGGATGTTCCAGTCTCTCAAGAAACAGGGCATTGTAAGTATATTGTACCCAGAGGAAATGTAGCGGGGCCGCACAAAAGACACAATAATGGGGAGTGTTTACTAAACATCGCCAGCCACTCATGCGTCACTCCATGATCCTCGGCCATCTCGAAGTCATCGGAAAGCTTATGTCTCGTCTCCCATCTGATGCCCACGGCGACTACATGATGGTCATGATCCAGGAGAACTGGCAGAAGCTCTTTCCGGATTGCTCCAAATGTCCGCCAGTGTTGTATATCGATCTTTGGCCGTTCGCTGCGCCAATGCTGATCTCTATCAACCCCGACACGTCGTGCCAGTGCACGCAGGACTATTCATTGCCGAAAGCATATCAGCAGAAGCGTACTTTGTACCCGTTAACTCGCAACCGTGATGTCTCTTCGATGGAGGGGGCTGAATGGAAGGTCTGGCGCAAAAGACTCAACCCTGGCTTCTCCATCCAGAATATTACCAGCCGAATCTCGGACATCCTGGACGAAGTAGAGGTATTCGGTAATGTTCTCGAAGCCCGAGCGGGTAAGGATGGTGCATGGGGAGAAGTCTTCCCACTAGAGGAGGCTACGACCAATCTGGCTATGGATGTTATCTTGCGTTTCTTCTTGTGAGGAGCCTTCTGCTTCGATGGAAAATCATTAACTTACATGGTACCAGGAATAAGCGCTTCCACCAACAGACGGGCCCAAGATCGCCCATCACCATCGCCCTCCTTGACACCATATCGAGGATGTTTTTCTACGTCAATATATTCAATTTCCTATCATACATCAATCCTTGGCGACATTTCAAACTGTGGCTCAACTACCGGACGCTGCTCAACTGCCTCAGTCCGTTCCTCAAAGAGCGGATCTTCGAAATCCAGAAAAACAGCCAGGTGACCAACAAGACCCTGGTAGATCTGCTCGTCAAAAGCATGGAGGAAGAGAAAGGCCCAGATGGCGCAGGAACCGACCTGTCCACGAACACGGAATTTCTCGAGACCGCCATCGGCCAGATCACCACCTTCCTCTTCGCAGGTCACGACACAACCGCGTCGACCATATGCTGGCTGTTCCGTCTCCTCGAGCAGCACCCGGACGTCCTCGCAAAGCTCCGCGCGGAGCACGACGTCGTCTTAGGCCCCGATCCAACCCAAGCTGTCGCCGCCCTGCGAGCGAACCCCCAGCTTCTCAACACCCTCACCTACACGAACGCGGTGTTGAAAGAGTCGGCACGGGTGCACACCAACGTTGGAACCATGCGCCGCGGCGAGCCGGGCTTCTTCCTCGTCGGACCGCCTGGCTCTGGTCCCGAGTGCGAGGGCAAGCACATGCCGACGGATGGATTCGTTGTCTGGGACGGGAATTTTGCGATCCACCGCAGCCCAGACGTGTGGCCGCGTCCGAACGAGTTCATCCCGGAGCGGTTTCTCGTGACAGACGAGAACGACCCGCTGCATCCGCCGAAAAACGCGTGGCGGTTTTTCGAGCTCGGGCCGAGAGGCTGTATCGGTCAGCACTTGGCCACGGTGGAGATCAAGCTTGTTCTGGCTTTGGTAGCGAGACGGTTTGATGTTGAGTGTGCGTGGGACGAGTGGGATTCTCAACTGTAAGTTGGGTGCATTTACTGGATTCGCAAAGAGTGGTCGCTAACGGTGCTTCAGGAACTTCAAGGGACCGCGGAACATGGTCTGGGAGGATCGGTGCTATCAGGTTGGAGGTGACTCGCCGCCTCATGTGAAGGATGGCATGCCTGTACATGTGAGAGTTCGGAGTTGAACAGGAAGGGCTAAGTAATGTATATTATGACGTAGACATCAGTGATCTTATATACTGGAGAGTCTCCTTCTCGCAGTGCATCACATCTAGGGGGCTCGGGCAACTTGCAAATTACCTCTCCCTCTGGAGATATTATATTCCCAACTGTCGGAGTAATTCTACCGCATTGGGAACATGCAGGCTATATGTATCCCGGGTACAACCAAAGGTTGAGTCTATCAAGTACAGGCGATCAAAACACCTGTATGAGGTAGTCCAGCAGGATACGCGCCAGCCACATGCCCCCCGCCGGAAGGAGACCATCCTAATCAATTGTACCAGAGCATTCGAACAACTCCATTGTCCTATGAAGCGGAAATGAACAGAGCCATCCGGCCGGGGAATACGAATTACACGTTGAATAACCTTAGCCGGGGGCAGCACGCGAGGCTGCTTGGCAAGGGGGCAGATATCATGGAGAGTGACAGTCCCACAAGATCATTAATTCCATGGCATGTAATATCAGTTCCACCGTTCTAATAGGATCCAGTGGTATAAACCAGGTACTTCACACCGAGCTTAATCCACCAAAATGCTCTATCTTTTCGCCAACGTCAACTTCAAGCCCGGTCAATATAACAACGTCAGTCTCCTCCGAATCTATTGCAGTATTCCAGACCTAACTGACATCCAACCTCAGTGGCAAGCAGCATACGACAAGCGCGAAGTAAGGCAGCATATCACTGTCAGAAAGCACATGAACTGACCTGGACACACCAGAGTCTATACACCACGCAATTCGACTTCCCCGTCATGATACAGTTCCTCACTGACGCCTGCCGGCCATGTCCACCGACTTCGACCTGCAGCACTACAAAGCCATCGGAGGCAGCCTGGACATCCCCAGCGACAGCTGACAGCGCGGCATCATGCACGACACACTGATCGTGTGCAAGTCGCCAAGCTTTGGGCTACAGGCAAGGAGAAGGATATCGCGTGGATTGATCAGAGGGGATTTATTCCCAATTGGAAGGGGTAGCTTCATCGCTTGTCTTGGGATATTTCATGGAGACAGTTGCGAGGGGGGTGGCTTGTAGTTGTTACCAGACATTTGGTTTATGGTTTGATGTGAAGTGTAAACAAGAATTGCGACGCAAGTTTATATTTCGGTCTATGAAAGAGAACACTAGTAAATGATGCTACTGCTTCTCGCGCTGCCCTGCCTCTTCATCAAGACGCGTCAGCTTCCATTGATTAGATCGTCCATGCATCTTCCTGGCCACATCATCGGTTAGGTACGAGCCGTGGTCGATCGTCAAGACGCTCGCTCCTAGTGGGACACACGCAAAGGCAGTCACGGCGTACCAGACATACCGGAACGCGTTGGCTGCTGTGGACGCCCGGGCAACCCCCGACTGCAGTCACGATGCTATCATTGATTCCCGGTACATCTTCGAACGTCCCAGCTGAAAGGTTGCTCAGCAGAGACGCGACGCTCCCCTGAGGGAGCCCCGCCTCAACGCCCCCCGATCAGCTGTTCAAGCAGAGTGGAAGGCCCAATGACGCATGCAAGCCATCCGTTGTGAATCTCCATCCCTGGGAAGAGGTATATCATCTGTTGGGGCCAGAGGACGTTCATCGAGTAGTATACGCAACTGCCCACTGTCGTGGTGGTCATCATGGCCAGATACGCCGGGGCTTTGGAAGACGTGAGTTGGCAGCAATGAATCGCCGTTTTGAATATAGGCATTGCAGAGTACAAAGCCAACCAAAGTGCAGAAGCCGACGACGATCGTCGCAATCTGTTGTAGATGTATTAGCAAACCCGTGTTTGATCCTGGATGTAGAGCGAGGCAACCTACCACATGGGCCGATTTCCATGGATACACCACACCACCCCAACTGAGACCCATAATAAAAAGTATACGACCGCCCGTGAAGAGGACGAAACCAACAAAGTCCTGTCTTTTGTATTGGGTCATCTTGGACCGGTTCACGTGGAGCATGTGGAAGTTGGGGGGGATGGTAGAAGAAGTATAAGCAAATGACAGTAAGAGCGGAGATGATGATACTCACATAGAAAGCCCAACTCCACGTTGTCTTTTTGTTTGTCACCAGAGCTTGGACTCCATTTGCAGAATGAATCTTCATTCCGCATCGCTTACAACTAAGGTTTTGGCTTACATGCACGATGGCGTAGACTACATATATTTCCTAGATTGATTGGGGTAATCGGTTTGCACGACTCATTGATATGACTTTTCACGATACTAGCCATAGGATAACGCTAGCTATCGAGCGAGGTATAAAAATGCCATATACCCCCGCTGTAAGAATCGCAGAACTCTCCATCACAAAATGGCTTCATTCGATGACAAATTGCCAAGTGCAGGCCACTTGTATCCTTATCCGTGCCTCTCTATAGTCAGTTCCTAGTGCTAACAGGGCTAGACCTTATTCACAATGTGTTTTATGGGAGCCTTGGCGGGACAGGCGACATCGCCATTATAGGACGGGAGGGTGGTCTTCGGGCATGCAACAGTGAAGGCTTCGAGATAAGGGCTCAATAATACCCAAGCCTACTAGTTGATCACCGGGTCTACTTACTATTCTCATAGTTGTCTGAAGAGGAGCAGAACGCACTCCTCAAGTATTGCAGAGAGGAATATGTGTCAGAAGATTTGACTTTTCATGGAGAGGAGTTCAGCCGTGCCCCACATGATGAACTTGTTCATATCACTTTTTTCGGGGTGTGTGTTTAAGTGACCTTCGGCCCGAAAGCAGAACTAACCCTAGTGTGCAAATTAGGGGACTCATAAGCTCGCTCTTGTTAATACAAAGACTCTGGTCCTAGTAAAGTTATCTTGATAATGGGGAAAGTGTGGAGCCCGTGGGGCGTCTGGGGAATGCGATTTTAACGATGAAACATTAAGCTGACAACGAGATGCCAACAACGATAACCTGGAGTATACAGAACGGCATCCCTGTGTTTAATGATTGTCTACTCTTAGGTACATAACCTTGCTAGATGTGAATGATCCCAGAGCTCTGCAGACCAATTAGTGTCCTTGGGTAGACACTATACTCAAGGTATAAGTGAGATAGTAAAGTCGATACTAACGACCGTTGCGATGTCATACATATTAATGCTAATATCCACTTGTGCTGTTGCAGGAGTTATAGATATTACTTATCAGGGATATGGCATTCATCATAATATATCCTTATCGGTACAGTATTTCATTGTTCGATGACATTATATGTGGCACTTGTACGCTTATGTATACATCCTATCGAGCAGGAAGCACTACTACATCCAAAAGACAATTCACTTCCGGCACAAAATCTCACCATGCAGCAACCCAAACCAGCCTTGCTCCGCATCCACAAACTCCTTCCATCCGTCCGAGATGCTCTCTAACTCCTCCTTGGTTGCAAATCCATCTTCGATAGCCGTCTTCGCAAACCCAGAAGATCTCGCTCTTGCGCCCATCGATCCACCCCAGTATTGTCTCTCCTCGGGGGTACTAAAGCACCATGAGCCAGTGCTCTTCTGGATATTAGACTGCTCAAACCCGGCCTCCTCGGCCCAAACATGAATAACCCGTCCCGGGTGTGGGTTACCCCCTTTAGCTTTTGCCATTCGTGTGGTGATGTCAAGCCATGCCTCAATGCCCTTGTTTTCGGGGTACCAGGTCATAACCGAAGATTCCCGTGCTGCGACGATTCCACCGGGTTTCACGACGCGCCGCATTTCCTTTAGGGCTTTGACTGGGTCTGCAATATGCTGTAGCACCTGATGGACGTGGACGATATCGAAGGTGTCATCGGGGAAATCGAGGGAGTGGATATCCCCAACACGGAAATCAATGTTTGTCACCCCTTTTGAGGATGCTAACTCGCGGGCTTGATCCAGTGGGTCAGGCACATATTCAATTCCAGTAACATGGCCTTGAGGTGCACGGCTTGCGAAGTCAACGCTAATTGAGCCAGGACCGCAGCCAATATCAAGAATCTTGGAGGTTGAGGTTATATGTGGGAGAAGGTAGGCAGTGGAATTGGACGCAGTGCGCCAATTATGAGTCTGGAGAACAGAGGTTGAGTGATCGGTTGTATAGACTCCCATGGTGATGGTAGTAGTTGTTGCTGTGTTATCGTTCGATTGTTGAATGGTAAAAGGTAGAACTTTAGAGAGTTTATATAGTGGGCAAGCGCGGGAAGGGCCAGGTGGAGAACTGGGAACTCCGTGACGGAATTCCGAGAATGGCGTGCGGCCTCGGGATTGCCTCATCAAATAATCAACAACCATGGATATGGACACAGACTCCGAATATCGTCATCCCGAACTCGTCCGCCGACTGCACCCATCGCTCTATTCTTTCCCTGCGCTCGGTTGAACCCGTTTCCGCTGACCTCCATAATTCCGAGATCTCCAGAATCCCATCCTCCCACTGTAAGAGATATCTATCGTATTCTTTGCTCCACGTTTCTCGGTCTTTGGCTTCCCATAACGCCTTATTGCCCGGTGCATACACTCCTCTCATCTCATCTGCCACAAAATTTGGAAGTAGCCTGTCTGCATTGTACACACTGCTAAACAGGTACATAGTGAAGATCGCGCGTCGCTTTGCGGCTACCACAATCCAGGACTCCCATGTCGGTCGGGCGTGGGCTAGCTCTGCGGCGCAGAAGAGGCCATTCCGGGCGGTCCGGAAAGCCATCTCCATGAGTGTGATCATCATCTTATCATTGACAAGGGACGAACCACCTCGAGGGGAGAAGTACAACATGATTGTGTATAGTAGGTAGGCTTGGAAGGCCGAGAGGAGCTCGTAGTCTTGCTCAGGATGCTGGTGCTATTAGCTTCCTAAAATGTCACGACGAATTTTTCAGCATGGAGATGTACCTCGGCAGCCAGCCTTTCCATTTCCTTTTCTAGCGTACTCATTACCATCATCTCACTTCCTGGTACCGCCTGTTCCCACATCCGTACGAGACTGTAACAGTTTGCAAGTGATCGAGGCAATTCCTTTCCTTCAATCTGGGAGCGATGGATGATGGGAGGGACATCCTTGTCCTTCAGCATGCACCGCGGATAAGTGCTCAATATCCGCGAAATGTACTGCAACGTGAAAGGGTGGTAAACCTTAGGCACCTCATCTTGCCCCAGGGGTGGCAGAATATAAGGTCTCAACCAGCGATCCCGGATATCCTCTGCATTAGCACTGGGTACTAAATCAACTGTTCGAAAATCAAGTCCATCTCCATCCCTCCAGCCGCTAGCGACGGCGACTTGTCTCCTTACATGAATGTGACTAGACGGACTCCAGGCCGTACTCGAGGGAGTACTTGCCAAAGGCAGAGGAATGGGCATAACAGATATTGAATCAAAACGAGGTGTCGAATCTATTGCCGAGCCAGGATATGCAATTCCAGCGTCTTCTGTAAAACCCCCTTCTCCAGAAGGGGAGTCTCGCCCCAACGCCGAGGCAGAATATTCGCAGACCCGACCCGTCGATCTGCAGCGCGAACAGGCGGGCTTCTCGAGACTACAACGAACTTTTGATTTCGTGCAGTTGTTGCAAGCCTTTTTGCGGGGAGGACGCTGCTTGGGGTGATGGCTTTCTGATGTGGGCATTGTTTGCAATACAGTTGGTAAGCCTTGGGGATGAAGTTGTCCTCGGGCAAGTTCGGAATTCCGATGTCGTTGGTGGCATTGCGAGTCTACGGGTGGGTCTACGGACCTAGTGTGTATTTCTCATATAAGCTGTATTATTTGCCAGCGTATACTGACATAGTTCCATAGGTGTGGAAAAAGGAGGTTATGTTAAGGTAATACTTCAGAGATCCCACATAGAAAGACTCCTGTAGCTGTTGAATAGTGCACCCGAGTCAGCTAATCTGGTAAACATTATAGCTTAGATAGGGCCAATTCAAAACCTAGGAATCAAAACTTCGAAGGAAATACCATAGGATGCGACGATCTGCAAGAGCGAGGCTGTAGACACCCCGCACCCTATTAAAGGTGAGGCCAAGCGAAGTGGCTCAGACAAGGCTGAGGCTTTGTTGTGAGCTGGGTTCTTTTGAACTTGAAGCCTTTGATTCATTCCTTCAGTAAGTTGTTCTGGACTCTAGGCTCTTTATGCAATCTCTCCAACATGACCATCCAAAGTTGCCCCTCTGGGGGAAACTTATGGTAAAGAGCCCTTGATGCGGTCTATGCCGAGACCAAAACAAGCCTAGCCGGTATTATCAGTGACTATAAAGGTGGTATAATAACTAAAACCCTAGAGGAAGCAGAGAAAAAGAAGAAACTTTGCCTCAACAAGCGCTGGAAGGTCGAGTTCGAGGCAAAACCATCATCCTTGGCGACTTGCTTGACAAGGTCATCGCGTGGGCTAGACAGTTTACAGCTATCGTCGATGTCGCTGTCCAGTATGGCCCGACTAGCGCTTCACTCCGATGGGCAGGTATAAAATTCCTGTTACATGCGGCCGTAAGTGACCGCGAATTTTTCGATTCTACACTGTACGGTTTGTAATCATTATCCCTCATGATCGCTCGTTATGCAGCATTTGTGGTTCTCTATCTGTAGAAAGGCTCAATCGTTGAGGCGAAGTTGGAACGAGAGCTCGTCAGTCTGTATACCCGTATGTTGACTTTCCTAGCCAATGAAATCCGGTATTTCAGCCAGTCTGCGCCAGTTCGCATGGTGAAAATCATTTTCCAATCATCTCAGAATGAGGAAGTGATCAAATAACCAAGTCAGATTAAGAAGCCCTCAAGCACAGCAGCAGGTAGCACTTCGAGTCGGCGAAATTCGCAGCATTGTCGAAACGCTCCAGAGCCCAGTGCGCCGGTTAGTTGACGAATCGATGATATATGCAAAGACAATAGAAGAAGGCAAACTCATCAGAATCTTGCAGTGGCTATTTTCGGTGCTATATCCCCAGCACCAAAAGCGACATTCTGAGGATAGACTACCGAACTCTTCTGAGTGGATCTTTCGTCATCCGGAGTATATCATGGACAAGGAAAAGCTCAAGATCCATGAGTCTGTTTCTCTTGAGTATGCGCGCAGAGAGGCGGAAGGCAAGCTAGATGGCTTTAACATACCCAGGTTCCAGTGCAGCGAATGTGTTGATTTAATTCTCGGATTTCTGGGAGCAAATCCCGCAGTCGTCATAGTAGATGGAGTAGATGAGATTGAACATCGACGACACGAATTTCGTGATGCCATCACGCAGGTTCGGGATGAGTCGGCTAGTGTTGTCAAGATGTTCTTCTCTACTCGAGACAACAGCAATATCTTTTGTAGCTTTATCAGATTGCCTTGAATATCCGCGTACAGGGAATTGACACTTGACAAGATATGGAGCTCTACATCAGGCGCTGTGTCTCTACTGCTGTTGCTACCCGGTGGTTGCTCAATGGGTGTGTAGCGGATGATCTGCAGCAGCAATTGGTAGAATTTCTCCTTGGAAAAGCTGGCGAAATGGGGGTTTAATGTCCGAAAATTCTTTTAAGCAACATTAACTAATTGAAGTAGGTTCCTATGGGTGAACTTACAGGTAGAGCGGATTTGCAAGCTGAGATCAGCAGGAAGCGTTTTGGACGCAATCCAAGATCGATTGCACGCCTCAGCTACTATCGACTATCTGTACACATATATCCTTGAGGATATAAAACATGCAGATCCCGTTGCCTACGAAACTGCACATAAGGCTTTCTCTTGGATACTTTGTATGCAGGAGCTGTTATCGAGTGATGTGATTGTTGAGTCAGTGTCCACCTGGGTACCTGACTTCTCCGAGCTGCTAGCTATTTGCTCAAATCTGATAGTGCTGGACAGCCAACCGGATACTCTGCGCTTTGCGCATGTCTCCTTCAAAAAATTTCTGGAGACAAAATCTGAATCTCAAAGCCACGCTTCCCACAGTATTGCAGCATCTAGTTGCCTGGAAACCTGTATCAAGTGTTTGCCGATTGAAATCGAAGGAGACCTCCAGCCAGCGAAAAGCTACAGTCTTTATGCGGTCATGTATTGGACGACGCGTCACTTTGTTTCCTCGAACCTACTCCGCAATGACAAGAGTATAGAGATGCTAGAAGATTCGTTTTCGGTGATGGTGGTCTTACGTTCGAGCTATAGCTTAATAGTACCCATGAAATCTCTAAAATTCTTCCGAACAGCCATCCCCTAAAGACGGCCCTCAATGCCGTGATGAGCAATACGCAAACCCCGCTACCTACTGCCTGTACCTATGGCTAAAGGAAGTTCTCCATGAAATACCACAGAGTCCAGAATTTGACATAGATGTCCAGAATTTGATATGTCATACTGGATTGTACCTTGCTGCGGCACGTGGCCATCACGAACTTATGAGACTCGTCTTGGACAGTGAGGAGATCCCACGATTTCGGATGGAAAATAGGCAGATCCACCGTCAGCAGCTTCTGCCAATGGTCAAATTTCAGTGGTTAGGTTGCTTTTGAACAGGGACAGCCTGCCCAACCCCTCCACAACTATTGAGCCGGCTTTGCGTATTTCTTTCCTCATGGGCCACGAAGAAAGTGTGAAGCTCCTCATGGACACCTACCTCACTTCATTGGAATATTGAGCGTACTCTAGAAGTCCACATATTACATGTCCAAGAATGGGAACAGTCATATTCTCTTTAGTAGGTCTCAATATAAGCTTTGTTTGAAGGTACCCCCCACTCCATCACCTAATCTCCTCCAGGTCCTTCTTATTAATGTACATACTGAGAAGAAGGGAAACCCCTTCTTTCTTCTTATACTCAAGGTAAGTTTCTCCCTGCGGATTCCCCGCCAGGACCAGCTTTTGGAACTCGCAGAAAGGCTTACCATACCATAGAGGGTAATTCAGTGGATCAGTTCCGGAGAACTCGAGACCGAGAGACGCAGTCCCCCCATAAACCGTATGATACTTAGCGAAGCAAAATCCATTGCAGATAGCACTCGGAATGTGCAGAACATCATCCAACACAAGGGTTCGAATTGGGGATCCTTTCTTCTTGCTTGCCCGAACCTTCAATATCACAGTTCCCATGCCAGCAACAAATGTTTCCCCTCCGATGAATCCCTGAGAAATCACTCGTCCTACTCGACGATATGTCACAAAGGAGGAACGATTTTTGGCATAATGGCAATGACCCGAGACGATTATCCAATCCCAACAGCGACGGTGGGGCGGGTTTTCACGTTTTTTTCTTTTCCGATCTTCTTTTACGTCCCTCCAGAACTCTCCAATTTCACCCATGCTGATTCGAGGACAGACAGAAATCCTGTCTTGGTAGGGTTCTTTTTCCCGGCGTGACTGACGGTGGATCGGGTGGGGCCTGTTGGACTGATAATGATGTCAGACTCACCAGATGCCAACCGCTCGCGAGATAGAAGATGAAACGCGAGATGAAAACAGTGAGCTTTCAGCTTCCGAGACGAGTGTGTTTACGGTTATATTTTACACGGCCGCTACTGACAGAATGATCAGCATGCGTATCGCGATCTCCTTGTACTGTAGTAGAACGATCAGATGAGCAAATGACGCTCTAACATCGCGCTAACACCAATTGTCGATAGCGTTAGGCGGCAAATGCTGGCAATTTCTCTTTCAGGAAAAGCGCAACCTCTCAATATGCACGACGGCCTGAGGCACACCCGCGTCGTTGGTTTGCGTTTGGCTGCTTTGGAAAGAATGATGAGAACGACCTTCCCAAGAACCTTGTCGAGACGAACGTCGACACGGATAAATCAATCGCCAAAATGTCTTGTACTGCGCCCCATTCCCAAACACCACCTCCTTACGTCGCAGAGCACTACTAGAGAGCTCAACCAAGGGCGTAGTCCACAGAATCGCACGAGGAACATCCAGTATGCCTTCGACCCAGTCAACACTGCGAGAGCGAAACGACCATCCAATCCATTCTCCTTCCTACGCCCTGAGAACATTGCGCTCCCCGTATTCCAAAATGCGAACTGCCTCGTTCCATCCAACCTCGGCGTCCCATGGCCCACCTCCTTCCCCTCCTCCTTTCAGTCGAAGTACTCCACGGAAGTGGAGGAAACGACAAGGGCATATACTCGAGCACTTCAAGGCCAACGATCGGAAGGTTATCAAGAGAAATATCCCGAGGCGATTATCGACGAGGCGGTCTCACTGCTAGTAAATGTGGCGCCAATGGGCAACTTGACGAGGATGAAGGCCCTCACAAAACTCTACGTGTTCTTCTTTATGAGTGATGGTGATTGAACGTGTGGATACTGTCTGGTTGCTCTAACTAAACTTTCGATAGATCTGGTTGATTCCGGGAATGTATGCTCCGTCAATACCGATACGCGTTGTTGAGGCGGAACGCTGGTCTAATGATCCTACAGCGCGTGACGATAATCCCCAACCATATTGAGGGGAATGAGAAGCAGGGATCGCAACATACCGTCTACAACATGCTAGCAAAAGAGATCCTCTCAGAAGATTTTGTCCAGGGGAATCGATTGCTGGAAAGTGTCATATCCTGGATATCAACAACACAACGTACGCCCCCTGAGACATTTCCGACGTTGGAGGATTATATGGCATATCGAGCAGGTGATGTGGGGGTTGAGTACGTCCCACCACTGATTTATGACGAGTAACACTGACTCTCCCAGTGCTGTTTTCCGCAGTATGGAATTCGCTTGCGACATTACCTTATCTGACACTGATGTCGAAGCCGTCGCGCATCTCAGATCACTTTGTGAAAAGCACTTCTTACTAACCAATGACCTATACTCCTATGCTAAAGAAGCAATCGCTGAAAAGGAGCATAGTGTCTCTGTTCTCAACGCCGTTCGAGTCGTTCAGGGTCTGATGAATACCTCCGAAGATTCGGCAAAAGCGATGGTTCGCCAAGTTATCTGGGATGTAGAGCGCCAGATGAACGAAGAATATGAACACCTGCTTCAGGATGCGCCAAAGTCGCAGCTAACATACGCTCAGGGGCTAATAGTCTCCGTCGCAGGGAACATGTTCTTCTCAGCCACCTGTGCTCGCTACGCGCGAGTTGTTGAGGGGTCAAGATTGCCTGGATAGATTCGTGGTAGACGTCATTGCATATAAATAAACCCTCCTTTGACAATTCATACAATAGAGTTATCTATCATCTCATGACATCCAGCCAATTCAAGTAGTGTATAAATTATCACAAACCCAAGCACCTCAAACGACCATTCTATGCAAACAGGTATACCCGAGAAAAGCACAAAGACAAAGGGACAGAAGGGAGAGTCTAAAATCTATGAATCTGCCCCTTCTCAAACCCTAGTCGATCCAAAATCCCCCTCTTCCCAACCAACGACTCTTCCATAGCGGGCGGCCCACAAACGAACACCTTCGCACCCTCCCCCTTCCCATCAACAACGCCCCTCAAGAGCTCCTCGGTAACATACCCCTTCGTCAATCCCTCCTTCTCCCCCTCCAACCGACTCACCGTATAAACATACTCGAACCGCCCAGGAAACCGCTTCTTATACTCTTCCAGCTCCTCCCTGAGCAGCAAATCCTGCTCACTATTCACCCCAAAGACGAGCTTAATCGTCGTCTTATCATTCGGATTATCCAAAATCCCCCGAATAAGTTGGTAGATGGGAGTTATACCGGCTCCACCAGCTATAGCGTAGATCTGGGGGTATTGGTTCGGAACCCAAGAGAAGCCCTTCAGGGCTGTGAGGAAGGTGAGAGTGTCCCCGGGGGCGAGGGAATGGATGTGGGTGCTTGCTTTGCCGTTGGGGTATTGTTTTACCATTAGTTCTAGGGTTCCTTGTTGGTCTGGTTTTGGTTTTAATTTTAGCTGTTGTATAATCTAGTATGGATGGGGATGCAGGGGGAATCACTCACTCAGATCACTGATTGGTGTGTACGGCCTGATGACAGGTAACCACCGTCCAGCTGGCCGCGAGAATGTCAGCAGTGCCGCTGTTATATATTAGCAATCATCATATAATCTCTCGTCTCAGTTCTTGGAAGATAGGAACATACAAGTCAACGACAGTCCACTCCTAGCATTCTTATCCGGAAACTCAAACACAAGCCGCTTCGTATTATGATTCACGGCCTTAACGCTTTGCACGCGTAAAGTAGTAAACCCGAACTTGGAGAACATAACGGGCGCTTCGTCTGATTCCGCGTAAGCCTGAGGAAGAAAATAAGAGCGAGCGCAATAGGCCCCGATACCGAGGACAGCGAGCGTGGAGAAGAGAGTAGTCTTGGTCGCTAGGGCTGGGGGAAGGCGTCTGATTTGAGCCATTCTCTTGATAAGCACTGGGAGTTAACGTATCAGAGATGGACCGTAGAAACGGTTATATGTAGGCCAAGGTACGTATGTTAGCACAAGCGTCTATTTATATGCGATGTCTCTCCCCAATCCAAATCGGACGCTGCAGGCCCCGAACACCGAATGTTACACGAACTGAATTGTCCATCGGGAACGACTCCGTACGGGACAATTAACAGCTATTCGGGCAATGAGGTTTCTTACGTGCGTGTCTTATGGGCTCAATCCGGCGTTCGGTAGTCGTTAGGGCCGATGGTGTAGATCGGTCGCTGCGGTCTTTCTCGGGTTTTGTCGGGTTTTGGAAATGGTGTAAGTATAGCCTTACCTTGGAAATGCAACTGTGGCACCACGCCTCGTCTACTTCTCTTTCTTAGGCATATTTAGTCACAAGAAGCAGCTTAAGGGAGGCAATGGGCTGATAATATAGAGTTCCTTTTAGTTATTAATCCCTATAAAGTGTGAAACTCTACGATGGTGTCGGTTACATGGATATCGGGATAAGCTCTAGAACCCTAAGCTTATTGCTAACGATGCATCCCTCCTTAGCCTAGGTCTAATCTATGGAGTATGCATCTGTTTTTAGTGGATTAAAGTGTAAAACTAGACAAAACCCAAGTGTGAGTGGTCTGATACGATACTATATATATATATTAAAGATGTGACCGTCTAATCATGGCTAGTAATAGCGGCATATCTACACTTCTTTGTATGAGACTAGTTAGGAGTTCAGTTCCCAAACTATTACAGCCCTAATCCTTTCGAGAGAAAAATGAATCCTAAGAGCAAGTTGTCTCCATCGGTTAGGGCCCAAAGGGTCCTGTGAGATGGCCGGAAGATAGCAGCAAATGCCAAGGCTTCGGCTGCCAAATACGCTAGATGAAAGCGGTTAGTCCCAACATCATGGGACTAGTATAAATCCTTCCCGTCCCCCGCAACTTTGCCTTTGTTTTTCTCTTTCTTGTTTTACCCGGCAAATGGGAACACCACCTGCTTTAATGCAAGCAGTTGTTCTACCATACAATCGCAACCTGATACATATAATGCCGAGCTCGTAGACTGGTCACTAGCGATCCAGGCCATCATTTCTTCTCAGGGTATTAAACCCCAGCCGCGACAAGTCCCTCATGGCCAATCATCTATGTGCGAGCGTCGTTAGCTGTCTGCCTCTAAATACCCAAAGTAATGGATAACAATAAGCATGTTGGCGTTTCCTACGAGCGACTCGCATTGTCTCTCGATGATCTTGTCGTGCGTCAGCATGAAAGTCGTTATCCTACACCCTTAAACTACATTGTAAACTTGGTAGAGAATACTGGCGCTGGAAGCCAGCTTGGACACGAGATATTGTGCTCTGGTGACCAAGACCGGCATTTCTGCGGACCTGCATTTGCAAAGTCATTATCGATTCTTCCGGATCGCGTTTGTTCTATGAACATAATGCCAGGGGATCAGATTAATGAACTAGACAAGACCGACCGTTTGTAGCTCTCTTGGTTATTCCAATAGGTGGTGTCATGCTGCACCTCTGGTCCGGTGGCTCCAAACTCCCATCCAAGCTTGATCTTCGTCCACTGCATGAGATGGCTTGCAATTTTCAGATGTCCAAAATCCGTTGGATGACCGCCCGGTGAGATGTCGTTGTGTTGCAGAATGCCCTTTGTGTCGAAATAATGCACGTATCCATCCTTTTCGAAGTGCTGGTATACCTTCTGTACTTCGGATTCATATATTGGTTTCTGCACCCAGGTTGAGCCGGACTTGACGAAATTACCCCAAAGTGACTATTGAAATCAGCATAAACCGATTGACACATGAGAATAATGGCGTACCATGAGGACAATCTGCGCATCAGGCCAGACGCTATGCACATTCTCCACCATTTCAACGTAGCTCTGGTAGTAGTCGTCGCTGGGAATATCGTTTCCGGTCCTACCGTCGTTCGTGCCCAGGTTGATGATCACCAGGTCCGCCGCGCGATGAGCGGTGAAATTCCACGGTTCGGGTTTATCACCGAAGGCTGCATTCGCGCGGTCGCCTACGTCTGAGGCATGGGACCATTGATACGTCTGGGGCGGATGGTTAATAACAATTGTAATGGGGGGAAGGTGAGATATACCATGCCGCGAGAATCGCCACCATAACACTGCTTGTCTACCAAGCATATTCCGGGGTACGCCTGTGCCTGTCAGAAGGATGGCATTGTGCTAATTAAGAGGCACTCACAGTAATCGTATACTCAGCATTGCCCAAACCAGCCGCGAAGTTGAAACCCCACGAGGCGAGACCCTCATAAGTAGCGTACTGCCCTGATGCGAGCCTTCAATGCGATGGAGTTAGCAAAGTCTACTAGCTATGTCTAGAGGGTGCAAGACTCACGAATCTCCAATGATTTCCACCGTCCTATTGAACTCTGCGGCTTTTACCAACCGCGCATCCGAAGCAACCGAAACGCCATCAATTTGGACTGTGTGGATCGTAAGTAACGAACATCAAGTTAAACCAGTGAAACTTATCCATAGCCCCAATTTGTGACTAACTCGGTTAGTATTCGCACGTATTGTATAACGTCCTATCCTGTTCACATACCTCGCATTTCAAATGTCTTGTCATCGGCGTACTTTGTTTCATTTAGTGCAGACGATCCGGGTTTGACAAACTGATAGGCTGAGTTGGCCGTAACGTTCGAAAACTCCCAGTCAAGCCCACCAATCCTATAACAATCAGAAATAGTCTCATAGACAACCCAGACGAGCGTACCGATAAGCCACAAGCACATTTTCTGACGTATTTTCTCCAAAGCTCACTGCGAGCTACCCGAATGTCAGCCACCGACAAAGCTCAACCCCAAACTGCAATAGCTCCCTACCTTATCGCCTGTAAATCCAAACTTGACACCAGGAACACTGAAGCAATTAGCTACCGTCAGCGGGAAAGAAGAGTCAAAACATACGACCACCCTAAGAACGACAATTAGCATCAAATTCTGAACATGACCCAATCTATCACTCACAAGAAGTATAAGTACTATCCCACCGCCCCTTATACGAGATCTCCGACGCGTCGGCCCCGTAACTCTTCCAAGAATCATCAACAGATACCTCCTCAGCCTGCCCAGGATAAGGATTCA